TTTCGGGGCAATGACATTCAGCATCTTAAATACAAATCCGGATGTTTTTTCGGCCGCATTTTTGGAGCAGTGACATTTACCCAGTCAACTACAACTCTGGACATTTTTTCGGCCGCATTTTTGGGGCAATGACATTCAGCATCTTAAATACAAATCCGGATGTTTTTTTCGNCCGCATTTTCGGAGCAGTGACATTAACTAAGTTAATCACAAATCCGGACATTTTTTCGGCCGCATTTTTGGAGCACTGGTATTCTGCATACTAGTGACAAATCCGGACCTTTCTTCAGCCGCATATTTGGGGCAATGACATCCAACATGGCAACCACAAATCCGGACATTTTTTCAATCGCATTTTCGGAGCACTTGCAGTCAGCATGTCAATGCTTCGGGTGATCTCTTGAACACATGTGGCCCAACATTTGGCCATTCTGTAGATTATACTTTGGGTACCTATGGTACCATTGATTATGGCAATAACCACATCTGCAGAATATGCATTGGGCCACACATTAATACCATATGCTGTAAACATCCATTGGTCCCAGGTATGGATCCATAGTGTCCATGTGTATTGGGCCCATTGGGGTAGCCCTATGACTTATTGGGACAATTGTCAATTTCTATTGTTATGGTACTATAGCGACATCTATGTATACTTGTGGATCATTCATATGTTGCACAGACAAATGAAGTCCAGGGGTTACGAAAAGGTTAAAAGCTGACTGTTCATCAATACCTACGCCCACTTGTGTTACGACCTGACCTGCGCCCACTTGTGTTATGACCTGACGTGAATGGTGAAACAAAATTATGGCACCTGTCAGATTGGATCGAAGAAAACTTGCATCAAACGGTTTTTGGAGGTTCTTATCCGCAGAGGCGCAGCACCGTTGGTTCAGCATCAAAGGCCATCCATAGAAGATTGGGTTGTGGAAAGCAAGAGGGCATGTTCTAAATCCCCCATCTGCTCAGCAACTCAACCCAATGCAGCATAGCATGCCATTAGTGAGGAGGGACTAGCCAGATGACAAAATTATCACACCTGTCTCAAGCCATGTTTGCTTGTTTGCAATATAAGGCGAGAAAACTTCACCTTGAGATAAGAGCAAAGCCAGCAATTGGGTTGCATCACCAAGCATTTTCGTAGGCGGAGAGCGGATGTTCTAAATCCCCCAATGCAGCACAGGGACTAGCAGAGGACAAAAATATCACACCTGTCAAAAGCATGCTCGGTTGTTTGCAATGTAAGGAGAGAAAACTACACCTTGGGTTAAATTTCCTTGAGACGAGCAATGCCAGCAATTGGGGCATAGCCATAGTGAGATGCTAGCCAGATGACGAGATTATCACGCCTATCAAAAGCCATGTTGGGCTGTTTGCAATGTAAGGAGAGAAACCTTCACCTTGGAATAATTCTCCTTGAGACGAGCAATGCCAGCAATTGGGTTGCGTCACCAAGCATTATCGTAAGCGGAGAGCGGATGTTCTAAATCCCCCAATGCAGTACAGGGACTAGCAGAGGACGAAAATATCACACCTGTCAAAAGCCATGCTCAGTTGTTTGCAATTTAAGGAGAGAAAACTTCACCTTGGCCCTTGGGATAGATTTACTTGAGACGAGCCATGCAACAAGCATCGGCCCCGATGAGAAGAATAGGATCCGTCACAAAGCGTCCTCATAAGCAGAGAGGGCATGTTCTAAATCCCCCATCTGCGCCACAACTCAATCTAATGCAGCATTAGTGAGGGACTAGCAAGATGACGAACTTATCACACCTTTCAACAGGACCAGTAGCGGCGAGGGGCAGAAAGATACCAGGGGCGAGGGAGAGGGACAAAAGTGAGCTAAACAAGGTGACTGGCCACTGGTTGAGATAGTCATCAACAGAGTTCGGCGGACCAAGTCGCAGTGTCGAGCGAGGGACAGAAAGATACTAAGAGCGAAGGAGAGGGGCCAAAGTGAGCTCATCAAGGTGACTGCTGGTTGAGATAGTTATCAACAGATTGCGGCGCTCCAGGGCCGCACAAATTATATCATGCTCAGTGCGTTGTTGTAAGGCAGGATACATCACTCACCGAGTGCGTTGTTGTAAGGCGGGATACATGATCTCTGCACAGATAGAGGCATGCCCTGGCGCATCAGATAGCATGCCCTGGCGCATCAGATAGCATGCCCTGGCGCATCAGATATTGCCTTTTTGGGGGGACCGGCGTCAGGTACTGATATCCAGATGAGGTCAAGTTTCAAAGGTCCTCACCTGAATATGGTCAAGGGCTCGTCAGGATTGGCGCTCTTTGCCGGGCACGTGTAATCCTTGAGGTCTTTGCAATTTGTTTGTGCTGCCTTGCCCCCTTTGCCCTCTCGACGATAATTTGTGAGCCCACTCCCACTGAACATTCCTGTGACTCCAGACATGCCTTTGTTGCAGACTCGCCGGCCATGGCCCCCAACTCCAGGACGAAAACCGTTCTCTTCGGAGGAGTCGGCAATTCTCAGACAATACCTAGAAGATTTTCGTGTCAAAACGAAGGAAGAAAGAAAGAAGCTGCTGATGTATGAGGTATACAGACTCATGAAGGCCAAGGCACCCCCCCTGCTTACAGAGGAGCAGTGGAAGGAGAGGAAGACGGTGGGTGCTAGCTAGTCATACTGCTGCTCATTTGACGCTTTTGCCATAGAAGATCAAAGAGTGGTTTCAAAAACATGGAAGACGCATCAGGATGCCGAAGTTTGGATATGTCAAACTCATTTCCACCAGATATGTAGTTGCGCACCTGCGCCAGGAGCAAATACATGAGGTCGTGAAGAGGCTCGCAAAGGGCGCGCCACCTGGGTCAAGAGTGTTTCTTGCTAAATACCAACAAGGCCTAAAGGAAGTAATGGGTGGTCTCACAGATGCTGAGAAAGAGGAGTATAAAGGCTTGGCAGAGGAATGGACGAATGCCATACCGCCCCCTGACGTCCAAAGAAAGTGAGCGGTCCAAATCATGCCTTTCAGCGCCGTCTCACCTTGACCACCAAACAGACTCAATTCGAAACATGGCCTGGGCATGATGAGAGAAATGGATAAAGTCAAGCAATACCAGCTAGGAGTTTTCAGCTGGAGTCTGGTGGGCGACATAGATGAAAATGGACAACATAGGAGCGCTTGGTTGGACCATAATGCCGATTTTGGTCCTGAGGGCCTCTGAGAGTTCAGAGATAGTTTCCTGAGGCTGTAGGTAACATTCTGGAAGCCTGGGTCCAGTATTTGAACTACATTCAAGGTAAGATGATTATGTTGTCACGCCCTTGATCAGTGAAGTATTTAACTTCAAACTGCAGAATTTCAGCAGGGGCCTTCAGATTCACCGGCGCAACATTGCTATACCAGGCTGAGGCAGAAACGGAAGGCGCCGCATTTTGACCTCGATGGCGGCCTACCAGTGCTTCCTCTTGCGCCCGAGGATAGAGCTGAATCTGGCGATCTACTTAAATCCCTCATCAGAGAATTCATGACCATTCATTATCGTTTGGCTTCAGGCAAGCCATCAGTGGTCGTTCCCTGGTTTTGTTTAGATGAGCACAGGAACACGTTGTGGGAGAGTGAGATGTGGCCTGAGGATGTCAAGATCCGTGATCCCAGCAAATTAACGGTTCCATGCTGCAAGAAAATACTTCAATTGTGGAGAGGCCGACAGCAGACTGGTGGGGCAAGTCACACGTTTCTTTTTTCTTTTTTCATAGAAGATAAAAAACTGTCCCCTGCCCTGCATGACTTGTCTCAACAAGGCAGTACCCCTGCGCCCAGTCTAAGGAATATTGGTTCTGCGGCGGCTGTTGCCACTCCGGCGCCCAATGGGTGCGTTTCCTCTACGACCCGACCATCGTCCACCAGGCCTGGCCCGACCATTTCCACTGCAGACCCCCACATGGATCCTATTGGTCCAACACCATCTGGGACATTGATAGGTAGCCCAGATCAGCCACTGGATCCAGCAATGGTCCCAAATGCGGCCTTAATGACAACAGCGATGGGCACCCCTGCGGCCAGTACAAGGAATATGGGTGCTGTGGCGGCTCTTGCCACTGCTGCAGCCAATGGGCGCGCTTCTCCAAATGCTTCCTCTGGGGCGCATCCAGCTCATTTCACGTCGCCTATGTTAATGGACCGAGGTCTCCCTGATGATCCTGAATCCGATCTGCCCGTTGTAAAAAAAAAGCGTAAACAGACAGCGCGTGTGCAAAGTGAAGACTATACCACTGATCCCACAACTGAAGATGAGACACTCAAACGGCGCAAGGGTCCACAAAAGACGACCAGAAATTTGGCATTGGAAGATGCCATGGCCAGAAATTCAGGGGAAGACGCCGTAGACGGCGCCGTGCCAATCCTGGCTCAAAAGGCTTGCCCCAAACCCAAACGAATCACCAAGCAGCATCGGCGCCAAGGTCCAACCTCTGCTGAAGAGCAGGATGAAGCTGCCACAGCAATCCTGCCCCCAAAGGCTCGCCCCAAACCCAAACGAACCAGCAAGCAGCTTCAGCGCCGAGGTCCAACATCTGCTGAAGAGCAAGGAAACATTGACGGGCTGGAAGATGCCGCAGACCCAAATTCAAGAGTCGCAGCGCCAAACCTGCTCCCAAAGCCTTGCCCCAAACCCAAACCAATCACCAAGCAGCCTCCTTGCCAAGATCCGGCCTCTGTTGAAGAGCAAAGAAACATTGAAGATGCATTGTTTATCCGAAAGTCCACAAGACGCCGACAAGAAAAGGTCAGGGAGGCACCACCTGCACAACTACGTTTGGAAAAAGATGCGTTGAAACGAAAGGGCGCCAAAAGGGGCGCCAATGACATTACAAATGCACCGAGTAGAAACTGAAAGATATGTTTCGGTGAAAGGGCACCAATGACATTACAAATGCAGAGTACTTAAGTGCAATTGTGTTGTGCCGAATCCCAAACAAGTCATTGCATGAAAGGTCTGCCTTTTGTATTGCAAGGTGACTTGGCTTAGTGGTTAAGGTGGGAGGTGTACTTAGTGTATATAAGTATGCCCTGGGTTCGAATCCCAACAAGTCATTGCATGGCGACTACCTGGTTTTTTTCAAGTTCAATTGTGTTGTGCCAAGTGCCATGTCTGGGCCCAGATTGTGACGGCTGGAGACTGGGTAGTGAACATGTCAATGGAGAATTTCTTAGTAACTGGTTACGTTTAAATGACAGGGGCGCCAAACAAAAAGGGCGCCAATGACATTCGAAGGATAGTTGAAACGACAGGGGCGCCAAAACAACTTAGGCGCACCCATGACATGGCTAAGTGAAAGATCTCAAGTAGAAACAACTGTTCAAGACTTCGATTCAATGTTCAGTATAAAAACAAATGATTTAGTTGTCATCTTGACCCTCTCCCTTGGGCACCACAGCACGAATACTCTTCCGAGCATCCTGAAGCTCCAACTCCGCGAGTTCCAGGCCCCTGAGGTGCATTTCAAGTTGGTACAACTCCTCGTGTTTTTGACGGCGCAGCAGCTCCAATACTTGTTGGGGGTCCCTACACCGGGAAAGTAGGTTGAGAGCAGATTTGAGCCACTCTTGGCGGTGCTTCACCCCATGACCATCCTAATAAAGTGAGGTCAGTAAGAAAATTGTAGTCAGAATGGCTGACCTTGTTTCTGGGAAACTCTTCACATTGTTGCCTTACCGAATCAGGATCAGCCCAGATGTATTCAAAGTTGTCTAACTGAGGGATGAGCGAAGGCACACCACTGTGACTGGAGGATGCCTCAGGCACAGGGAGTGTTGGTCGGGTCATGTTTCTTGAGGTGGGATCGGGGCCTGGAAGGGGTGGTCAGGTCATATTCCATTGCTTGTTGGGCATTGCATCTGTTGCTCCCTGTGCCGCAGGGTGAGGTGGCCGGCTCATGTTTCACTGCACAGTGGGCAGATCAATTGGCGCGCCAGTTTGCTGGTTCATAGTTGGCGCCGGTGCATCTGGTCGAGTCAAGTTGCGCTGTTTCAGAGGGACAGAAGTTTGTGTCTCGCCTGGCGCGGGCATAAGAACTGCAGCTGTCTCCCCAGCTGGACGAGTCAAGTTTCGTCGTTTGGGAATAGCGGGGCTTTCTCGCGCCCCTGCAGCCGCCGTTGCCTCAATTGGCGCGCCACCTTGCTTGTTTGTAGTTGGCGCCAGTGCAGGTGGAGGAAGTGGTTGAGCCAAGTTGCACTGTTTGAGAGGCGCAAACGTTGGCGCCTCCCCTGGCGTGGGGATAAGAACTGCAGCCGTCTTTGCAGCAACCCCAGCTGGCTGTTCAGATGGACGAATCATGTTCTGAACTCTGGGCATTGCTTGCGCCTCGGGGGGCGTGGCTTCCCGGCCAGTTGCCGATGTCCCAGTCAGGGCCTGCGCTTGCATGGGAACAGGTGGTCGGGACATGTTGCGTTGTTTGGAAAGGATAGGAATGGTTTTCGCCTCAGGTGTCATACCTGCTTGAAGACCTGTTGGACCAGAAGCAGCTGTAGGGACGTTGGGTGCAGCTGATGGCACAGTTGCGCGACCTGGACTGCTGCAATGCCTGGACTTCTTTTCGTGGGGGTCGTGGTGGATCATCAAAGATGACTGGATATTTAGACCCTACTACGCCAGCGGAACAATGTTATGAGTGAAAACTTGAAATAAGGAATAACTTTACCTTTGAATGTGCCATCGTTGTTCGCCATGCGTGCGAATTAGACTACAAGGGTGTGGGCGAGTTGTGAACAAGATTGAATATTGATAAAAGACGAGATCGATTGATGAACATGGTCACATGACGTGACATTTGTTGTACCTTTCCAAACATGTCACGACTTCAACTTCCAACTTCAACTGCCTCCAACTTCAACGGCCTCCTCCACCGTCATCAACCACAGCAATGTCGATTCCATTCAAATCCGCCGACCTCCTGGAAGCCATTGCACACTTTGAGGACAAGCTCTGCTCTATGGTCTGGGAACGCGCGGGACAGCTCATTCCAACTAGAGATGTGGATGAGTGGTTGAACATCGTCATGAGTAAAGTTTGCTTTTACCTTACAGTCAAAGCTGATATGTTGAAGGACGAGATCAATACTCTCCTCGCGGCTGAAGCCGCTGTTACACCCACGTTCAACCCCTTCCTTCCACTCGCCCAACAGTGCAACACGATGATCCAAGAAGCTACCCTCCATTCGCCCACCCATTTCGCAGCGGATCCCTTCATTGTGGTCATAAAACATTTTCTCCCACCATCAAAGACAAGCAAACTGGACCTCACGCCGAAGACTAACCCGACTAACCCTGGCCGCCAAATTGCGATGATGATGCCAGGACCTCACGGCAAGAGACTGAACGACCTGGACAGGTTGAAGACTGTGGCCGTGACTGCTTTGGGGCACCACGCTCCTCCAGATATGCTGGTTGAGCCCGCTGTGCCCAAAGTCACGCAAAAAAGAAAGTTGGAAAGTACCGAGTTGGAGAGCAACAAGGAGGCACCCTCGACGAAGTCAAAAAAGGGGAAAGGCAAGGGGCGCGTCAAGGCGAAAAGTGCTGAGTTTGTGGAGAGCGATGAGGCCAGGGAGGCGCCTGCGACGAAGGAAAAGGGGAAAGCCGTTGCGTGGGTGGAGATTGATGAGGAGGCGCCTGTGGTGAAGAAGAAAAAGGAGGCAAAGAGGGCGCAAGTCGAAGAGGACGATGATGAATACGACGATGAAGAGGACGCACCCAAAGGCAAAAAGAAGGTGCCTGAACTCTACGACCTCATCCCGGCGAAAGAAGGCCAGCTGAAGAAGAACTTGGTGCTCTGTTTCCCCACTGATCCCACCGATCCCATCGTCTGGGATTCCACGACACTCCAGCAAGCCATTGACGATGAGGAGTTTGACCTGCCGAAAACAACTGATCGCTATGTGAAAGAAGCTCGGCGGTTGGAGAGGGATGAGAAGGAGGCTGGGGCGTCCCGAAAGAAAGGAGGGAAAGGTGGAAAACGGGGGCCGTTTTATTGGGGCCGACATGACCAACTCGATTTCGACAGGCCGGTTTCGTTCGAGTACGCCTATGACCCAGAGAGGAATCCGATCGATGAGAATGGCATCAGGAGGTACCTCGTCGCAGATGTGTTCGCCATGCCATGCACCAAGTGCACCGCTATGAAGAAGCCTTGCTTTTTTGCCGGTGGGGAGCCGACGCCTTTGGGAAGGAGCGCCATTGATGAACAAGATCTGAACAAGGCCTGCGCTCCTTGCAAGGAGTCTCGGCATAAATGCCCAGGCCATTCACGACTGAGGCAGCGGACCATCATCAACAATCCGTTTTACAAGGATGGTCTGCTCTACAAGGAGGCCAAAAAGTCTACACCCAAACCTGCCACGCCCAAGGCCACGGCGCCCAAGGCAACAGTGCCCAAAAACACCACGCCCAAACTTGTGGCGCCCAAAGCCACAGCGCCTACACCAGCGCCCAAACCAGCGGCGCCCAAACCAGCAGCGCCCAAACCAGTGGCGCCCAAACGAGACGCACCCGTGGCGGTCAAGGTTGCAGGGCCGTCGAAGCCCCAGGTAAAAGGTATTGTGCCAAACTCCCCATGCCCAATGCTCTCTGAAATGTCTTTGTTAGATTCCACTCCGAACGCCAAGCCAAAGGCCCAGCCCTCGATTGCGTCACCCTCAGACTCTGCGCCCACTGAGATTGGTAAATCTCTTCAAATGAAGTCCAGCCATCCAACTGACCAATTCAATTGCCCAGCTCATATGGAGGACCGCATCATCACACTCGAAAAACAGTGCAGGAGACTTGCGGCACAGGTGGAGGAGACAAGGGAGAAGCTCAACGGTGTCATCGAAGAGCGGAAGGAAGACGTGGCTGAACTGCTCCTCAAGCTGAAGAAGATGGAGCAATCGGTTACCTCAACCAAGGATTGGACAACGCAAAAGGTGATCTTCGCGATGGAAAGCCTTTTCCTCCTTGGAAATGGCATCCATGCGGCGCTCCTAGAGTTGGTGACGAAAATGACCAATCTTCTGGAGGAGATGGGCGCACTGGTATTGGTGGAAAGCGACGACTCAGTCGTGAAGGTGAAGGAGTTGTTGGAGCGCGCCAAACCCAAGTGGGAGGAGATGATCCAAGTCCTCGAAGCTCGACTGCCCTGCACCCAGGATTTTCAAAGGGGTCAGTCGACGTCGCCCCCCACTGATGCAGGTCCACGTTCGTCCGGCGCAGCAGATGCGATTCACACGGCGCCCACTGTCACTGATGCAGCTCCACGTTCGCCTGGCGCAGCATATGGGACTGACATGGCGCCCACCATCGCTCCATCAACTCCAGCGCCTGCTTCGAATGCACCCTCGCGGCTACACTCGCCCATCGCAGCGAAACAGCAATCAGTGGTGGCCACCGCCACTGCTGGAGTTGCACCTGCTGTCCCTTCAAGTCCCACGGCGCCCAACACCGAAGGAGTAGAACTCGCGCCGGTTGAGGTTGGCCCAGGTTCTCCACTTACCGCCATTGGATCTCGCCCCGCTTCCCCACTAAGTGGAGATGAACGAACCACGTCTACTGGGCGCAAAAGGAAGGCTGATGAAGAGGTCAACGCGGACATCACCAGGAAGAAACCGGCCAGCAATCGGAAGAAGGGCCCACCAAGTGCACCTCAGCGCAGACAACCTACGTGTGGTAAGGCTCCCGATAGCGTCAATCCGGCGACAGCAGGCCAGTCGAGCAAACCGGACACCATCATCGAGGAGGACTTGTAAATAAAATTCGCATGGCCATACATATCTTGAAATACCCTACAGTAGCTAGGGTATAATAAATTTTTTGATGCAGTTATTCTTTGGCACGCATATGCTTTGGCGCTCTTTCAGTTCAACTGACACATTTTGGGGCACTGGCAAATTGAGGTTACTTGGGGCGCAAACAAATTGAGGTTCCTACGTGTTGGCGCTCTTACATGACAGGGTTTTGGAACAGCTTGGAACCCAAACCTTGAATTCGCAGGTGTAAGTAACATGTAGCTAGGTTGACTCAGGCGCCGGTGCGAAAACAGGTGTGGCACCTGAATCAAAGAAAGACTCAAAAGTGTGCAACGTTGAATCACTCCTTCCACCACTCTCCATGCCGTCGTCAATGACGCCCATGAAACTCTCTTTGACTTCAGTACAAGTCCAACCTCATGTCCCAGGATCTTGATTGTCTTCATTACCCGAGCCACATTTGTTTGGAAATTCCATTATCCATTCATTGAACCTGTTGGGCCCACCCATTTGAAATGAAGACTTTGTAGGGCCCACGCATTGAATTGAAGACAGTAAGTACTGCCAGATATGTCGCCCACCTGATGGCACAACAACGGCTTTGGCGCAAAGCTCGTCGCCTATATTTGGCGGGCAAGCACCAGTTGGGCCCAGCCATCACTAATGGACAATTTGTCGATGGGCATGGGTCCGCAGTGAAGTCATTTCGAATGAGCGCACCCATTAATGGCAGGCGCGAGCGCCCATTATTGGCAGGCGCGCACCTGTTCGGCCCAGCCATCACTATGGAGGATATGTTGATAGGTGGGCCGAGTCCGCTGGCTCCATATGGTATGAGGTATTGTCAGGTTCGGTTAGTCCATTAGGTAAGGGCTAGGGTCACTGTCATATGTGACAGGTTGGAGTTGAGACTCCAATTGCAAGCTACTCCAAGTTTACGAAGGGTATGCATGTTACAGCCGTTTTCATAACGATAGGCCTAATCTCGACCAAATACACGTACGGGCGGAATCTAAAATTGGACGTGTAAATTGTCGGATGATGACTCTATTTAGTATAACTGTAGATCTATCGTGCTCGTCATCCCTGAAATATATGCTGATTTTCGTTGACATGATTAGAATTCGAGGTCCGACTGTATCTGTAATTTTGAACTTTTGGCCTATCGTTATGAAAACGGCTGTAACCGTTAATCAGACTGCATTCTTGGGAGAATAACTGACTCGGATCTCGGAAGTTGGATATTATCTATCTCCTAGCAACAACCTAGCAACAAACCCTTCTGAGTCGCTTTGCTTTTTAGCCGGAAGGTGGTCAAATTCGTTCAGTTTTCTCGTTGTGAGAGGAAGAATCATGAGGTCCTTCGAATCGTAGCCGGGTTCTATTCGCCTCGCCATGTAATTACTTTTCTTTTAAGAGATCGACAAATTTTGAAACCCGAAGGGAGTGTTTGAGCTGGTGACGATTCCCTTCAATTCCCCCCAATTTCGAGTCCCGGCTGGCTGTAACAGGTAAGGAAATTCATAACCAAAAGTGAGTTACAAATAATGCTGACCTGCCACTGCTGCCAAGGCTGAAGTTGCAAGACGTCGTCAGTCGGAGGATGGGGTCGCACCGGTATCGGGAGAAAACGATCAGCATGGCCATCTTGCATGATGCGGAGCTCGATGCCCTCTGGAATAATATATGTTTCCCAGTTCTTGTCATAGATGCCATTGTGACCGGGGGGATTAAAAGGCGAATAGATTGCGTAACGCTCCATCTCTGCCTGCCGCTCTCTACCCTCGCCCTCCATACACTGCTCAAGTGACAGGACACGTTCCGGTCCTCTGAAAGTAGACGAGACTGTGTAAATCAAGTTGATGCCATTAGGTGTGGAAATATAACGCCCTTGACCGCCCACAAAGTCGAGCGCGAAGGATCGCATGTCGGCTAAATCGCCGTCCCAAACTCGGATAGACAAATTGTCATTCAGGCAAACAAACTTGACGTCCTCTCCTGGCCTCGGTTTACGCTATATAGGGCAAGTCAGCCTAGGAGTTGTGTATGGGATGGTAGATGACGGCTCACACCCATCACCACACATTTTGCGTTCTCTATGCCATCTGGGATTGCCCGCATGATATCTGCCCTACCGCGCTCTATCTCAGCTTCTGCGGCGAGTGCAGCAACATCAAGCGAGCCACACATTTGGACCGCTCCTGCGATGACTTCCTCTCTCGTCACGTCGAACAATCCCATGCACATCGTTAAATACGACTCGATTTGAGCAGTGGACGCTTTTGGGGTGGACGCATTGGCAGGGATGTGGTGACGGATACTCATTGGAAGCCGCGATCGAAGTTGTCGAAAGGAGATGATAGAATCATATCGAAGCTTGTGAAACCAAATCTCATCACCAGATTCCGCGTTGGTGTCAGAGGCCGGTTTTCCAGTTCACTTCAAATTCCCGCAGCTCACATTCAGTGAATAAGCAGGAGAATTGACATTGGCATTACCCGTCAACCTCAGGTGCTATACCAACTCCGTGGCTGGGCTATCGCAAACGCGTTCAAAGTGGCAATGTCTTTCACCTTGCTATTATCCAACAGTCTCGATACGCCAGAAGATGTCAACAGTCCCTGGCCCTGCGGTGGTCTCTTCTGATCCAACGCTACCGTCCAAGTAAGCACAAGCCAAGCAACTGAGCTCTCTCCTCGTCTAGACTCGGAGCAAATGGACCCCCAAAAGCGGACCTCAAATTCAGGGTGTCCATTCTCTTTCAGAACGACACATGGAAGGCAATCCGGCGCTCTCCTCCAAGACTGGCGTGGGCAGCCTTTCAGGGGGGGTTGAACTCTCACATTCTTCATTTTTTATCCCCCGTAGTCCACGTCTGATGCTGGCAGATTATGAAGGATCTTTGAAGCTCTCCCTTGCTGTGATCCTACACCACTTACTTCGGAGTAAGCCAAAGAAAAGCACAATCAGAGGGGAATCAACACCTTCATCCGTCAAGTGGGATAGATTTCCCCAATCTCCTACATGGAGCCTTCGAACCGTGGAGACTCGCTTTCCACTCCAAGCGGCTCCCTTGCGAAGGACCAAAGCCAATGCAAATTCCCAACTTGTTCACACGCTTCCTGTGCTCAGACAAGAAAACTTGCACGAACGGCCCAGGCTTTACCAAAAGGCGTCCTGTGGTTGCTGCTGCGCAACGCATCGCACGACCTGCTACCCCGAGTTCCGTACCCAGCCTCAGCGGGGTTGCATCCAGATATACAAGGAAACCTTGAGGGGACGCAGGAAGTGAACTTGGAGCCGGTCTTCGGATTCGGATTGGTGGCGTGAGCTCCAGATCATCGTTAGCGGCAGATACGCTCAGACAACTAAGGCCTTCGGGAACGTCATACGTGACCTGACAAGCTTTTCAGTGACCGTTTAGCTGAAGGTCAACCGAAAAGCCCATCACTACACGTTGCATAGTCAATGTTTTGGTTGTGGGGGGTCGCAAAACATTCCGTGCATGCTTGCCTATTGTCAAAGGAACGGCTAGGGACAGAGTATACATCAAACTTGATATTGGTGACAATGACAACAATGTCGCATCTGCGATGTTACATTAGTATCATCCGCCATGTGTTGATAAAGGACCGCTCACAACATCATGTTGTTACTTTACAATAGAATTAACTCCTCGGGCTATAGAGCGGACATGAGTAGTGAAATCGACAAGACTGCTATCAAACGTACCCGATAGGTAGTCTTTCGCAGTGCTGGGGCTCTATAGATTGCAAGGCATTAACATGTGTTTTGATAGGGGATGGACACGACTTACCAATCCCTTGATTAACTCGTAAACACTCTTGTCGTGATACCGAAGACCTGTCGCTGGGTCAGTGTATGGTGCCTAGAGCCGATATCAACAGAGAGAACTGTTGAGATTAATTAGACATACCTCCAGCCCGGTGATATCACAGTAATGCTTCTGGGGTAGCAGGGAAGGCGGCGCCTCGATAGATAAATCTTTTGAACCACACATGCTATTCAGCAGTGTGCACACGGAGCACAATAGTAAGAACTTACAAGTGGGAATCTCCTCTTCCACACCCGTATCCCCATCTACATCCATAGCCGTCCCATCCTGCTTCTCCGCGCGTTTCTTCTCCCGTTCGACTCTTTCCCTCTCTCGCTCTTGAGTGAGCACCGCTTTCAGGTTCTTCGCTCTTCTGTTGTGATTCTTCGTGTATTCTGGGTTCTTGAATGGTCTATACCCGTTTACATACGAAAATTGTTCGACTAGGGACTGTGCGACTGTTAAACTGGGTCACTCAGATGAAGGCTTCTACTCACTGGGCCTTGGGGAGTTGCCGCGCCATCTGATGCGGCGACCTTCCTCTTGTACCCGCCTTTCGGAGGCCTTGAAGGCCAGTGAGAGGGCAAAATGATTGCTTGGAAGTGGCATACTCACATGGATGTTCGAAGGAAGGTGTTTATGCTATGTAAACATGTGCACACTGCAAATGAATTGATCTAATCTAATCGTCCTTTCTTCCTTCCAGTCATCTCCAACCCAAACCCAACCAGAACCAAAGCGCCAGGTCGCAACAATGAAGGCAAATATTGGCACAATACTCGTCGGTTCAAAAGTAGTTTTGGTTCCGTACAGGCCCGAGCACGTTCCCGTCCGTAAGCTTTGCATTCCATAAAAACCAAGCGGGAGAATTTTGACCACGCAATCACAGAAGTACCATTCATGGATGCTTAGCGAGGAACTACGCTCGTTGACCGCCAGTGAGCCCCTGACATTGGAAGAAGAGTACGAAATGCAGCGTGCGCTCTCTATCCCACGCTCAGTAAAAAACCGGCCCACTGATTTCAATTCATCCGGAATAGAAAAATGGCAATTCGATGAGGACAAGCTGACATTTATCATCCTCGCGCGCGACCGCCATGTGAACGAGGTGACATCCCCACAAGACCCGATACTCAACGATCTGCAGATGATTGGAGATGTGAACATATTTCTCTCAGGAAGCCTCGCGGAGCTACGCACTGATACCGCGGAGGGGGTCGAAGACGACGAATGCCATGGTGCCGAGGTTGAAATTATGATAGCGGGTGCATATTCATTTCATCGGATTTGCGTCAGCGTCCTTGGAAATTGGTTTACAATTTTTTTTTCTAGAGCCCGAATATCGGCGGCGGGGGTGCGCAATAGAAGCTCTCCATCTAATGCTTACCTATGCCACCGGAAAACCAAGCGCCTTCTCCGCGCCTCCACCACCTCCTGCCCTTACCATAGATTCACCACTCAAAATCTCCCCGTGCCGCTTGCTCACGCGCATCTCGGAGACTAATATTGCGAGCATCGCTTTGTTTCAGAAGCTCGGATTTCAAGTCACGAAGCGCGTCGAAGTGTTTGGTGAAGTGGAGATGCGGTGGTAAAAGGTATCCTGGACCGAGTAATTGACGCCTTCTCAAAGGGATTACAAAAGGGTGTATATTTGATCAGACAGACCTCGCGCCAGAAAAATGAAACGAGAAGGAATTCGGGTAATATCCCGTCCTAAGGTTCTGAGGATTCCTACGTCAAAAAATCTCTGCGGTGAATGTTGACGACGAGAGCCACGGACACACTTTTACTAACCTCTCCATTACTTATCAAATATTGCTCAAGCCCGACGGACCTGGCTTCGGATGAACGCCATTTAGACCCGCCCGGTCTCCAAGCCTTCTCAAACGGCTTTTCCATAGGGCTTCAACTGACCAGAGTTTCGAATTGAGTTCTGAAATCACGAATGAGGATGATCGATGATGCATCAACGTTTCAAAGTTCAGCGCTCAGCGCTCCGAGTCAGCGCTGATCAGCAGCCAGCGTGATTAATATTCATGATGTATCGATGAACACTTACGGAACCGGCGAACCTCCCTCAAAAGGCCTATTGAAGGCGTATGTTTTTCATCTCATCTATACATCTTCGTTTTGACAGAAGAAGTTCGGATTGCAACGTCGACTACAACCACGTGGCCGCCTAGGGTCGTTACTATGCCTTAGGCTCTGTTCGGCAACGAGAATACGGTCGTATTCTCATTTTGATGGCAGACGGTATTATTCCCACCATGCCAAATCATGTAGCTGCGGCACGTGGATAGCTACCTCACACTTTATATGGAGATCTTTTATTTATTATTTCTGCACATAATTATTGGTGTTCCAGCATGCAGTTCCTATCTTAGATTCTTAAATATAAAATATGAATATTTATCACAACCTAATTTAAGCTGGTGTTTTTTTTGAAGAGTATCTTGAAGTATTGTGCATATTCTGAATACTGGGCATATTAAAATCACATATTTGAATTTTGATGAGCTATTTTAATTATTCTAATATTATTTTATATTACTATATTTCTTGTTTAATCCTTTGTACCCATCCTAATAGTGGAGATTCAATGTTGGATATATTCCAGACAAATATGAAGTAAATTGAAGTACAATAATGCCACTAATCAACCAATCCCGCACCTGTTGAGGAAATGACCGGAGTGAAATCAATGTGAGGTAGCTTTGCACGTGCCGCGGCTACCTGATTTGGCATGGTGGGAATAATACCATCTGCCATCAAAATGAGAATACGACCGTATTCTCGTTGCCGAACAGAGCCTTACTATGCGCTACCTTACAGATGTATGCATAACCACCCATTTCCAGTCATTGAGCTCAACTTCTGCACTCTACAGGTTGACCTCCTAGCCGATATTCTCGAATACGCCTGATCCAGCTACGGCCTTTCGGACGCGGACCTCAACAGAATAGCGTCCTACATTGAAGAATGTACCAAGAACCTCGCTTCTATCGAGCAACAGCTGGCTATGGAGCTAGAAATCGAGCGACCGTGGCCGAACCACATCCGCGCAGACCTGCGGTTAAGAAAGACCATGGAGATCAGAAGGATAAGGATCTGTCGGCAAATTGGGGCGCCTATCCGACAATTTCTCCTTGAGATCCTTGGGGAGATATTTACGCTCTGTCTGCCCCCCATAATGACGAAGCACAAGACACGATCCCTCCGCAGGAGTGAAGCACCGCTGTTATTGTGCCGTGTCTACTCCACCTGGAGAAATGCAGCGATTAATACCCCTCATTTGTGGAAACAGCTTGAATTCCGGATCCCGGATCCCTTGGGGCTGTCCATTTCTGTGGATTTGGTTGAAAAGATGAAATTATGGGTTGGGAGGGCAAGAGACCTTCCTGTCTTGCTGCGACTGGTGTTGCGAAAGCGATACATCCCAGCAGCCGAGGCCTACTTCAGCTTGGAGGAAACGCTTTCACAGGAACCCTTGTCGTCGGTGTGTAACGTCGACATATCGATACCCACGTCCTCCGATTTATATCCCTCGTTCAAACGAGCAGACGGATTCAAGCGCCTTGAGTCGCTTGTCGTGCGCTCTCATGACAACCTCGACTCCACGGCCGACCAAAGTCCCCTAATGCTCTTGCCCGGAGCCTCCATGCTCCGCCGAGCTGTGTTGATCAACGTCCTTTCTCAACGAGTTTCCCCCATTCTCTTCCCTTGGGGACAGCTCACACATTTATACGCTGGAGACTCTCTGTCCGTCAAACAATGGTATTGCGTGATGAGCTACTGTGTCAATCTGAGGGTCGCCACTTTTGGCATTGTCGGCTGGGCTGACTACAATTTTCGTCCTACTGGAGCACCGGTCCTACTTTCTCGTCTCAGCGTCTTAAATATCATGCATGACCCGACTAGAACTTTTGGCGAATCTGAATTCCCATTCAGCGGTCTTGCCCTCCCAGCCCTAAGGACTCTCCGAATTCTGTCGCGTGACTTCTGCACTTGGGAAGGTCTCAGTGATTACTCCCAGTTGCACTTCCTTCGGGAGCTCGCGCTTGTTGGGTCATTCACCATTTTGCCAACTCATTTACAAGACCTTTGCAGATTATTCGGAGCTACACCGCTCTTGTCATCATTACAGTTATCGATACAAACACCCTATGATGTCCTCTTTGCCCATCTTTTACCCACTGCTAATCCAACACTCCTTCCGAACCTCGAAAATCTTGAAATTCATTGCAAGTTCTGGAGCTATGTAGCGCCCGAAGAATTTCCACCCGTGTTTATAGATCTGATTAAGGCGCGTTGGGGGATTCCTTTGCAACCACAGGCAGCATACAGCTCTAAAAAAACTGTCCGTTTACTGCAAGCCATCTTGTATTCCAACGGAATGGACGAAACTTACCTGGATATTATCCGAAAATCGTTAAAGCCTTGTGTTGACGAGGGACTTGACCTTCACTTGGGCGCTGATGAAGAAGGAGAAGATTCCATACATGTTATGCCTTTTACCAACGATATTCGGCACTGGCATGAGGATTTGCTCGACGGAGGTGCCATTCGCTTCGGAAGATGTCAAACATGTTTTGATTGAGGGTCCCCGCTTTTGCCACCTGAGTAAGTACTAGCCAGTATTTGGTAGTAGCAACTTTCGCTGTAGTGGGTCGAATATTGGCGGCCTGTACTCTTCGAGAGGCCACATTGTGATGATAAATTTAGAATGTTCACTAATACTAGTAGTTCTAGTTTATAATCCTACGCGTAGACCCAAACCATGGTGCTCTCAAAGGGATAAAATTGATGAACTCGAACGCTCTGTGTTTACCCTTTCGTTCACTTTTTTGGGGGATCTGTATCGATAACTCCGGAGTTATAGGCTGGATGTTGAAGATGCTAGAGGCAACATCGGGAATTGTACCATTCTTATTCGCCTGGCAGCTTCATCACATACAACTAATCTACAATTCGTAAGTTATATCTAAAACAATACAGTGGCGAAATTATTTTGAGCAGCAAAAGACAATGAGACGTCAAGAAGGAGGAAGAGCTACCAGCACGCAATTGAGAATTAATTGTCCTAAGGAGATGTTTCAAGAGACATTCAAGTCGAAGTCGACAGACCAAAATTCTAGCAAACATTGAATAATTTTTGGGCAAAGCGTCAAGTCTTGGACTCACCAACGTAATAAACTCACTCAAAATACCTGGTGGGGCGCAAGTTCCACTCGTTCTTCGCATAAATTCCAAGATGGGTATACGCATCTGTTTTGAACCCAATTTTCCAACGGACGCCTATCCTCCTAAGGCCCGCCCTCAAAGCTTTCACCTCCTTCAAATCCGTGAAGTCTTCCGTATAAACGCAAATGACATGCCGTTCGCCCTCCTTACGCGTTGAGACCTTCGCTGATCCTTTCTTAAGCTGAACACAGAGGAGATGGACGACTTTTCCCCATAAAAGATCGATACTTTCGTGGTCAGCGAAGACGAGCCACTTCCCCACGAGCACGTTGTGAGCTCGCGATATTTGATCAAGATTTTCAACGGTTACGGCGCCAGAAGTGATGAGGTTTTGGAATGAGGAAGTGAGAGAGGCAACATCGGGCGTGCACGGTTGATTTCCGCCTCTATCTATGGCGATCCATGCGCTGTAGGCCGGCGGTGTACGACTCGGTGGCCATCGTGTCAGAAATTGGATGAGTCTTTCCTCCGTTGATGTGACTTCGTCCCAGCACGAGCCTATCCATGCTCCATCGGCGTCTTGAAAGAGTTTGTCGGCAGGTAAAGGAGGGGGGACCCAATACGAGTCAGGAATCGATGGAGAAGATTCTGGAGTGTCACTGTCCATGTCAACATCCATATCCATGTCTGTCATAATTATTCAAGGGGAGTGAAGAGAAAAAGAGGAGAAGGATTATAGAAAGCGACTTTTGAAGATATTTGGAGGCTATGGTTGGGTATCGGACGACAGGACGTTACAGATAATCGATGCCGAAGCTAAAGCTGAAAGGAAGCCAAACAATTAGCCGGTCCGCCCTCGGGCCGTTTCCCGATCGCATTCAATGAAAACATTGATGTTGCGTAGATTGGTTTGAGCGTTCTGCCAATACCCTTCATTCTCCACGAAGTGTCGCACTTTTTTTATGGAAACTAATGAGGAAAAGACGAGGTTCGTACATAGACACTGTCTTTCAGAGTTTGCCGTCATCTTTATCCTGCCTTTTCACAGACACCCCTATGACGAGACGCGTGGACATGAGCAGGGCACAAGGGGCATCCCTCTCAAAACCCTTCTTGGCTCTCCCACCATGGCACTGTTACACTCCGCTTCTATCCCCTCCGAAGGTGACGTGCTTCAAGTGAAAGCTACGATACAAGAGGGAAAGGAGAACCTTCGATTACTGGACGAACGAATTGCGCTCTTGCGTTTGAGTCTTCTCGAGCTCGAACAACACCGTGAGGAGGTGCAGACATATGTGACACGTCACGAAGCTGTCTTCTCGCCTATACGCCACTTGCCTCCAGAGATACTCTCAGATATCTTTTTAACCGCCACAAATGGACAGTGCATGGCGTGGCCTCAAGACCATGCTGCTCCCTGGCATCTCGACAAAGTGTGCAGCTATTGGCGCACCGTGTTTGTTTCCCTCCCCAAGCTTTGGTCAACCATCCACTTGAATCTCAAAGACGATATATCGTCAAGTGCATACCAGTTTTTAAGGACGTGCCTTGACCGATCTCGGAATGAACTTCTGACATTCTCCATTATGACAGGTGGTACAGGCACGCTGCTATGCGACATTGTGGACGCGCTTGTCTCGTGCTCTTCTCGCTGGCAAAGCGCTTCCTGGGACATGGAGATGTTGTGCAGCGTCCGCAAATCACTCTCCTCCGTTAAGAGTTCACTCCCCTATCTTCAACGTCTTCATGTTGCTTCTTCCCAAGCAGGGACTATAGGAGAAGCCGTTCTTGATGCCTTCGAGGTCGCTCCACGGCTGACAGATCTTTCATTGATCCAGATTGTATACCCATCCCAACTCCTCCGACTTCCTTGGGGCCAGCTCACACGGCTCAAACTTAGCGGCAATACTTTGCGAGAGGGCGAGTTCACTCGCATACTTCGACAAACGCCCAACCTCATCGACTTTTCGACGGAGAATGAACGCGTTCTAGAAGTGACCTCGGAAGCTGTCAGCCTCCCCCACCTGACCACCCTCTCGGTCGTGAACAAAGGGAGTTACATCACCCGCATCTTCCAGCTCATCACGGCTCCAAAACTAACGGAACTCCATATTCACGCACGTACCGCCTTTTCTCCGGAACACGTCCTCGGGATGCTCCGTCGGTCTGAATGCCCACTGACAGATCTCACATTGGAGGCGTCGCACGACACTGACGCTATGTGGGAAGAAAACATCGGCATTATCTGCCTCTTGGCTGAATTACCAGGACTCACTAAGGTTGATTTACGCGTTCTGCGCGCGTCAGACGCGATCATACCCCGCCTAACGTATCGGGTAAATGCCCCGGCCCCTCTTTTGCCATGCCTACAAGTCTTCTCCCTCGAGGACCCTCTTTGCAACTCTGGTGCGGCGCTTGAAACGATGCTTAAATCTAGGATGACGTTTGGGCATTCTTTCAAGGGAGAGAATGTGTTGCGGTCCGTTTCCTTGAAGTTGTCTAAGCCTGCACCTCCGACGTTTCCTGAGCTCGAGGGTTTGAAAGAATTGGCAGACAAGAAGGGACTGAGGATCGAAATCTCGTAAGTACTCCCTCTGTTTTTCATTTGATATCGCTAAAGTCTTTTCACGCAGTCCATAAACCGCCTTCGCATCGCGAGTCGCAACGTTGATCAAAGCACTCAAGTAACTTTACCATGTTGTTATTAGGCAGAGTTAGATCGTTAGGTGGTTGCAATTGAGGACATGGCGAGCAAGCCCCCTCTGAGATTAGACAGACCAAGTTGGACTTAAAGGACGAAAAAAAATTAACATGTAGTTACACTTACCAGCACTCAGTCCCTGATTCGAACAGGGCTAGTAACGTCACCCAGGAGGGCCGGAGCCACCCCAGGTCTGTGGGACGACCGCGATAACCACTACGCTACCGAGTTTTAGTAACAAACGTTGAAACTGACATGATTAATATTTTACAGCGTATCTCACGTATTACTGTAAAGAACTTGGCTCTCGTTTCTAGCACATAGAGTTATACGTAGCCGAACGCGACGCTATAAGGACTACTTGGCCATGTTCTAAATTACTCGGGCCCTAGATGCAGCTGCAAGGAACAGGAAATGTGGAAGGGAGGTATTGGTGTCCAGATCAACTTGCAACAGGAGAAAAAATAAATTTACCCAGTCCCTGATTCGAACAGGGCTAGTAACGCCAGCCGCCTCGGGCATCACGGGGCGACCGCGATAACCACTACGCTACCGAGTCTTAACAAGACAATTGCAAGAAACAGGAAATGTGGAAGGGAGGTATTGGTCACGGTGTACAGACCGACGTGCAAAAGGAGAAAAAAAAAATTTACTCAGTCCCTGATTCGAACAGGGCTAGTAACGCCGCCAACGGGACGACCGCGATAACCACTACGCTACGGAGTCTTATTAAGCATCGTTGAAACTCGTATAACCTGAGTCACAGCGTGCCCTTAGATATCTCACCAACACAAAAATCGACAAACTGCAAGATGTACTACTGTAGAGCAAGTACTACTTGGCTGAGTCGTTTCTAACACACATACTACACAAAATTACACGTAACGCGATGCAATAAGCACCACTTGGCCACGTTCAAGATCACCCGAAATGGTGTATGATAACAACGCTCGAAACGGAAATGTGGAACCAACACCAAGAATGAGTGACCGAATTTTTATTCCAATAATAGCTATGTGCTATGTATACAACCAATAATATGAATGCAGGCAAGCATCGAGCTTGCGACAGAACAAATACAACATAATCTACAGCGACGAATGAGTGAGTATCGATACAACAAGACGATATCCAAACAGCGAGAGTCATAATCGCGAGCGCGCTCGCGCATGTCATCATGGGGTGTCGTTTGAGTCACAGGCGTTTCAGATACTGCGGCCAAGTGCAAGTCTGCGCATGACCCTGCTGAAGTGTCGGGGGTACATGTCGGTGGTGGTGGCACTAGCCGCCGCCGCGGAGGCCGAGGGAACGACGGACGAAGAGGCAGTCTTGCCCTTCTTAAGTTTGCACGACTTCCCCTTGGAGGAGGTCGTCGACGTCCCAGTGGGTTTGGCACCACCGGTCTTGGTTGCCGACGCCGTTGAAGATGATGCGGTCGTGGTTGCGTTACCAGGAGTAGAAGTGCCACCGTTCACGAATGCAGCGATAGGAGGACCGGGGAAGGTGTATGGTGCACTGGCATCGAACACCTGGGGATCAAAGATGCCAGGGTCATTGTCGCTGTACGCCCCGGGCAAACTGACCAACTCCGAAACATCGGGAACTCCAGTGCCCGAACCGCCGACTGTGAGCTGCCCACAGGCGGGGTAGAACTCCGCGCCGCCGAGGGATGTGGCGAGATGGAGAGCGATGATTTCGTGGCGGATCATGTAGTTTCCTGGTGCGAGGTTGGATGGGAGTTTTACGCTTGCGAGGGAGCCGGTCACTGGTGTGCATAAATAAGCGGGGATCACGAGCGTAATGCGGGAGAGACTTACTAAGACTTTGTTGAACCCAATCCGCTGAGCCAGGAGCACGACCTACTTGGTCGATCTTGAACCATTTGGCGGTCTGTGGGTCAAACTTGTCACAGGTCGTTGACCCGCAAGATGCTAGGTATGTGAGCATTGGGCCGGTATTGTGAGGCCACTAAGGGATGGTCAGCGATTTTTATTGAACAGAACGTAAAGGTGCGTACGTTGCTGCCATCAGCACCTTTCCAATCAAAGCCAAACTGGTCACCGGGGTTCGCGTTGGCAACGAGGGTCGCGGGTTGGGCGTTAGGCCCACAGTTGAGTGCTGCATTGCTCGCACCCTTGTTAGGGTTTGGAGTGGAAACTTGGCGGATAATACTGGAGATGGGTGTGCCCCCGTTGACACCGTTTCCCAAGAACGATTTGCCGTTGATCGTTATTTGGTGAAGAATGCCATGAGCATAAGTGGATGCGGCGAAGATAAGGGGAATGAGGGTGCTAGTGGTCTTCATCTTGTGTATTGTGTGTAGGATCTAGGATGCGTGTCGTTGGCTGAGCATAAATTTGGAAAGTAGGGAAGAAGTGTGTCGCGCAGCGAAGACTAATTGGAAGCGTCAAGCTCAGAAACTGGAGAATAGAAAAAAGAAAGTGAGGAAAATGGGATAGAGAATGATAGCAACTTACCAGACTCCTTTATAGTATTCGAAGGGTGGCCCGCCTTTTTATTGTTCCTCCAGGCGGACGCAAGGCACGAATGAAAAATGTGGCTATCTTTGACAGGAAGGCCACAGCCACAGTCACAACAATCCAGCTTCTTGCCATTGTCCCGCCAAATATAAGCCAAATATTGGGCTCACAACCGACAAAACCCCCATTATTCCTCCGGTCGTTATTCTGTCTCAGCAAAACACAAAGGAATTTGTTTGGGGCACTTTCTTTGCCACTGTTCATCGGCCACTCTAGGCCACTCCGCGTTGTTCCCTGCATCGAACATGAGGTGCCTGGCCATGTTCATCTTTCCTTGGTTTTTCCCCGGTTCTTGCCCATTGGCAAACCCCCGCAAATCAAGACTGAGCATCTGACTCTCCCAAAATACATCGCCATGATCAAAACCTAGTTTTGAACAACGACCTATACACGTGTCCTTGACGTTGTCGGGAGAGTTATGTGGCACGATGACTACCGATAACTCCAGATAACTCCCTATCAGCTGATGGATGATTGTCAATATTTTGAATCGCCACAACTTCCGCGACGACTCGATTTTTGGATAACACTTGGGACAATTCGTCAAGTTGGACGACATTCGTCGCGTTTACTTTTCTCGATTGCTCAAGGTCGATTCTTTCATGTTTTCATGTTGACCTCATACGATTGATCATCGCTTGATTCCGCTCATTCCTATTTTTAGGTTCATATATTCACCTCCAGACAAAGGTTTATTTATATCCCACCGCATTCGTTACGCCTCGCCACTGACTCACACCCTTTCCTCCGACCTCAGGCCTCAGGCGCAACCGTGCCCCGCATTATGATCCAACTTTAGACAAAAATCTATTTCTGCATAGATTCATTTGCGATCGGACCACGCGCTTTGTGCAAGCATGCCTCTGCTTCGATGCGTCTTTTATTTTCGGACTACAAGGCAAGAGTTTTGATATGAAGCCAAGCTCTTTCGATTTGATTACTGTGTTTTGTCCAGGTGCGTCGAGACCTTGCTTAAATTTATCCTCCGCGAGTTCTCCCGGTCAGCCACTTCAAAGTGTTCTTCAGAAATTTCGGCAAGGCGCGCGCAATAAAAAATGCGCCCCCCTCAGCGTATGCCGACGGAGATACTCGTAGGGTGGGCCACTTCTGCATCGCTGCCTTGGTAACGGCGACGATGTTATCAACGCGTGGATTCCCGCGAAGATCGTCAGGAAGATAGTTATGTCTCGTCGCCGCAGGAGTTAAGAATGCATTGACACCGGAACACTGTCGCTCAATCAGAGCGGCCGAGTCAATAGATCGGAATAAGCACGCACGTCGAACAAGCCTTGGTGGGCCCCGGCCCGCCCAGCGCGACTTGAAGTAAGTACCAATCTATTACACAAAGCCACAAACTAAAATATGAAATGGCGTGTTGGAGGTTGCCCAATGATCTGCTGGTTGGTTGGGATATTGCATCGGGGCAAATGAAGCCGAGTCCCAACATGCCCAATTGTAAAGTTAGCGCTCGCTGAGATTCACTCGGAGTTCAAATCCTCCTCTATAACTATCTGAGGCGCCATCGATATCGCCGTCATCTTGTGCCCAACACGTACTCCTACTGAGGTCAGAAATTTGAGTCATTGAACGAGTAATCAAGGCTGACGTTCATCGTGACTTTGCTAAAGTTGCAACGCTACTTCAGATGTCCAGCAACGAACACCAGTGTCTACAACCATTCGAGCTCCGAGTCATTGAACGACCTTCAGACGAAACATTACGTGCAATCCTTAGATCTACTCCCTTCGTTCCGTACGGAGCTGAAGCTGAAGCGATACAAGATGACATCGCTGATGCGGAGTCAGAATTGGAGAGGCTGCAAGACTACATCGTTGACGCGAAGTCAGAATTAGAGAGGCTGCAGGGGGAAATCACTCTTGCCATGGAGAGGGTGAGGCAGTTGAAAAGTCAACGCCTGCCCTTTCTTGAATCTTATATCAAGCTGCGAGAAGCAATCTTTGCCCCTATTCGCCAGCTTCCGACTGAGATTTTGCTAGAGATTTCTTGATTGATTCACCCAGTGTTTCTATCACGGCAACTGCAGGTTTTCCATGGAAGCTTGGCTACGTCTGCGGCTGCTGGAGAGACATTGTGTTGTCCTCTCCAAAATTGTGGTCATGCATCGACCTCGGCTTTCCCGATAAGCAAATATCCAATCGCAGGGGACTGCAAGCGTGCAATCTCCTCAAGCTTTGCCTTGCCCGCTCTGGACAACACCCATTGTCGATTCGTCTATGGGCTCACAAACCCAATGTAGAAATCAGCAGGGATATCGTAAAGATTGCTTTGCAAGTTCAAAACCGTTGGAAAAATTTGCGTTTTGGTGGGAACTGGGAAGAAATTAACGACTCACATGCGCTCCTTCCCCCCACACTGAACCTTCCCCTGCTACAAAGCCTCGAATTTGACCCCCCACTTCATTTCAGACTCTCAATAGTCTCACCCAGCCTGGAGTCTTTAGATTTAAGATCAACTTCCAATTTATCCGTTCGGACTCTGACTCAAGAATGGCCACGAATCACGCATCTTACACTATCTCTCGATATCGACCCAGACGATTTCGCCAGTACCCTCCTCCAGTTGCCAGAGCTATTAGAACTCAACATCATTTCCTTGCATCCGAGTCGAAGCAGCCCCTCTACTCCTGTCCATCTTGACCGTCTCCTGATTCTGAAAACTGCCCTCGAAAATCCCATCATCGGCAACCTCACCACTCCCAATCTTCGGACACTCCTGGTTCGCGGCGAACTTCGTACGCCCTCGGAGAGTCTTTCAGGCGGCCAAATCATTGCCAATCTCGTGCAACGCTCCCACTGTTCTATTTTTCGCCTTACTCTGCGTCGGGATTTTTCAGTCCGAGCCTTTCTTCAAATTGTGGGCGTCACTCCGAATGTCGAGCATCTTGATTTGCTCCGATACACACGGGGGAACACACTCTGGGAACATCTGATGCACGAGGGGGATCTCACCCTTCTTCCCCGCCTTCGTGCCTTGAATCTCGGCGTGGTTTCTTCGTCAGAATGTAGAGATTTGGTTCACGTTGTGAAGTCAAGAGCAGCCACGCCATCAAGTTCGGAGGGACATGGTTCTTCACCAGGAAGGCTGAGAAATCTCAGCCTTCGACTTCCTCGAGTACAAAAGAACAAAGACCGCCTAGAGATTCAATATCTTGATCAGCTTCAAGGATTTGGTGGTCTCAATGTTGACTTTGATTGCGCACCCTGTCTTGCCATTTGAATGCCAGTGTGGTGTCCTGGCCACGGCCTATCACATTTTGGTCTGGTCGGCTCGACCGCCTTCCAGAACAATCGTCCGTCTATCCCTATTTGTCTCGACTGCCTCCTGTTTTAAGATTGCACTTCAAGGAAGCCACATCATCGGAAATTATATCCCCAATCTTTGTGGTCAAGGTGACTCAACCGCCACTAGTGTGTACTACAATATCACAAACATATCGGAATGCTCCTAAAAAGATAAAGTGTCGACTTCCTCAAGACATTCTAATTGGTAATATCAGTGGTCATCGGGGCAACTGCCAAATGTGCTTGACTGTACTAAAATTAGCGCTCGCTGAGATTCACTCGGAGTTCAAATCCCTCTTTCACGAATCACGATTACGCCTCGGTGAGGCGCCATCGATATCGCCATCATCAAGTTCAGTGATTTGTGCCCAACACGTACTCCTACTTCGGTCAGAAATCTTGCAGTATTGACCGAGTTTCAAGGCTAACATTCCTCATGACTCTATCTGCAACGGTATTCCTTCAGATGTCCGGCCACGAACATCGTCTGCAACCATTCAAGCTTATTGAACGACATTCAGAAGAAACATTACGTGCTATCCTTAGATCTACCCCCTTCGTCCCATACGGCGCTGACGCTGCAGCGATACAAGATGACGTCGCTGACGCGAACTCAGAATTGATGAGGCTGCAGGATGAAATTGCTCTTGCTATGGCGAGGGCGAGGCAGCTGAAAAGTGAACGTCGGCTCATCCTGCTTTCTACTCCCGTCGTTCCGTACGGAGCTGAAGCTGAAGCAATACAAGATGACATCGCTGATGCGAAGTCAAGACTGGAGAGGCTGCAGGGGGAAATCAGTCTTGCCACCGCGATAGTGGAGCAGCTGAAATGGGATCGCCGTCGGCCCATTCGATCTTATATCAAGCTGAGAGAAGCAATCTTTGCCCCTATTCGCCAGCTTCCGACTGAGATTTTGTTAGAGATTTTCTTGATTGCTTCACCCAGTACGGTTTCTATCACGGCAACCGCGGGTTTTCCATGGAAACTTGGCCACGTCTGCGGACGCTGGAGAGACGTTGTGTTGTCCGCTCCAAAGTTGTGGTCCTGCGTCGACCTCGGCTTTCCCGATAAGAAAATATCCAATCGCAGGGGTGTGAAAGCGTGCAATGTCCTCAGGCTTTGCCTCGCCCGCTCTGGACAACATCCATTGTCGATTCGTTTATGCGCTCACAAGCAAAATGAAAAAATCAGCAAGAATATCGTAAAGATTGCTTTGCAAGCTCAAAACCGTTGGAAAAATTTGCGGTATATCAGTGGGAACTGGGATCAAATTCCTAGCTCAGATACACTCCTTCCCCCCACCCTGAACCTTCCCATGCTGCAACATCTCGAGTTTGACCCCCAGCGTCACGGCAGACTCTCAATAGTCTCACCCAACTTGGAGTCGTTAAAATTAACATCATCTTCCGATTTATCCGTTCGGACTCTGACTCAAGCATGGCCACGAATCACGCATCTTACACTATCTCTCCGCATGAACCCAGACGATTTCGCCAGTACCCTCCTCCAGTTGCCAGAGCTATCAGAACTTGATATCCTTGGTGTATATAGATGCGACAGCCCCTCTATTCCTGTTCATCTTGACCGTCTCCTGATTCTAAGAACTGCCCTCGAAAATCCCATCATCGGCAATTTGACCACTCCCAATCTTCGGACACTTATGGTTTCAAGCTATGGCGAATTAACGTCCTCCGAGGAGAGTCCTCCAGGTGGCCGAATCATTGCCGATCTTGTGCAACGCTCGCACTGTTCTATCTTTCGCCTTAGTATTCTGTCGTCTTGGAATCTTTCAACCCGAGACCTTCTTGGCATTGTGGGCGTCACTCCGAATGTTGAGCATCTTGATTTGCTCATCAGCCAAAGGAAAGAAATCTGGGAACAGCTGATGTACAAGGAGGATCTCACCCTTCTTCCCCGCCTTCATACCTTGAATCTCGACATAGTTTTTCCGTATGAATGTCGAGATGTGGTCCACATGGTCAAGTCCAGAGCAGCTCCGCCATCAAATTTGGAGGGACATGGTTCTTCGCCGGGAAGGCTGAGATTTCTCAGCCTTAAACGGCTTCCTGTAAAAAAGAGCAAAGCGCGCCGGGAGTTACAATATCTTGATCAGCTTCAAGGATTTGGAGGTCTCAAGGTTCAATTTGATGTTGCCACTTGAATGTGGAGATATTTGCGGCCAGGGCTTACCATCACGCATATCTTTCTTGGTTGGTCTACTATCAGCAGATTTCGACCGCCTTCCAAAACAATCAACCGTCTATCCCTACTCATCTCGACCGTCTCCTGTTTTGAAAGGTTGCGCTTGGAAGCCACGTCATCGGAAATTCATCCCCAATCTTTGATGCCCAAGCCAGCAGTCAAAAGCCAGTGTGTTGCCGAGCTTCGATAACGCTCACGCTGCACCACCTCAAACAAAAACCTTCTTGGAACTATGGCCGTCAATCTGGATGAAGAGCACCTTGATCTCTTCGTTTCTCGAAGATCGACAGTGTGGGAACACCCAGTGATGTCCTCACCTTGTTTCCTCGCCTTCACACCTTGAATTTAGACAGTATTTCTGGCAGAGTGTAGAGATGTGGGCTACGATCGGACACGATGGTGGACGACGTGCAACACTGTCAATCAATCATATCATTTCAAAAATTATCTATATATTACGAATAGTAAATGTATCGTATCCAGAGCTCTAAACTTGTCCAATCTATTGGGAATCAAAAGGAGAATGAAAAGAGTGAAAAAGAAAAAAACACCTAAACCAAGGTGCCCCTGATGAAATGCAAAAACCCAATGAAAGCTTTGGGATAGACATAACTCAACCCTCAAATCTGCCCCTTTTCACTAACCCCGACATCCTCATCCCGAATCCTCCGATTCTTGGACGCCCTCTTTGAGCCCATTCGGATCCTCTCTCCATACTTATAAAACACAAACGGTATAGGTGCAATCGCCAACGCAAGAAGCGCTAACAATAGCCCCGCGTACTGGAAGCCCATGTTGTGGAACATTGGGTTGACGAATAGAGGGACCATGGCGCCGATCTCTGACCGCATGAAGGTCTTGGCCGCCATGGCCGTTGCGGCGCAGTTTGAGTAAGAGTCGATGATGTACGAGTTGGCTGAGACGTAGAGGAGAATCATGGCGAACCCAAAGACGACGCCTGAGACGATGGGACCCATCCAGTGGACGTGGCGGTATGCGCCGGTGAAGGCGAAGATGAAGAGGGCCGTTGGCATGATACTAGGAAGTTGTGAATGAGATGACGTTCCAGAAGGTGACGAGTCAACGTACAATGCACCTGCCATCATCGGAAACAGGCGAGCTTCAGGGTATGAGCCGTTTCTTGTTGCGTTTTTGTAAAGTTTTTCTTGCACGGGAACTAGAGCCAAAGCACCAAGGATACCCAGCATGATGCTGACGAAGGTGATCCCGGTCATGCCGTCGCTGAAGCCTCGAATCTCGCTGAAGGCGATGGGGAAGGCAAAGAAAAGGAGGTAGAGGAGGCTGTATACAAAAGAGAGGTCTGTGTGGTGATCAGTATAAATCCCAGAGAAAGAAGTTTGCAATGCTAACAGATGGACATAAAGATCACGATGGGCTCCGTCAGGATCATAATAAACGGCCGAATCAGAGCAATCTTGAGTGTCTCAGAGAAAGGGAGTTTTTCCAGCTCTTCGAGGGTCCGGTACTTATCATCACCCGTTTCTTTCCTTAGCTTCTCAGCTTTCTTGCGCAGGATGACGGGGGCGAGAGTCTCGGGGATGAAAAACGTAAAGATGAAACAGACGCCGATGAAGATGAATAGGACCCAGTAGATCCATCGCCAGCCGGCACGCATGCCAATCCAACCCCCAATCATTGGGCCGATACAGGGACCCATGCTGATACGACAAAATTAGCATGGAAAAGATTAAAAAAACCATGTAGGACATACAAGAGGGTTCCAGAAAAGAGAGCCATGGGAGCCCCACGATTTTCAACAGCCCAAACGTCGGCGATGGTGCCGCCTACGTTGCATATGGGTGCTGATGCGCAGAGCCCGGCAATCATACGTGCGACAACGAGGGTAGCACCGTTCTTCGCCAGCGCGCTTGGTAACGTGAAGATGAAGTAGAGGAAGATGCTGATGCAGTAGATGGGACGACGGCCAAAGACTTCCGATAGTGGTGCAAGGAAGAGAGGTCTGAAAAGAGTCAAAAGAGGGCAAGTGATAAGAGAAAGACACATACCCAAGCCCGAAGCCCATAACAAAGCAGGTAACCGTGAGGTTCGTAATTGTTTGTTGGATATGGAGCGTTTTTGTAGGACCGACCATATCGCCGGTGACGATGGAGCTCCCAACGGCGACAGCGAGACAGAGAAAAGAGGTCGCAACGGTGATAAACCTAGAGAACGATTAGTCAAAACCGTCGAATGAAAAGATAACGAGCGTACCACTTGCGCGCCAAACTCATCTCTCGGGGATCTTCTCTAGTCCCTTTGTCAAATCCGACGATGTGGTAGCCCTCATACTCCTTTAGCTTGACGTCATGACAATGAGCGACAGCCGTATCAGGCGAGGATTGCCGCGTTGGAGGTCCTTCGCTATGAAGGATCCGAAAGTCGTCCTCCTGCGCGCTCAAGAGCGCTGGGGGTGAAATAAACTCGGCTTCTATGGGCTCAGATGGCATGGTGGAATGAATTTCCAATTTCAACCATGATTTCGAAGGCTTTATAGGCACGTCGCCATGAAACCGGCATTCTGACGGCAGAGAGTCAAGCTCGAGCGGCCCATGGATTTGCCACTGTGATAAAATGGGTTGAACTTGAGTTCCTCTCGCAATGAAACGCCGTTTTCTGACCTTGTTCCATTAAAAACTATTGCGTCAAACCCAGACAGCCAGCTACGGATACTGGAGTTCGCTCCTGTCGCGCCTGTGGGTCGTCGATGGCGTTGTACTCGTTCAAACGTTCAAGGCTTGAACGAGTTGAACTTCAAGGTGACCCAATCGAACCCGTAGCAATTCCTGGCTTCTCAGACGACCATAAACGAGCGGACATTGTGGAAGAGACAGAGAGAGCCGTCCTCAAGATTATGGAACGGCAGTACTAGTTTCACCAAGGAGAGGGTCATAGTCATAGCAAGAATTTAGTGACAAAATAATGTCACATCGTTGGCCCATTGATCTAGTCTCCGGGCCGTCAATAACCGTAGCGTCCAACTTTGGTCCAACTTGCCGCGAATCTGCCACTTGGTGCCAAAGGGGTCCCGGGAATGCATGCCGTGTTGCTTGGTACGGCCAAGCAATTGCGGGAGAATATGAAGCATAAGACGTCTCAGTCAATCATATCATAATTTTTACTTGGATCACCATCGCTCCGATCAAAGCAAAAGCAAGTTCTTCGTCAACACATTGCTGCAAGGATTTTTGTTTCCGGTCAGTTTCAACTTTCACTTGAAGCGTCTCTCTCCTTCCAATTAATGCATGCGCAATAGCTCGTGTTGAAACGAACAGTTGAAACGAATTGCAAAAGTCCGAGTTGCCACGATCATTACGGTAGTCATCATCATCTCAAGCAGTGGGCTAGAAAAAACCTGCAAAAAGGTATAACGGTTTAACGGTTGTGATTGTATTGAAATTGTTTTTACAACAACGGTCGAGATTTTTTTGGCATCGGTTATGATGGTGTTCGTGAACTCGACAAATAATCGTCACGTACGAGTACAGGCCGCCAATATTCGACCCACTCCAGCGAAAGTTGCTACAACCAAGTACTGGCTAGTACTCAGGTGGCCCAAGCGAGGACCTCAATCAAAACATGCATGACAACTTCCGGAGCGAATGGCACCTCCGTCAATCAAATCCTCATGCCAGTGCTGAATATCGTTGGTAAAAGGCATAACATGTATAGGATCTGCTCCTTCTGGACAATCGCCCACGTGAAGGTCAAGTCCTTCGTCAACACAAGGCTGTAATGATTTTCGGATAATATCCAGGTAAGTTTCAGCCTCGCCCATTCCGTTGAAATCCAAGATAGCTTGCTGTAAACGGACCGTTTTTCTGAAGTTGTATGGTGCCTGTGATTGCAAAAGAATCCACCACCGCGCTTTGATCAGATCTATAAACAGAGGTGGAAATTCGTCGGGCTGCATGTAGTTCCAGATTTTGCAATGAATTTCAAGATTTTCGAGGTTCGGAAGGAGTGATGGACTAGCGGTGGGCAAAAGTTTGGCAAAGAGGACATCATAGGGCGTTTGTATCGATAACTGTAATGAAGATAAGACTGGTGTAGCTTCGAATAATCTGCAAAGGTCTTCTATATGAGTTGGAGATATGTTGAATGACCCAATCAGCGCGAATTCCCGAAGGAAATGCAGCTGGGAGTAATCGCTGAGACCTGACCAAGTGCAGGCATCACTCGACAGAATTCGGAGAGTCCTTAGGGCTGGGAGGGCAAGACCGCTGAATGGGAATTCAGAATCGTCAGGAAACTGGTCATGCATGATATTCAAGATGCTGAGATAAGGAAGTAGGACCGGCTCCGTAGTAAGGAGAATATCATAGTAAGACCACCAGCCGGCAATGCCAAAAGACGCGACCCTCAGATTGACGCAGTAGCTTATCACGCGATACCATAGGTCAATCGACAGTTGGTGTCCAGCGTATAAATGTGTGAGCTGGCTCCAAGGGAAGAGAGTGGAGGAGATCCGTTGAGAAATGACGTCGATCAACACAACTCGGCGAAGCATTGAGGCTCCGGGCAAGAGTATAAGGTGGCTTTGGTCCACCGTGGTGTCGAGGGTGCTATAGGTGCGCACTGCAAGCGACTCCAAGCGCTCAAATCCGTCTGCTTGTTTAAACGAGGGAAATAGATCGGAGGATATGGGTATCGATATGTCGAGGTTACACATTGACGACAAGGGTTCCTGTGAAAGCGTTTCCTCCAGGCTGACGCTGGCCCCGGCTGCTGGGATGTATCGACAAGTTAGCAACACTAGTCGCAGCAAGACAGGAAGGTCTCTTGCCCTCCCAACCCACACTTTCATCTTTTCAACCAAATCCACAGGAATGGACAGTCCATAGGGATCCGGGATCCGGAATTCAAGCTCTTTCCACAAATGGGGCGTATTTATCGCTGCGTTTCTCCAGGAAGAGCAGACGCGACACAATAACAGCGGCGCTTCACGCTTGCAGAGGGATCGCGCCCGGTGCTTCGTCATCACGGGGGGCAGACAGAACGTAAATATCTCCCCAAGAATCTCAAGGGGAAGTCGTCGGATAGGCGCCCCAATCTGCCTGCAAATCCTTATCCTTCTGATCTCCGTGGTCTTCCTTAGCCGCAGGTCTGCGCGGATGTGATTCGGCCACGGTCGCTCGATTTCCAGCTCTATAGCCAGCTGTTTCTCAATACAAGCGAGGTTCTTGGTACATTCTTCGATGTAGGACGCTATTCTGTTGAGGTCCACGTCCGAAAGACCGTAACTGGACCTGGCGTACTCGTGAATGTCGGCTGGGAGGTCAACCTGTAGCCTAAATTGAGCTCAATAATAGTGGAAATGGGTGGTTATACGTACATCTGCAAGGTAGTGTGACTGTTTCATGGAGAACGATGTTCAACTTGTGTTTACGGACTTGTGGTTGACGTTGCTAACACTTGCAATCGCAATCCTAATTTCCGTCAGAACGAAGATGTATAGATGAGATGAAAACACACGCCCTTTAGGCCTGTTGAGGAGTCGCCGGTTCCGTAAGTTCGAATTATAAATACATACTTACATCACGAATCAGCCTGAGCTTGAATGATCACATCAGGGCCGTATCATCGATCATTCGTGTACCGATCAGGTCTTGATGGTCTTGACTCTCTTGAGGGGAAGCCCTGTAGGATTATCAACTAGTACTATTAGTGAACCTTTCAAAATTATCGTCACAATGTAGGTTCTCTAAGAGTTTTTTAAATGTACAGGCCGCCAATATTCGACCTTGATTCGACCTACTCCAGCGAAAGTTCTGGCTAGTAGTACTCAGGTAGCTCAAAACATGTTTCACATCCTCCGAAGTGAATGGCACCTCCGTCAATCAAATCCTCATGCCAGTGGTGAGTATCGTTGGAAAAAGGCATGACATGTATGGGGTCTTCTCCAACGTCTAGATCATCGCCCAAGTGAAGGTTGAGTCCTTCGTCAACACAAGGCTGTAACGATTTTCGGATAATAGCCAGGTAAGTTTCAGCCTCGCCCATTCCTTTGAAATCCAAGACAGCTTGCTGTAAACGGACAGTTTTTCTGGAGTCGTACGCAGGAATCCACCACCGTGCCTTAATTAGATCTACAAACAGAGGTGGAAAGTCTTCGGGCTGCCCGTATCTCCAGATCCCAGTGCAATGAATTTCAAGATTTTCGAGATTTGGAAGAAGTGATGGTTTAGCGGTGGGCAAAAGATTGGCAAAGAGGACATCATAGGGTGTTTGTATCGATAGCTGTAATGATGACAAGAACGGTGTAGCTTCGAATAATCTGCAAAGGTCTTGTAAATGAGTTGATGGAAGGTCGAATGACCTAATAAGCGCAAATTCTCGAAGGAAGTGCAGCTGGGAGTAATCGCTGAGACCTGACCAGGCCTGAGTGAAGAGGTCATTCGCCACAAATCGGAGAGTGCTCAGGGCTGGAAGGGCAAGACCGCTGAATGGGAATTCAGACTCGTCAGAAGTCAGGGTTCTACACTGGTCATGCATGATATTCAAGATGCTGAGATGAGGAAGCAGGATTGACTTCCCAGTAGGGCGAAAATTGTAGTCAGACCACCAGCCGACAATGCCAAAAGACGCGACCCTCAGATTGACACAGTAGCTCATCACGCGATACCACAGTTCAACGGACACTTGGTGTCCAGCGTATAAATGTGTGAGCTGGCTCCAAGGGAAGAGAGTGGAGGAGATCCGTTGAGAAATGACGTTGAGCAACACAGCTCGGCGAAGCATTGTGGCTCCGGGCAAGAGCATTAGGTGACTTTGATCGGCCGTGGGGTCGATGTTGTTCTGAGAACGCACGACAAGCGACTCCAAGCGCTTGAATCCGTCTGCTCGTTCAAACGAGGGATATAGATTGGCGGAGGTGGGTATCGATATGTCGAGGTTACACACCGACGATAAGGGTTCCTGTGAAAGCGTTTCCTCCAAGCTGAAGTAGGCCTCGGCTGCTGGGATATATCGCTTTCGCAACACCAGTCGCAGCAAGACAGGAAGGTCTCTTGCCCTCCCAACCCATACTTTCATCTTTTCAACCAAATCCACAGAAATGGACAGCCCCAAGGGATCCGGGATCCGGAATTCAAGCTGTTTCCATAAATGAGGGGTATTAATCGCTGCATTTCTCCAGGTGGAGCAGACACGGGACAATAACAGCGGTGCTTCACTCCTGCGGAGAGATCGCGTCTTGTGCTTCGTCATTATGGGGGGCAGACAGAGCGTAAATATCTCCCCGAGAATCTCAAGGGGAAGTTGTCGGATAGGCGCCCCCAATTTGCCGACAGATCCTTATCCTTCTGATCTCCGTGGCCTTTCTGAGCCGCAGGTCTGCGCGGATGTGGTTCGGCCACGGTCGCTCGATTTCCAGCTCTATAGCCAGCTGTTGCTCGATAGAAGCGAGGTTCTTGGTGCATTCCTTGATGTAGGACGTTATTCTGTTAAGGTCCACGTCTGAAAGGCCGTAGCTCGACCCGGCGTACTCGAGAATATCGGCTGGGAGGTCAACCTGTAAAGTGCCGGAATTGAGCTCAATAATTGTGGAAATGGGTGGTTATGCGTACATCTGCAATTGAGTGCTTCATGGAGTGATGTTTTTGAACTCTCAGGCCGCGTGGTTGTGGTTGACGTGGCTAAGACTTGCAATCGAAAACCCAACTTCCGTCAGAACGAAGATGTATCGATGAGATGAAAGACATACACCTTTAAGGAGACCTGTCAAGGGTCCACCGCCGGTTCCGTAACTTGTAAGTGTTCATCAGCACATCATGAATCAGCTTGACAGTGCATCATTCGTGATTCAAGGTGTGTCCAAGCTGTACATGTGTGTCCGAGGGTGTCCAAGGTGTGTCCATCGGGTCTTGAGCGAAGGAACTCTCAATTCCAAGCTCTAATTTGGCACTGGTCACTGTGATCAGTCGAAGCCATGTAGGATTATCAACTAGTGCTATTATGTAAGTAGTGAACCTTCTATAAATTTATCATCACAATGTAGCCTCTCTAATACACTACGCGTCCTCCCAGCACAATACATAGAAGTGATATTAACATTAAGTTGAGTACGAGTCAAAGTTTTGCCACAGGTTTTTGAGGGGGGAATGCAAAGGGTGGCCAGACAAATGAAAGGATGGTTGCGGTCGTAAGGGGGGACCGTGGTATCTACAAGTTGGTTTGAAGAGGAACATGATTTTCGAAAACGAGAGCGATGTGATACGATGGTGGTGAGCGGGGGAAGCGGCCCGCAAGTGAGGTTGACGACAACACGATGACTCATCGTGCGCGGAACGGAAAACGAAAACGAAAAGCTCGGACGCAACTCGCTCAATGTCCAATATCCGCCTTCTCATGATCCCCACTCCCCCGTTGGGCTTTAGACGCCTTCTGACTCCTCGCGCGGATCCTTCCTCCATATATATAAAACACAAACGGGATCGGACCAATAAGGACAGAGAGCATAGCCAAAAGGAAACCAGCCCATTGAAAGCCCATATTATGAAACATGGGCGTGACGAACAACGGCACCATCGCTCCGATCTCGGAGCGCATGAGGGTTTTGGCGGCGATGGCGGAGGCGGCGTAGGATGAGTAGGAGTCGATGATGTAGGAGTTTGCGGAGACGTAGAGGAGGATCATGGCGAACCCGAATATGACGCCCGACATTATGGGGCCCATCCAGTGGACGTGGGCATAGGCACCTGTCCATGCGAAGATGAATAGTGCTATGGGAAGGATTCTGGGGAAAGAGGAGGAATGAGCGGGTTTTTTGTTGATTGAAGGACAGGATACTTACGGTGCACCCAGCATCATGGGGTATAACCGCGCTTCGGGGAAGGAGCCATCCCTTGTCGCGTTGGTGTACACCTTTTCTTGAACGGGCACCATGGCGAGAGCGATGATGATGCCGATCATAATGCTGACGAAAGTGATACCAGTCATACCCAATCCAAAGCCACGAATCTCGGCAAAGGCGATAGGGAACGCGAAGAACAAAAGGTACAGAAGACTGTACACAAACGACAAATCTACACGGCAAGAAATCAGATGAAGTTTCAACAGAGAAGAATCCGGATTGACATACAGATCGACATGAAGATGATGATGGGCTCCGTAAAGATCATAATGAAAGGACGGATAAGTGCGATTTTGATGGTCTGCGCGAAGGGCTTCTTTTCAAGCTCCTCAAGAGTGCGATACTTGTCGTCTCCAGTGTCCTTTCGCAGTTTTGCGGCCTTTCGACGGAGGAGAACGGGTGCCAAAGTTTCGGGCATGAAAAGAGTGAAAATGAAGGAGCAGCCAACGAAGATGAATAGGACCCAGTAAAGCCAGCGCCAACCAGCCCTTTGACCAATCCATCCGCCGATCATGGGTCCGATACAAGGGCCAAGGCTACAGTAGTTCAAAGTTTAACAAGACTCGACAATAGAAACGATGAAGATGACGTACAAAATGGTTCCAGAGAATATGGCCATTGGAGCCCCACGATTTTCAATCTCCCAAACGTCTGCGATGGTTCCGCCGACGTTACACATGGGGGCGGAGGCCGCCAGGCCTGCGATCATGCGGGCGACTACAAGAGTTGCGGCGTTCTTCGCAAGAGCGCTTGGGAGGGTGAAGATGAAGTAGAGGAAAAGACTGATGCAGTAGATAGGCCGACGGCCAAATACCTCTGATAGTGGCGCGAGGAACAGAGGGCTGAGGGGGAAAGGTATCAGCGATGTCAAAGATCGCAGTGAAAGAGCGATACGGACCCAAGACCGAATCCCATGACGAAGCATGTCACTGTGAGATTGGTGATCTCCTGTTGAATGTGAAGATCCCTTGTCGGCCCTGCGATGCTACAATCGCCATTAAAAACAGAACGGCTAGTATCACGAACAAATGAACTCACTCTCCGGTAGCGATGGAACTGCCAATCGCAACAGCGAGACAAAGAAATGAGGTGGCAAGTGTGATAAACCTTTAAATAACCGTCAGTCGCTTGTCTCAAAAAAGAGGTAAGAACGAAAAACGAACCACTTGCGGCCCATTCCCCACTCTCTGGGATTCTCATGCTTCCCTTCCTCAAAGGTAACAATATGGTATCCCTCGTTCTTCCGTTCCTTCTCGAGTGATTTGACGTTCACGATGTCGTCGCCTGTCCCGACATATGTAGCTGTACCATGTGTCGAATGGCGTGATAGTGGAGATGTAAGGGGACCTTCCCGATCTAGCTGGCGGTATTCCTCTTCTTGGTCGGGTGAGAGGGCGGGTGGGTAGACAAACTCGGCTTCGAAGGGCTCAGAAGGCATGGAGAGCTAACGAAGGGTGTCGGAAAGGGAACAGAAGGAAGAAGACAGGTAGAATATGTGGGAAAGGCGTCCATCGTGACCCGCCTTATATTCGTCGTATGTCGGGCAGTGAGTACGATGCGAGCGGTCAACGCGTAAGAGTAAAGCCAAAGTAAAGCACAATCCAAGAAAATTGTTGACAAATTGTGACCACCTCCCGGAGATCCGTAATTACTTCCCACGAGCTTGATCCGTCGCCTCATTCAATCACTCCGGTGAATGGACGCAAACATGGCTTTAATTTCGGCAAACGTTCTAACCATGCACCAGAAAATTGTCCGAAAGCCTTGTCAGAAGCAAAACACGGACGAGCTCAAGCAGTTAATATTTTCGATTTGAGAGGTAACAACAGTTGGAGCGATGGAGCCTAGGGCTTGGCTTGGGCTTGGCAAGCATGCACGCCATGGTAAACTCTGATGTCATCGACAGTCACCCTCACTTTGCAACCAACGGACAGGCCCTCGCATGAACTGACCGAATGTGGCCTAGTCGGCCATTATACACCCTTGGAGGATGAACCTCGCCAATGTTCACAGTCTCGACCTCAATGTTTCGCCGCGGCTAGCACGATATCAACAAGCTTGAGATAGTATCATCATTGTTACGCACTCCCACTTCTTCTCCTCCTTTTGATTTTCTAATCTCCAGCTAGAATGAACACGCATCAGCATTTTCCGAAAACGAGAAATGGCACCACAAGAAAAAGAAATAGAAAAAGAGCAAAAGTATAAGACATGAAGACAAAAAGGCTAGCCTGAGATGATGACAGGGAAACCACAAGGACACCCGAAAGAAACAACGAAACTGCAAAAAGGGAAAAAACCGGAAGAAAATGAACATACCAATCCCCTCCCCTTCCTTGTTCCAAAACTTATCTTGGGAGTTAATCGTTACTCCACAACCTAACTGTCGTCCCATCTTCGGAGACAGTTCGCGTTCATTCCGTGGTTCTCGAATGGATCAGATTCGGCGGAACGGAAATTCGGCTCTCCACAACCTAACCTGGTACCAGAATGCTACTGGACCCGGAGGAGTGGTTGAGTTGACGGTACAGAAGCGGTGCGGACGGTGGAGGGACACTGATTGTCACTGGGGTGTATATATACCTATGCAGTGATTGTTAGCTACGGGCGGAGGAGATGGAGAGGAAACAAACATTAGGACAGAAACGAGGAGAGGCAAAAACGCGAGCCAGTTGGCTCATGTGCTGTTTCAAACGAGATAATTCTGCATTGTGTGTGTAAGAGCCTAGCCAAGGGAAGAATGTCAGAGGATGAAATAGAATACGGTAGAAGAAAACAGACGTGATATCGCGACATGGCTCCCACAAGTGCAACTCCGCGTCCGTGGGTCCCACATCATCAGGCGCCTTATAGAGTCTATTCAAACACTCAGGCTTGAGCTAGCACACAACCGTGCAAGGCTTACAATTGCCAGCATGACAAAGGCTCTCGCATGAGTGGAGTCCACAAGCCATTAACCTATTAAAATAAAATAAGCCCGGAGAGTCGAAAGACGAAAGTGAAAAGACACAAACTTTCCACAAGCAATCCCACAGGGAACCCCCTCCAACGAACACCTCACATTAGCCACAATCTTCTTCCCAAATACACTGTCAAGAACGGACACGGAGGACACGGGAAAGAGTATTCATGACGTGGATGCATCATCCCTGGGTGCCCACACGGTGGAGGCGGCCTTGAACACAAGTAATGGCAGCAAATTTGAGTTCGGCACGCTATTGGCGTTCGAGAGCCGTGCAACCGCAGGAGCCAGCCATCTACCTATCAGATGACCAACATGAGCACAAGTCCAGAATCAATAGAACGAAGATGGACACACACCTGTTCAAACAGGCACCTAAGACAAGGCGGAAACTCATCCCTATGATCCCTCTCTTCACACAGATGGCTCCCACCAAGACATCGCGCAAGCCCCCCAGCTCTTCCACAATCCCAAGCCCATGTCCATCTCCCTTCCCTGCCCAACGCGTTTCTTTCCCTTCTTAACTGAGGCAGAAGCTATAGACACAAGTAGACAACACACTCTGCGACATTGATGTATACCACAAGTGCAGAGAACCATGCATGGGCGATCACAGAGGATCTCGCTCTCTTCTGCTGGGTGGTCACTGGGACTGCTGTTCTGGATTTCGTAGCAAGGAAGACTGTGCACCGTTCCCCCACACCTGCACGGACGCGTGATCTCGATTGTGCATGGTGGGGAGGTCCCAGTGTGGCATTTCGCTTGGCATGGATGAGAACGCATCGTGTGGGGTTTCGAACAAGTGGGAATGGGATCTGAGCGGAATGTATGTGCGGCGAATGTCTCTCAGCGGAGGGAGACAGTGCGATGGTGCTCTTCCCACAAGGACAGTGGGTGAAAGAGATAGGGAGGGGGGGCATTCGGATGGTTGAAGAGAAGGACGGTGGCATCGTTTGTCGCATTTGTGGATGCCGCAGTCGAAAACCCTGGCACAGACATCACACCCAAACACAGACATCACACCCAAACCCCCCAATCTGCGGACTCTCCCCTTGCATGAAACAACGAACTGGCTCGCCCACACCACACTTTTTTCTCCTCCTTCCTACGCCAGCATCGAACGGATTCGCGCACCTAACGTGGAGCACAGTCGTCGTGTCAAAACGCCGCGCAAGTGTGCTTACCACACCCCAACGTCCGTCCACAGACATTCCCGCCAGTAAGATCCCGTTTCGCTTTGCCCTTTCCTTTCCCATCGGTCCCATAACGGAATGAGAGGATCTTGCGTGGGGAGTAGCATTCCAGCCGCGTTGTGGCTTGGCATGGGGGACAAGGTCCAGGGTGGCATTGTAACGGGCATGCGTGCCCACACCTACTCTCACGAATGCGAGAACACGAACCACCGCATGAACGGGGTTCGTCGAGTTGCAGAAACACCTTGAACCATTTAATTAGTTTTGTGAAATGCGTGAAATATGAATTTAAATGTACCAATATCCTGTTGACACCGTTTCTCGTCTAGATTGATAGCTTGGACACCGCCAATCGCCGTTCCGTTCTTCTCCATGAGCAGGTCTTGTATTTGTCGGCTGGTCGCGTTTCGGTCCTCGAGTAAGCTTGCCACTAAATTTGGCGGTGGTGGTTGTCCTGGATTGATTGGCTGTCCGGTCATTCTGATGCAAGGTTCCAATTTGAGAGGAAGTTGCATCATTCACAACGTCTGGAAGCGCCGTTGCTGATTATTAGGAACGTTCAAAGCTGAGCGCTGAGCGCAGCCTGAGAGCAGCGTGACATCCAAGTGACATCTGTCAGCAGGACCACAACGTCTCTTTACCAACGACCTTCAACTCAGCCAACTTCCGCTAAACCTCTTTCTTGATCAACAAGCTTCAATCAACCTCTACAACATCTCGTCGCCATGCCAGAGTCAAACAAATCAGATGCGCCTTCCATCCAAGAGCTAGGATCTCATATCGTGGGAGCTCGCGTTCGTATCACGAATTAGAGAGATATCTTCTGTGGTTGTTAACAATACCTATACAGACCCAAGCCTGTGGAGAAAGTAACCGTACCGAAGCCAGGGCACAGGAGAGCCCTCAACTAGTACGTCCTTTACGACATTCAATGCATCGCGATGGGCTAATGAAGAGCAGGCCACAGATATCGGCCCAGCTGGATGCACAACAGACATTGATAGGAACACTGTCACTACCGATGTAACTAAATGACATTGTCTCACTTCCTGAGATTGTGATTATAATGACATATACTGCAGGAATTTATTAATGATGGCAAGAACAATGTATCAGCAAGGAGGTCAGCAAAGTGATCTTGATGAAGCCATTTCTCTGCACAGGCAAGCTCTTGAGCTCCGACTTCCACACCATCCCAATCGATCCAACTCCCTCAACAATCTTGCAAATGCACTGCAGACCCAATTTCAGCAAGGAGGTGAGCAAAGTGATCTTGATGAAGCCATTTCTCTGCACAGGCAAGCTCTTGAGCTCCGACTTTCACCCCATCCTGATCAATCCAGCTCTCTCAACAATCTTGCAACTGCACTGCAGACCCAATTTGAGCAAGGAGGTCAGCAAAGTGATCTTGATGAAGCCATTTCTCTGCACAGGCAAGCTCTTGAGCTCCGACTTTCACCCCATCCCAATCAATCCAGCTCTCTCAACAATCTTGCAACTGCACTGTCAACCCAATTTGAGCAAGGAGGTCAGCAAAGTGATCTTGATGAAGCCATTTCTCTGCACAGGCAAGCTCTTGAGCTCCAACTTCCACCCCATCCCAATCAATCCAGCTCTCTCAACAATCTTGCAACTGCACTGTCAACCCGATTTGAGCAAGGAGGTCAGCAAAGTGATCTTGATGAAGCCATTTCTCTGCACAGGCAAGCTCTCAAGCTCTTCCTTCCACCCCATCCCAATAATCCAGCTCTCTCAACAATCTTGCAAATGCACTGTAAACCCGATTTCAGCAAGGAGGTCAGCAAAGTGATCTCAATGAAGCCATTTCTCTGCACAGGCAAGCTCTTGAGCTCCAACTTTCACCCCATCCCAATCGATCCAACTCTCTCAACAATCTTGCAACTGCACTGTCAACCCGATTTGAGCAAGGAGGTCAGCAAAGTGATCTTGATGAAGCCATTTCTCTGCACAGGCAAGCTCTTGAGCTCCAACTTTCACCCCATCCCAATCGATCTAGCTCTCTCAACAATCTTGCAACTGCACTGTCAACCCAATTTGAGCAAGGAGGTCAGCAAAGTGATCTTGATGAAGCCATTTCTCTGCACAGGCAAGCTCTTGAGCTCTTCCTTCCACCCCATCCCAATCAATCCAGCTCTCTCAACAATCTTGCAACTGCACTGTCAACCCAATTTGAGCAAGGAGGTCAGCAAAGTGATCTTGATGAAGCCATTTCTCTGCACAGGCAAGCTCTCAAGCTCTTCCTTCCACCCCATCCCAATCAATCCAGCTCTCTCAACAATCTTGCAACTGCACTGTAGCCCGATTTAAGCAAGGAGGTCAGCAAAGTGATCTTGATGAAGCCATTTCTCTGCACAGGCAAGCTCTCAAGCTCTTCCTTCCACCCCATCCCAATCGATCCAGCTCTCTCAACAATCTTGCAACTGCACTGAAGACCCGATTTAAGCAAGGAGGTCAGCAAAGTGATCTTGATGAAGCCATTTCTCTGCACAGGCAAGCTGTTGAGCTTCCTTTCACCCCATCCCAATCGATCTATCTCACTCAACAATCTTGCAAATGCACTGTCAACCCGATTTGAGCAAGGAGGTCAGCAAAGTGATCTCGATGAAGCCATTTCTCTGCACAGGCAAGCTCTTGAGCTCCAACTTTCACCCCATCCCAATCGATCCAGCTCTCTCAACAATCTTGCAACTGCACTGTCGACCCGATTTGAGCAAGAAGGTCAGCAAAGTGATCTTGATGAAGCCATTTCTCTGTACAGGCAAGCTCTCAAGCTCGAACTTCTACCCCATCCCAGTCGATCCAGCTTGCTTCCCATTGTTCCCAATCTTGCAAATGCACTGTGGATCCGATTTGTGCAAGGAGGTCAGCAAAGTGATCTTGATGAGACCATTTCTCTGCAGAGGCAAGCTCTGGAGCTGATCCTTCCACCCCATCCTGATCGAACTGGGGTGCTCAACAATCTTGCAAATGCACTTTTCTCTCAATTTAAGCAAGGACATCAGCAAAGTGATCTCGATGAAGCCATTTCTCTGCACAGGCAAGCTCTTGAGCTCTGCCTTCCACCCCATCCTGATCAATCTGACTCTCTCAACAATCTTGCATATGCACTATTGACCCGATTTGAGGAAGGAGGTCGGCAACTTAGTGATCTCAATGAAGCCATTTCTCTGCACAGGCAAGCTCTCAAGCTTTTCCTTCCACCCCATCCCAATCGATCCAGCTCACTCCACAATCTTGCAAATGCACTGTCAAGCCGATTTGGACAAGGAGGTCAGCAAAGTGATCTTGATGAAGCAATGTCTCTATTCCTCACTGCTACCCAATACCCCTTCCAATCTCCATCTAAACGCCTCCACATTGCAAGGAGATGGACACGTTGTGCAGAGAGAAATCAACATAGCTCTGCAATTGATGCTTATGAAGCTTCCATACAGGCTTTACCACAGGTGGCTGCTCTGAGCTTGGATGTAGCATCACGACAGGATGCCATGACTGCATACAGTGATGGCTTAGCTCGGGATGCAGCTAGATGTGCTATTCGCTCTGGACATATAAACAAAGCCATAGAACTTCTAGAAGCAGGACAAAGTATCTTCTGGTCACAGGTCCTATCTCTCCGCTCACCCTTTGATCAACTTCACAAGATTGCACCTGAATTGGCAGATAATCTGCGAAACATTGCGACTCAGCTGGAGATTGGATCTTATCGTGATGTTTTTTCCGAGATGTTGGACAACAGGAAGAAGTTATCTATAGACCAGGAAGCAGCCCGACTCAATCGCCTTAATGAAGAATGGGCTCAATCTATTGATGAAGTTAGGAAATACAGTGGATTTGAGGACTTTCTACGCCCATCCCATTTATCCTCACTCAAAGCAGCTGCATCAGAACATCCTGTTGTCATTCTCATCGCTAATGATGATGAAAGCCATTGCCTCATCATGACATCAACAATCAATCATCACATCCCTCTTCCAAAGTTAGGCACTCCTAGGTTGGAGGAACTTGCTCAGATCATTCGGATAGCCTCTAGCTCTCAGTCGCGGATATCACAGTCACTTATTGATCAAACCCAAAACATAAATATAACACTTCTGGGAGAAGAGCGAGCAGGGAGGGTTAGCACTGGCAGCCCTAGATCTTCAGATGACAAGTTCAAATTTGTTTTGAGGGAGCTGTGGGACGAATTGGTGAAGCCAGTCATTAATTTTCTCGATATTAAGGTCAGTCAATATATTTCTGCAGATGATTGTCCTGAGTCCTACTTACAAAATATTATAGAAATCAGACAAAATGACTGTCCTGCAATGGTGCCCAACTGGACATTTCACCTTTCTTCCCATCCACGCCGCAGGCTGCTATGATGATGAGATTGATTGTGCCCCAGATTACTTCATTTCTTCATACACTCCAACCATAGGGGCACTTCTGGCTTTGGATTCAGCTCCCACCACCCAATCGTTCCAAATGATGGCTGTGATCCAGTCTAAAGGGCTGCCTTCTACAAGAAGGGAGCTAGAAAACATCCGGCGACATGTACCTTGCGAAGCTCTCGTCGAATTAGGAGTTCCTGGAGTACCTGCTGGAGTTGAAGCTGTTGCCTCCCATCTTTCCAATGTGTCTATCGTTCACTTTGCGTGCCATGGGAAACAAGATCCATTGAGCCCACTTGACAGTGGGCTTAAGCTCGACGATGGGCTACTCCGAATCTCGAGAATTATGAAGGAAAAGCTGCTAAATGGATCACTTGCCTTTCTTTGTGCTTGCGAGACAGCCATGGGCGATCAGAATCTACCGGATGAGTCGATGAGCATAGGTGCAAGCTTGATCTTTTGCGGATTTCGGCGGGTCGTCGCTACTATGTGGTAGGTTGTTATTGGCATTGTTCCCATGGAAATAAATTCTGAGAGTGTTAATTGGGCTAGGAAAATGATCAGGACGGACAAGAGTCGACACACACACACAGAAATGAGACACGACACACGTGATGGAGAACGACACACCTGTCCAATGTCAACACATTTGATGGCAAATGTCGGTCACTTGTTCAGGAAGGTGTGTCGAATCTTATCCGCATGATACCATACTATCTCGATTGATTCCGCCCTTTTTGGATTGTCAGAAAATGAAATTTTGATGTGTGACGGAAATTAGCTATGTATCATACACCAAAGATTCTGTGGTTAAGTCGAAATCTGCCCCTCCATGCTCAAGTAAAATTTAGGATTATAAGTTTTATTCCTTAAACTACTTACTATACAAAGTTATACATAAATTTTACGAGAGGGAGCAACCTCGCGACCCCGGAATGAACCCACCAAGAATCCTCAATGTCAACGGCCTAGTGTTGGCACATCTGGGTGTCAGTAGGTGGTTCCGGCGGCTGTGGTCGAGTGGGACGCAGAGGTGGCCTCGTCGCAAAGGGTGCTGGCATTTTCGCCGTCATTCGGGGTTAGTTAGTGGGGAGGTGCGGGGTACACACCTGGCTGCACGGTGGGTGCCCCTGTTGGTTCGCCAAGTGGCGCTGGATCCTCGTCGATGGGCCTCAGCGCTGGATTCTGTCTGTGGGGGTATTTTCGTGGGCCGATTCCGTTAGCGTGGGTGGTTTATCCTGGGTGCTGGGTTGTTGCCGTCATGGGTAGATGGGCGGTTATGTGGGTTTTCGGGCGGTTTTGTGAGCGTTTTCATGGGCGGTTAGTCATAATCCAAGGGTTTTCTTTGCGAGGGAGGGTTTAAATGGGGGCGGTGGTCGCGTTTGCCGTGGCACAGGGTGTGGGAGGTGATGGTGGTGGGTCGTTAGCAAAAATTCGGGGCTGAACAGAGTGGAAACTCACCTGAAGGGACCCGTGACCGTTCTCTTGGTCCTTTTCAGCCATAGCGAGGGTGCGAGACGCGCAGGAAGAGAGCGAGGGGGTGGTGGGGCACAGGCAAGCAAATGGCAGTGGTGGTGATGAGAAAGCGGTCGTGACAGGATCATCACGCTCGTAATTTGTCGCGGAGATTCAAATTTATGCACGACACACCCGAAAATGAAGAACGACAGATTGTTACCTGGTGTGTCGCTTCTCACATGATGTGTCGTACTCCTCATCTGTGTGTGTGTGTCTCCTCTTGTATATCCTCGAAAATGATGGATGCAGACGGGCCTACTATTGTGGACACATTCTATGAAGAACTTTTCTCTGGCGGTCCTGATGGAAGACCGGCTCTTGAACCTGATATGACGAAGTCTGCTCTAGCCCTTCACCTTGCAGTCAAGAAACTCCGTTCGCGGGGTGTTTCATTCCATCGTTGGGTTCCCTTTATCCATATGGGCAAATACTAATATGGGTACAATATTCTGTGCTGTACATTTTGACTTCGTTTGGGATATTTTTCGTTTCTCTAAGGCTACCCTCGTTTGTATAAAATGCGAATCGAAAATAACGATCCATGATATTTAGCTGTGACAATAAATTCTTACCACCGTGCCCGTTGTCTGCCTCGAGTCTCCACCATCCCCGTCATCATTGCTGCTTATTTCTCAGGACTACACCTTTCCTTCCCCAAGCAGAACCAAGGCCCCTCTGGGTAGAGGGAGAAATACAGGGTTCATTGGGCATCACCTCCTCCTTTGGTACGGTCAGGGCATGACGTCCTGTTGACGGTAGTCAGAAATGTCTCAAGCCGACCATGACGAAAGGCATACCTTGCAAACACTTCTTATCAACCTTCTCGTCCTTCTTGGCACCATCAACGCAGGTATCCCCAGGAATCTTCCTCTATCCAAAGGAGCCCTTGTACGTCTGGTCAGGCTGTCCAGTATATATGTCAGCAGGAATCGACTCTGGCCGAACAGAACGCAATTTTGTTTTGAACAGTGTAATCACTAGCGAAGGAGAGGTTAGAGTTGATAGGAGGTAGTAAGTGAGATAAGAATGTACCACTTGTAATCCTCCCCCGTACACTGATAATTATCCTTGTTGTCAACATAGCAATCCGTGTCCGGTTTTCGGGGTTCATACCATTGCTACGAGAATACTTAGCTAAAACCACACACGGTACAAGAAACGAACCGTGTGACTCTGCCTTAGAACTGCGAGCATAGCTCCCTCCCCACACTTGTGTTTCCTCGGAAAAGTCTACTTGGATAATGACGACGCGTCCTATATTCTTTGTTTGGTCTTTCCGCGCCACTTGCCCCTGGAGCAGGAACCTTTGCGAGGTCGCGTCAGGAAGGGTCAGGAGCACATTTGATGCCAATGTTGTATTTCAGCCTGTTGGGAAAGTTAGCACCTAATAAGACAGAGAAGAGGAAGGCGAACATACCATGATTCACCCAGGTCGAGAGAATGCCGCACATTGTCCGTCCCATCCTTGTCATTCACCACCGCCGGGATGCTCCCCTTGTCGCCAAACCCATACTTGTGCGCGTCTCGTTGGGCCATCTTCCACATAACGCTGGCGTCTGTGCTGGTAAATTTGTCCCATTCCTCGTAAGGTAATAGGTTCTCGCCTATAGACCCAACGCCCACGGCAAAACCAGGTGTTGGTGACGAGGAGATGCGGCCATAGTTGTGTGGAGTCGTGACCGAGTTGAGGTAGAGTGTGCAGAGGTCGGTGTCAGGTGGACTGCTTCGAACGATCACGCCGACTTGTTCTAGGCTCATGTCCTGAAACAGCATGCCAGCGCAAGGCGTGCCAGCTTCTTTTCCTTCTTTTGTTTTTCAACTTTGCCTAGATGGCAAGCTAGAACAATCATGCATCAGCATTCTGAAAACAAGAATGGTCCCACAAGGAAAAGATACAAAATAAAAGAGGAAAAGCATAAGACACGAAGAAAAGAAGGCAAGCCAGAAGAGACGCCAGGAAACCACAAGAACACCCGAAGAAATGACAAAACTGTAAAAGCAAGATAAAAAATCGAAAGGAATTGAACATACCACATTCTCCTCCCCGCACTCCATTGCCGTCCCACCTTCCGAGAAACACAGAGCCGCTCCATCATTGTTATCCTCGTAAATGGTAACTCCCCCTCCTTCTTTCCCTTCCCCCATACCCGCTGCAGTGGTCAACTTGGCTGACGGTTCAACAGACCCCAACGAGATCATATTCCGGCTTACGGCGCTCGAGGTTCACGTTCCGTTCGTGGCTTTTTGTTCCCGAATGGATCAAATTCGGCAGAATGCAAGTACGTTTCTCCGCAACCTGGTAGGAGGATGCTGCTGGACCCTGAGGAGCAGTCGAGGGTGATCTTGGAAGGGCGCGAAGTGAATGGAAGGTAAAGTGGTGATGGGGTGCAGGCGGCTAGGTAGAGGAGCGGTGCGCAGAATGGAAGGTCGCTCGTTGCCAGCGGGGGATATACCTACGCAGTGGATGTTAGCTGCGAGTGAAGGAGACGAAGAGAGAAGGAATATAACATACGTCACGACAGAAGCAAGGAGCCCAGTGGTAACGCAGAGCCTGGTTGGCGTGATGTGTGGTTTACATGTAAACACGGCGATTTAACGCTGTCATGGTCCTAGAGAAGAACGTCAGGGTAATGAAATATGACATGTTCGAATGGAACAGACCTGATATCGCGACGTGGCTTCCGCAAGTGCAACTTCGTGTTTCGTCTGTAACCCCCGTATCCTCTTTCGAGTCTATTCAAAACACTCAGGCTTGGGCTATCACAGGAAAACAATCGAAGAAAAAACGCACGTAATGTCGAATAGATAGATTCGATACTAGTCTAGCTACAGAGACCAGTCGGAGGGTGGCACGATGGACGACACTTTGCCATTTTCAAGGAGGGATTTCATCAAGATTTCATGGGGTCGGCTGTGGCGATGTATGAGCCATCGTCGGGTTTGTGTTTCGTCGACAACGTCGAGGTCAAGGAGTTGTGTAGTTGGGAATCGTGGGAGTCGTTGAATCATGCTGCGGTCAGGCTATCTTTTACCCTGCTACGATCCAATGCCCAGAGGATCCTGGGCCACGATTTGGGCAGAGCTCTCCCTCAATAATCCATGACCCCCTGGTTCATTTTGAGGAATCAGACTCCAAGTAAGCATGCAAGCTAGCAAGTAAATGAGCGGCCCTTTTTAACCCTCTTCTTGTGCTTTAGACTTGCTGGTGGACTCCCGAACGGCTATTGAGACCCAGGAAAGCCCTTGACACTGGCGCTCGCGTGCAGGAACTCTCTCAAATGCCAGACCTCGATGCTCTTCAGAAAGTAACTGTGCTAGGAGCCCCAACGGAGCCCCGATTGGAAGTAAGCAATTAAACAAGCTTTTCCAACTTCCAGCTGACTCTTCAGCTTTCAGGCTAGAAGTGGCAGATGGCTCTCGGGTTGCGAGTTCAACTCGACGGTCGACATTGCCGTGCTGCTCAAGCTGTTGCAGCACTCAAGACGACGGAAGTGCCCTTGAGAAATGAGTTTTACCTATGCCCATCATAGGCAGCGTTCGGCAATCACGCTGTGGGTCGTATTAGCAGTCAGGTATATACTTACTTCCACTCCCGAACTCCGAATCTAATGCCAGTTTTGTTCTTACAGGTGATATCACTGGATCGACGACGTTATCGGACCTATCATCAATGTAAACACTAAAAGGTCTCCACGATCTGCTTAAAATGGTCGTTGAATTTCACATCCGGTAAGTCGTCTTTGCGTTTGTTTTCTGTCAAATCGTGATTGCTCAGTTCCTGTATGTTACCAGGTCATGGCGGGGCATATCATGTATTTGCGTGGTCTCGCGTAAGTATGTGCCAATCTCTCCTTCAAGTTCTCCACAGGTCTCCGCCGTCGCACAGTTACCACTGCCCAAGCTAGGTGGGGTAGCGCAGCTCGAACGTGGTAGTTTCTTGTGAGCTAATTGATTCGTCAGAATGGAAGGCCTCGGTGCTGTTTGGGGTAAAGGGAGGACACGGGGTTAATGTCGAGAAGAGAAAAAGGTCAAGGTTTGGTTTGGTGCCAGAAGGTCGTGGTCGAGGTGAGACAAGCCCACATGCAATATGTAGAGTAAAATGGGTATAGAATTAAAGGTACAGTTTACAATGAAGCTGGGTAGCGAAGCCCAACATCGTCCCAGGAAACAAGGTGACAGAAGCAAAGGCTAGTCCGGCAAAGGTGGGTCACTGAACAATTCGACGAACCCAACATAAATCACCACAACCCCTCCCGCCAAAAACACACCACCTAACCACGCACCCTTCGTGCTTGCAAGATCGTCAGCCATCAACTGGATGACATTGTAGGCGCGGCCTTTTAGCCAGAAAACACTGCTATTGCAGTAGCACCTATCGTAGAAGTTGCTCAACTGGAACAGGCATGAGATGAAGATCCAGATGGAGTTGAGGGTGGCGATCGACTTCCCAAGACGCCGAAGGAGGATAGAGGTCAATCTCGCGGCCCTCATGGACCAGTCATTGACAGGTTGCTCCCAGTGATTGAGGGGTTGCATGGTGGCGTAATGTGTAAGGATGCTGGAGGAAACGAGGAGGATCCAAACAATGGTAGAAAGAACTCCGTAGACGATATACGAAGCTGAACGACAACCAAGCCCTAATCATCGAATGGGTCAGCAAATCATCAGATACCTATGGTGCTGTTCAAGCTTACCGATGGTGGGAGTGAACCAAGCGACAACGATGGCTGAACCTACCGTTCCCCACTGCAACACCATGGCAAGAAACGAAGCGATCGCCATTCTCGAAAACACATTCGGCCCCCAACGGCTGCGAATTATCCGGGCGTGGAGGGGCTTACAATACTCCTCCAATTGACGCCTATTGCCGACGCGATTACGCTCGTGAGGTTGCTGCTTCCTGTCAACCATGACCCAATCGATGGTCGGGTCCACAGAGCGGTGACCGTGATAGTGATCCGATGCACCATGAAATGCCTCACAAACCTCCTCCACCGCCATCACCCAAGGCAGGAACCTTGCGTAATTGTAAACGGGCGCCGTGCATTTCTCATCGCGAGTGAGCGGATCCAATTCCAAGATTGTGAGTTCGACAGCGCGTTTCTCAGTTCCAGCATTTCTCGCAAGTATGATGCTGCCCCCGTCTGTAGCGACATAGGCAATTCTATTTGCACGCTCTATCATGCTGCTCAATCTGACAGAGTCGCATTTCGGCGAAATCATCAGCCAACCAATGATGATAGGCAGGAGCCATAACCAAAGCGATCCGACTGCCTGTCCATTTGCTTGGATGGATGACCCCAGATTTGTGGTGAAAGAGTCCACCACAGTGAAAACGTATGTGATGACAACCCAGGCAATGGAAGTAATCGCGGAAATGGACCAGGAATGTGCATCGTTAAGCCAATCATCGAGTTCAATCCACCATTCATCGTTCTGTGGGAGGACAACAAGGGAAGCGAGGAGTGCGTCGTCGTTCACTACTCTCAATGGTGCTTGTTGTAAGCTGTTGAGGATACGGATGGCACGTCGGACATTAGGATATGTGAATCGTGCAAAACGACGTGCTATCCAACGTCCATTTAGCACTGTTAAGGCAAGGGAATAGGCCGCCAGGGCTGGAGAGCCGATTGTCAGCAGCACCGACTCCAAATTGTCGAGTTTGTCGTTGGATCCAAACGGGAGTTGGCTCACTAGAGCCAACCATGGCAAAAGCCATGAGCTGAACTGCTGGGAGAAAACGGACCAGTGGAAAGGCTCTGGACCGGCGCCACAAGCTGCTAGGCATAACTCGTATGTGATGGCAGTAGCGTTTGATATGACGACAGGGTTCCCGTGGTTGTCTCTGCCACCTACGGTCCCGAATAATCCGTTTTGAACATTGGCTAGGCATGTTGGGAAGTCAACTGCAGCGAAAACGGCCGGAAGAAGTGTGGAGAAGACGGACAGAAGAACGAAGAGATGACGCATGGTTAAAACCTGGTCGGATCTGAGAAAGTGTTCAACAGAAAGATTATGATACGCACTTAGCCGTAGACTCTGGGATGATTCAAGAACTTGTCCATAGCATGCGAGTCGACAGCCGCTTTTTGAAGCTATCGATTCGTCCCCTGCCAAGACCCGTGAATGTCAAGTTTTGGCGTGGAGGACGACATGGGGCACAAGGAAAAGGCGCCCAATTCTACCAAATGAGGTATTGAGCAGTGCGGAGGTGCCTGATCGTCTGTGAACTCACATGGGTGCCCGACGCTTTTTGACACGAGAACATGAAAGACCGTGTGCCTGGACGCCCGATAATTGACTTGGCCATAAAGCGGTGCTTACATATGGTGTCAAGTTGTTGAAGTAAATACCGACAGCTATGTTCAGCAGTTGTTAAGCCCTGGTCCTGATCGGTCCCGTAAAATTGAGGAGTATAGTAGAAGGCACTGAGCGTCACTCAAAAAGGTAGAGAAAACCTCAAGTATGAGTCCATATGCTATGATTGAGAATCCGGCCGGCGGTACCAAAAGGACTTGACCTGAGTTGGGGAGGTACAAGTTATGGAAGGAAGCGACTAGAAACGCCTGGTAGCGCAAGTACACTCAAATTATCGGCCGGATACCGGTGTTTGTGGGCTAAAAAAGAAAAGAAAAAGAAAAAGAAAAAAGAAAAAGGGAAGAGGAGGAAGGGAGGACCCCAACCTCACAATATCAACACGGCGTGCAACGACACAAGCAAGCAACCTGCAGAACACTTCACTGAGCTGTGGCAGTGTGTCCTGTGGGTGTTTGCGAGCTGTAGGAAAGCGGGGTAAAGCGGGATACTGGATACTCGCTTAGATTTGCGAGATCATCAGGGTTTGTTTCCTCCTTTTAGATTTATTTTGCGTTATATAAGCTGGATACTCGCTTAGATTACACAAAAGGTACAGTCAGATCTCTGATAAGATAGAACAATTCCTCCATGCACACAGCTTCAAATTGCTGGGGGTAAGCCCCCTGGACCATGTACTTCATGAGTTACAACAGAATTCCAATGCAAGTTCAATCCCTGCACATTCTTTTTGTAAAATTTAAGGATAGTTCAAAAAAATGACCATTGAGAATGGTATTCTACACATAGAAAGACAGTAACAAATAACTAAATGACTACGATGAAGCAGGGCACGTCGCTGACGTGGCCCCTGCTTCTCATGAGAAAAGGTGGGGAGAGGAGCCATCTTGCTCACCTGAATTGACGTGGGCAGTTACGACGACATGCATCGTCACAGTCTGGATGACGTGACACGTCCATTGATGTGCCAGCCTCCAGGTCATCTTCATCATCCTTCGTCGTCATGTATTCTCGTCGTGGTTCGTCCGTGGTAGGTTGTGATGTTGCTCACGGCGACGTGGACCCTGCTTGTTCAGTAATGGTCGTGTCTCGTCGTGTGCTTTTGTTCTGCCATGGTTGTTGCATGGTCGTGTTGTCGTGTCATGATCATTCATGGTTGTCTGTGGCGGTTGGTTGTTGCTGGGGAGGGGTGACGTGGCTGTGGCTGCCATCGTTTGTCTGGTGGTGGTGGCATGTTAGGTGGGTGGCAGAGAAGAGGTGGGATGGCGGGGGACTCACTACGATGATGACGACGACAATCAGCATATCATTTGTCATTGTGGTCGCCACTGGTTTGTGTCGGATGGTTGCCACGTTGCTGACGCGACGTGACCTGTGCATCTGGTACTAAAAAAAAGGGGGAGGGCAGTACCATACTTACATTTTGGCAGCATGGTGCCTGGAAAGAAGGACCTTCATGTCGTGAAGGTGTTCCAGAGACCAGCTAAGAGTAGATTAGTGAAGGAACGATAATATTGATATAACAAACCTACCATTTTTCCGAATTCAACAGAAACAGGTGATGAATCCTGTTTCCGGGGTCATCCCTTGGTCTCTTTGCCGCCGAACTGCATCCTCACCCAACAATGCCCTCAGGCTTTGCTTATACCCAGTTCAAAGAGGCCATCCGAGTATTCGACGCGGGCTGTATGTCACCGGCTTGATTTTCGCGCTCCCTTTTGGGCAGCCGCGTTTACGTTCCGGAAGAGGAGGTATTGTTGGAGGGTGCGTATTGGGTGCATATAGAGCAGTCGATGAGCTGGCGAATGAAACAGCCACCTCGGGAGGTTCGAGATGGACTGTTTGAGGTGTATGTGAAGCGGCCGATGGGGTGGTGGCTGATAGAGGGCTTGGATAAGCCGTGGAAGGTGTGTGGGAAGTGAAAGGTGAGCCAGAGGGTATGGCGTTCGCTGCTGAAAGTGTGCGATGGTCGGCAGGGGAGGTTGGAATGGTCAGTGGAACCAGAGATGGGGGATTTCCCTGAGAATCTATCATTCAATTGAAAGAATGTGAGTATGTTGAGTAGGTCAAACAGATAGCTTACGCACCTGAGGGATTTCCAAAGTTATTCTCCATGGCCGGCGTGAATTCTTGTCCAAACCATGATCTGTTCAGATGTCGGTTGCATAAGCAACAGCACGAGGAAAGAAATTTGTGGGACTTACATGCCTTCTGAGTTTCCGGGTGATCCCAAACAAATTGGGGGATGTTTCCCCAGCTCTTCGACGTGTACCGATTGAGAATCTGAGTCTGTCGTGGTTGAGAGAGACGATAGCGACGATGGTCCAAGCAATGCGTTATCCTCTCAGCAGCGATCATGTGATGATTACATAATTTAATTTTCAAGCTCAGTATCCGTATCCGCTATTCTCCACAGGCATCGTCATCCAGCCAAATTATCTTCATCGCCTGCTCAAAGTCGCAGCTACATAAGAGATCACTGCCACAACTTTTTAAATGGCTTACCTACAGTGCCAGTGTTCCCCGGTTTCCGAATCCCCACATCATCCCATAAGATTTGAGATACTGTTGACTGCCGCGATGTCAACTTCAATTAGAGCTCATTCAAATAATCTGGGTCAGGCGAAGGCGCCACGCTCAGCGGACCTTAGTGGGTGCGCTGCCACCAACGTTGGAGACGGAGCAACCAAGGAGCAACTTCAAGTTCTATGTTTGTTGTTTGCTGTTGTTGTCTTGCGCCTTCGAACTTCTGTAGCATTTCGAATTGCGAACTTCACCCAGACTTCATCTACAGTGCTTTGCATTGCCGTCTGCACAACGAAATTTCGAAAACTCTGTTTGGTTTTGTATGTTCGTCACAGATTGTCACGCATTAGAACCATGTTGGGAATTTTGAATCTCTCACACCCAACTCTCATGGCGCCATAGGTATCAGATGCGATGCGCGCGCGGATTATCATTTGGCATGGTGGGCATCATCTCTCAGCACAAGAGATTTCAGGCCTTGTTGGATGAAGAGGTCTGTTTCTCTCCAATTTGTGGCAGTCACGGTACAACACGTACAAACATATTTTCCAAATTCCGTTGTGCAGACGGCAGTGCAAAGCACTGTAAACATCGTCACCGTCGACCGAAAGGAGGCAATTTTATTTGACTACCTTGTGCTTTGCTTGACGCCCTTGGGAACTTAATATCCCGAGGACGCTCACTATTCGATCCGCGAGAGCCGGAGCTGAAACCACTGGGAGTCGGACTAGGTTGAATTCATCAACTCTTTCAGAACTTTGAAATTTTCTGCTCTAACGTTCCTTTTCATCAACAGCATTCTCGTCGGATCGACAGATAGGTGGTTGTGATAGTGACCCGATGCGCCATGAAACGCCGGCTCCTCACTGTGATCTTGTTCTCTACGGCGACATCCAGCTTCGCACCGCAAAGCTATGTGCCAGGGCTGTGCAGCCCCGAGCCTCTAGAATAGGGATGGACTTTCTCAGTCACTTATGTACATCCATCACCTCGAAAAACCTGACGCGCCAATGTCTTTTTCGGACGCCTCATCAAACGAGTCTCCCGTCAAAGGAGACTCGGAGTCCTTACCAAATAACTTGGATGGTGGCGGCGATGTGAAAGTTGCTGATCAAGATGACTTTGGAGTCAACTTTGAGAACTCAGCACAAGCTTTTGACTCGGATTCGCCAAGTAAGTTGTTGTTGTGGCCTCTCTGCAATGACTCAACGCATCTTGTCGTGCAGCCAACTCTCACCCGGAAAACGCCTCCACGAAAAATCAGGACACCAGTTCACCTCCGCCTGAGCAGGATGGTCGGGGGCCCCGTGTTAAGGCATGTATAATTTACGATCTTCCAACGGCCGTACAGTAACTTTTTTCACAACTTAGCATGTAAAAATCAGCCGGCGTCTTTCTCAGAGAGTGGTACAATTATTCAAGCCTAGACCCAAGCAGGGTGGTGGCTTTGTTGCCCTTGAGACTCGGACAGAAGATGTGTGCCCTCCCGAAGTGGTGCAAGGGACGCTCCGCGGCGTCGATGAACGATCCTCGATTGCCGGTGGGTCGTGACGTTGCTACCGCGAGTTAAACACCTCCAGTGTTGTACATTTCCTATAATGAGATGATTTCTGCATGCCCTTCTATCTCAAGCCATAGTGATGATTTCAAAATCACCTTTTTCACTCCTTATTCGAGGGTGCATGATTCTAACATCTTTCTCGATCCAAGAATTTCAGAAGAAAAGGCGAATTATCTTATGATCGGGCAGACGATCCTGCTCTCCTTCCAAGCATTTCCGATTGTACATCTGCCTCTGGTAATAAACGTGGACCAGCTTCAGCGTCTTGATGGGTCGTCTAGCTTGACTCCAAGCCGGTCATCAACGCCAGTCGAGTATATTTCATTCAAGAAGAACTAATTTCTTGAAAGTTGAATAGTTATTTGGGTGAGGTGAGGTGTGAGCAGTGGTTTGCTCAAAGTTCCTTCAACTTTTTTGCGTTCTACTAACCTCTTGCTCCGTCATTGAAATATGTGTAATTCTGGAGCCGAAGAGGATCTCGTGGTTTCTATGCCGACGGCTCCACAACCAAACAAGCGAGATCGGTATCATCTCCACTGAGTATTTATACCTCGGTAACTTGTCGGTGACTTCCTTCTTCTAGACGGCCACTTTCTCCTACTTTCTCCTTCAGTTGGGAAGAAGAACGGCGCTGAGCTCCCAAGTCAATGCGCAACAGCTGCTCGTCCTCATGCACGCGTCGTCCTGAGTCCTGAGGTGCTGGGCTTGAATTGTGCGTGTTTTCTCAAGCCTTGAGTGCTCCATTGAAAAGGACTTTAATCGATGAACAGAAGCACTGTCGGTCAAAGTTATTCGAGAAACGGAGACAATTCAAATTAGTCCAGCGGGCGACAGCATCGGCACGTTCACTTGCAAAATTTAGATGGACAGGTAAGCTCTCTATTTTATCCACAAGTGATATTAAGAACAAGAATTGAGAACAGGATGTCAAATCAACTGTCTCCCCCTATTCAGTGGCTTTTCTTGATGCTGCCAGGCTATAAATTTCTGTGAAGTGGCTACGCGAACGATGGAGGTAAGTGTACCGGCTTAGACAATGTATTCGTCGCGTTGAACAGCTTTCGAAAGGTGAACAATGTTCTGCTTAGGGATCAAGTGCCATTCCGTTATAGCTTTCGCCATCGATTCCCACCGCCAACATTTGTAACCCAGTTTGGAATGGAATCTTTACAGCACGATTAGGCGCCCTCCCCCTTTGTTGTCGACGCTCATGGCACTGCGCAGGTTGAATACCATCTTTTCCAGGTCGAACAGAAAGAGTCCTGACGAGGAATCGCCTCTTGGGCGATCACCCACCTACCGGACTAGCCTCACTCGAGCGCCTAGTTACACAACCCATGCTGCTGGCCCCAGTCGTTCCACGAATCCCGAAATAGATGCGAATCTATCTGTTATTGAAGAGATGTCCAGCGTCGTTAGGACATCTCTGCCGGAAACCTCCAGCGTAGCCGGGACGATAAGGGAAGCGACAGTGAGAAGTGGGCCTCGCTACGGTATGTGCTCTTGAACCCCCCTGCACCATTATTCTAACAGATCCTTAGTGTATTACCGTCTATATACCAAAGATGGTGCCATCGAATCAAACAATGCCATCTATTCAAATGACCGATCCTTGGGCCGGATTGACGCCAAAGACGTTGCGCCTCCCTATACAGTGATTCTCCTAAAGAACGTCTTGTGTCGGAAAGAGGGTTTCAAGACGTCGGACAGATCCAATCTGTATCTCTCGGTGCCAAGTTACATGCCGATGGAGGACGGCACTCGCCTCTCCCTGACCGCTCAATCCGGGCCTGGTTTATATGAGCACGAGCCAGTAGTTTTGGTTGTCGACTCGATCGATGAGAGAGAAGCCGTAAAGCCCAGTCGAGGAAAGCTTCGCACACAGACGAATGTCCGTTATGGTGAGGCAGCATCGTGGTCGAGTATGAAAATTTACCTGATTTGAAGCTGTTTAACAGTCCATTATCGACTCTACTCGAGAGAAGGTGCTATAGAAACCAATTCATCCAACAATAACGACCATTTCCTTGGCCGTATTTTTCCGGGATCCGTTTCACCACCACATACCGCTGCGTCCCTCAAGGCTTATCTTTGCAAGATTGAAGACATTCCTTCGGTGGAGAACGCGACGTTATATGTTGCACTTTCCAGCCAGACTCCAATGGAAGACTCAACCCATCTCTCTCTTCTCGGCCCGTCTGGCCCAGGCTTGTCTGAGCATGAGCCCATGGCTTTGGTTGTGTCTTCACAGCAGAGACCAGCCAAAGGCTTGAAGAGGCCACTAAAGAAGTACAAGCCTGAGCACAACCCACGCTATGGTACGCGTTTACCCCCTCTTACTATCTGGTCTCATTGCGAACCCGCTTCCTCAACAGTGTATTATCGTCTTTACACGAAAGATGGGGCAGCCAAATCAAGAACATTTTTCAACAAGGATGATGAGTCCTTAGGGCGCGTTGATATATTCTTCGTCTCTCCACCCCACATACTCTCATCACTAAAGTGTCACATTGCAACCGTGGAAGGAATCTCGACCCTGGACATGCAACTGTACGAGGAAGGCAGCAACGACGAACCCGTGATCGATAGTCAACTTATCTCTCTTCTCGCCAGCGGTCACAACGAAGAGCATCCACTGGCGGTTGTCTGTGTCGTCAACAAGGATCCGTGGAGAGCCTACTCTTTACAACACCCAACGTTCACGAAGAAGCTCCAAGTGACACGTTCGCATCGTTAGGATACTTATGCTCTTTCTATATGACGCTTTGCTGACGGTTTGTTGCACAGAACCTGGTCGTAAATCTTGGCTTGACGTCAAGGCCGGGGAGGTCCTACTTACAGACGGCGTTCAGACTTATACGAGTTGGTCGCCAGGTACGAACCGCAGCTGGCGTTACTCTTTCGTCCATCGCTTCACGTCCTCTTGCCAGGGGATATATACGCCCGTTACGGCTATACTGCTGTCAACTCTGCTGGGAAAGTGGGCTGTAAGTGATCATTCAGTTTGATCTTTCGAGCTCCTCTGAACCGTATTCTCGTTAGTTGTTTACGGCGGTATGTCCACTTACTGCAATAGCTATGAGACCCTCTTACCAACGACCACTGTATCAGCATGTGTCAATCCTTTACCGTCTGAGGTAGCTCTTGATGTCGGGGCGACTGCAGAGTAGGCACAAGGCTTCGCGGTCTAGTTTTGTAATTGCAAGTTTCGCTACTTCTTTTCACCGCACTACGTCTGAAAATTGTATAGTGTACTATCATATCCATAGAAAGGCTGGCGCGGCTGTCTCCAATATCACTCTCTACTCAAATGACCAATCATTAAGCTACACCAGATCTGTTGCCATGCCCCGCCTCATCGCGTCACTCAAAAAGACACTGCAGTCGAGCCCCAACCTTCGAGGACCGTTTTAGTTGTTCGTATCGTCCTCAGGCCACAATGAAATGAAACGGCCTGGGCAGTACCATTGCCCTTCTGCGTTATCAGAGCATGACCCAGTGGTTCGCGATAGTAGGAGGTTATCCGCTACGAAGCCAAAGAACCTGCCTATCACGAGGCTCGGCAGGCCAGGTATAGCCATCTTGATTCTTCGTTGCTGCCAAACGCAGGCATAACAACTTTTAGCAAGAATCCACCTTACCACGAGTTTCGGAAGAGTCAAGCCGGGAGGCTACAACCATCCACCACTGGCCCCTAAATGATGCAATTTCCCAAACATCCTCTCCTGCCAGTGCTTCCCATCGGCGACCAGCACGTCTTCTCTGCCATGACGTAGATGCGGCACCAGTGCCCGAGGGTTATGCAACCCTCTTTGGCGTTAAGGACAAGAGATTGCTGGCAGTGGAGCTATGGTTCACCAGGTCGGTCTGCAATGACCATAACTGCATCTTGGATGGATCCCGGAAGAACGTGCCCAACGTTTCTCGCGTTACAAGCGCGTCGAAGTATTTTAGCCGATGGAACTTGAGAGTGATTTGAGCTATTTCCTGCCGCTGGATACGGCCCAGATCGTTATCGTCGTCGTACAGCATCGCAATGGTCTGGACGCTGGTACATTGCAGTGTGGCCTATCCCATGCCACGGGATTTTTAGATCGTCACGAACTTGCTGCCCTGTTCCAGCCATGGATCGGCAAAGGCAAGCCTAGACAACACCTACGTTTCTTCATGAACCAGGTTCGTCCGCTCCTTTTGCCTTCCTTATGCACTTGTCAATCACGCACTTGTCAATCACATCGTTTCAGACTTCGGCTTCGTTGGTCAGCCAGATCTCACCCAAGTGTGCAAACCACAATTTCGTAGCGCGCGGATGGTGCAAGTGCAATGTTGCATTGAATGATCACATGTATGGGCTTCGGAAAGGTACAGAGGGTGCAGCGTTCTTGAGTACTTTGCAATTCTTCCAAACTCTAGCCAGTGGGGTTTTTAGACGTAGATCCATCTCAACTTCTGAGCTGGGCGTTTATAACACAATGATACAGAGTTCATCTACCTATCATAGGTAAGATCTGTCCCACTTCACAGACAGCGGACGATTCAAATCTGTGCCAACGCCTGGCACAGTAAGCTTAGCTTGCAGTGGGGCATACGTCCATTCTATCATCTTCACCCCGTTCACAGTCACGAGGGTAGGCTTTTTTGACACTCCTAATACGGTCACATCTTCCAACTTTTGTGTAATCTTGAAGTCTCCTTGTACGCTGACCCTAACCTGACTGTCCGTGACAGTGACGGTGAGCTTCTTGCTGGGTCCAGGCGGATTGCTCAACCCGTCGTCTATGTAGACAGTGCCATAAGCCGTTCCAGCTGCATTCAAAGAAACAAGCAACGAGTAAGGCCCCTGACGAGTTTCCTCAATCGTGTACCCCGGTGCAGAGTGAAGGAAGATGGCAGAACCATCCCGAATATGGACGTTGATGTGCCCCAAAGGCGAAAATAGTTTGATTGGTTGACCTGCTGACCCAGCTTCAACAGCGTCGTGTGTGTACCAGTCTCGCCACGTCACTTGACCTCTCCCGGGAAAGATCCCTATAAGCACGGAGTGTGGCGTCAAACTGAGACCAACGGGTGGAAAGGTGTGGTTGAACGTACCGTCAACTGTGGAGACGTTCGGTTGGAGCACGGGTGTGATCAGAAGATCCGGACCAACCAAGAACTGGCTATCTACCCCTAAGAGCTCGAGTTCATCGGGAAACTCAAAGAACAGGGCGCGGACTGGGGGAGTACCCCTGGTAGATGCAGCCGCAAAGAGAGTGTACTAGATATACCCTGGTCAGTATGGAAGGTGTAACTGCCACAACAACGTACCCAGTAAGGCAACAGCGAATATCGAATAGCAATGGCAGTGCGCGACGCGTTCGCTACGCTGTCCCATCGGTAGGGCTCTTGTGGGATAGCACCCCTAACGTTGTGGTTTCGATAGAAAGGAGTAAACGCAGATAGCTGCATCCAACGGTTGCATAACTCCTCGTCCGTATTACCATCTAAAATACAAGAAAGTCAGAGTGATAACTCAGGATAACACGATTGCTAAAACACACTGAATCCGCAGGCATCTGCACCAACGAAAGGAATTTGGAATAGCTGGAACTGCAGCACGCCCTGGTAACAAATTGAGACATCATTGACCACACATTAACTGCAATGAGTCATCACTCACGGCCAGACTGTACCGTAGGTAAGCCCACAAACTGAAATTATCTCCAAGCTAGTTCATCAGAACGATTGAGGTGGCGTAGACGATTTGAGAGAAGCAGAACAGCGTACCCAATGACCAGTCCATTTGCCAGAAGAGGGAAATGTCGAGCGACTGATGAGAAATGGCCGTTTTCCCGGATGTATATCCTGCACAGCCAGATGTGTAGCTTTCTCCTCCATCAAACCCCAAAGGTTGTGCACATCCAGCTCAACCTGACCGTCCGCGTGCGAGGCATTAGTCGCCAATGCATGCAGGGACAAGCGTCCGTTGCCTAACAGTTTGTGAGAGGTGAAGCTTGAGTGTGGCAAGAATCCTCACCGTTATGGATAGCATATGGGGGTACGTTTAGATCAACGCCCTTCTGCTGGCCTGCACCCAACCCTCGCTTATTGGCGGTTAAAGTTGAAACTTGTGTGGCGTTGAAACGACATGTGAGCTTTCCGTTCACAGTGATGTTGCCGCTAGGTCCGAAGATAGTGGAATTATAGCTTCATTTTGATGATAGCGTGATTATGAGGGTGAAAAAATGTTGATCAGCGACATACCATTCCGGGTAAGCTGGAGAGGAATATTCAAAGTTAGTAGAGATCTCTTCCGATCAGATAAAGAGGGATTACCCAAAACAAGATTTCCGGGATCACCTGGCAGGATGAAAGGGACGCTGGTATTCGACAAATCCGCTCCAGTTCCGCTAAAAATATTATGTATCAGGAGTCCATCAGCGAAGGTAGATCCCAAAATAACAAACCATGAACCATCGCAGAACGAACTAGCCTCGTTCATGTCTAACCATATTCCTGAAAACTCAACCCCGCTGGCACTCCAATTACGTAGGGCGTCTGTCCACCACTGCTGAGTGCTTCGTTGGAACCAATCGGGAAACACCTTTATGCCAATTTGGCAGGGTCAGACGACATAACCGTGTAGCCCGTGGCAGGTTCCAAACTTACCGTGAACCCTGGCCACACCTGTCCAACATACTCAGACCCATCGGGATTCGTGATAAACACACCTCTGCGTATGGGCAGAGAAAATAGGTAATGATCAGCCCACATCTGTCAAGCTCGGCCATCAAAAGCAGAAAGTAGGGGACAGATAGGGAAGAGAAAGAACACCGGAAGCTCACTCTTGTGCGCCTCTAGTGTAGGGATCATACTGAACTGCAGTCAGCAACCCGAAACAGCAGACGGGGCGGTATCATCAGTTTCGCACTTACAAAGTCGGTCACATTGACCTGCTTTGGAATAGCAGCGTCCACGATCGGGATGTCTAAACATCGAGACTTCCGAATCAGTTCCAAGTTTCGAATGATGCAATGCTCCGAGACTTGCACCGTTGGTTATTGGATGCCTAAAGTGCCAAATATCGGTCAAGTCAATACAAACGCGGGGTTAAGAGGAAAGCGTGAGGGTTACGAACCAGCTCCCTGATGAAAGCCCGCATCTCGTCTCCAGGAAACGTTACTGGATCAGAGGTGAAATCTCGGACTGCATGATAAAGATCGATGTCGTTCCACATAACTGTCGGAACAGCAGTGTGAAACAGCTCGGAATATAGAACAAGCTGGGTCACCTTCCAGAGGGATGTTCGCCTCTCGCATCCTGATTACTTGATCCTTCGTTTCCTTTAAGTCCTGGTAACCCCATCTGTAGGGCAAGTAAGCGGAGGCCTTGAACACAGCTGCACCAAACAGAAAGACCTGCAAAGATGGAACCCGAAGCCCCAAATGGGCTGCCAAGCAGGAAAGCCAACAAGCTCGCCATATTGTTCGATGACGCTGTTTGGCGTGGGTCCAGAGAAAAAGTAGAAATCAAACACGCCTCCAATCATCCTGTATTCAATCAATGATACTTTGGAACCGGCAGGTGTGACGAGAAGTATGTCCCCTCCGGCAGCACTGTCAGAAACGTCAGTCTCAAACTATGCAAATGTGGCATCGAATAGTATACCTGAGCAAAAAAACACCGTGAGATTGAGACTTGTTTGTCGCTGAATCGACTCGGTGCTCCAAGTACATGGGATGTGACCCATACCTAAGTGAAGTCCGTCAGTGAAAGTAGCGTTTGTAATAGAAGGTACACAAACACATTCTCGTCCACGGGGTCAGCAACATCACGCGCCCACATCGTCTGAATAGAACCGTGGGGCACCCCAATACTTCTCCTGAAACCAGAGCTCGCTACAACCTCACCGAGACCATAGATATTAGTATCAAGTGGAAGAACTGAACTCAACTGGAACGAAAGTTAGTTTGACTATGCTGTGAAAGAGGATGGATGTTACTTGGAGGTACTGGTCCTCAAACACAAGTGGGAAGCCGTCCAACGTGATGCTGGTGTCTGATACTACAACAGGCCCTATGGGAGCCTTCGGAAAAGAACTGATCCTGGTGTCGAAAAGGGGGGCAGCCTTAGGTTGAGACCTTCGCGTGATCCAGAATGCAAATGGTGATGAATCGTAGTTGAATACCAGATCGGAGCTTTGTTCAAAAGAATTCGTGGGTGGGGCTGGACGCTCGATGACAGAATGAGGGATGGTGTACTGTTTGTCATCGGTATCAAAGATATTGACATGAAGACTATGGGGATCTCAACTAAGAGCTAACAACGGGATGGCCTTAAACAGAACGTACCGAGTCTCACTCTCGTAAGTGACTTGAACTGTCAGCTTCGAGATGTCGCGTCCAAAGGCATTGCACGCGGGCCCAGCCAGACTTAGCTGAGCGGTAAGTCCTGTTGATCTTTGCTTCAGAGAACCAAGCACATATCCTGAGTAGGTCAAAATAAAGTCCAACCGATAGACAAATGGGAGGTACCTGGGCATCCCGAAACGTTTGAGGAATGAACGGGAGATGCAAGTGGATCTTGAAGCGGCGGATATTGACTGGGTGTGGCAGAGGAAAACCGTAGTAAAAAAACCGTCACATAGCTGAGGAGCAACATCACTGAGGCGATGGATTGACTTGGAGGATAGGGGGGGTACATATTGTCCCCTTTTTAAAGTTTCATCAGCAATTCTAATCAAGTTATGTCAATTACTACCCGACCCTTGCCCGTTTCTGAAGTTTCTGACCTTTTCTGACGACCCTACGATATATTATCAACCTTGAGACCTGAACGGGCCGCTCAACGAGGCCCGCTTGAATTGAAAACGAGGCATTGATTTACGTGGCGTCTTCTCCTAAGGGTGTTGGGTCAATAGTCATTCAGATCAGGTGTCACATAAACAAACCTTAGCTTTGTCAAAAGTTCAAGCTGGAGGTTCAAGTGGTTGTCCGCATTGGAATATTTGGCAACAAAAGGCCCGGGCGTCAGTTACCGTGGGGAAGAAGACCAAGAGGAGGCACTCCGTTCAACCTCCACTCTGCTCTGCAATAGAAAGTTGGGCTAGTTGTCAAGGGAGCTGAAAATAACTTGAGATTGACCGTTAGCCAGCGATTTATATCAGCTACACTGGGGAGAATAACCTTTGTATATACACTTTATCATTGCACATCGAACGAGAAATTTGACGCTTAGCTGAAATTTGTGGAGACCAACCGACGTGACGAAAGTGTGACGAGCCTTGTAACCCGATCATGTGACACATCTTTCACCACGCTTTGCTCACGTCAAACAAAGTCCGCTCACTCGATTTGACAATGAATCGGCGTAGAAAGTCATCCATTGACCAAGACATTACCGTAGTCAAAGCCCAACTCGACATCTTACGCAGGCGCGAAGCAGAGTATCAGACACTCTTGGACGGCATCCGGAGGCTCATGGACACAGTCCATGATGAGAGAGTGGCACTCGAAACGAAGGAAATATGCCTAGACGCTCAGAAGAAACCTATCAACTGGCTTCCGACCGAACTTCTAGTGGATATATTTGTGGAATGCACTACACTCCGGGGTCGTGATGATCAGGCCTTTTGCATCGATGACGTGCAGCATCACCCACCAGTGGTCGTTTCCCATGTGTGCCAACGTTGGCGCTGCGTAGCGCTCGCCACCCCGCGCCTTTGGTCTCAGATTTCCTTTCAAGATTACTCGTGGAACCCACGCCGGGGTCGAATTTTTACGGCTCGATCCCGGGGTGCTTTGTTGGATCTCCAGTACTCCAGCTCTACGGATATCACGCTTAGCGAAGAAGCTAAGCGTGTGGATTACCTCCTTACCGAATTGGTCGCCGATGTCCCCCGTATCCGCTCCCTACTTTTCCGATGCAAAGCTCCACAATCCCTAGAAATGGTGATCAAGACGCTGGTCTGTCCAGGCAATAAATTTTCCCAGCTACAGTCTCTCGACCTCTGCGCCATAATTCCAGGTCCTGCTTACTCGAATACTATACCCCTTCTGTCGAGGGACCATCTCAAAGATAAGCCAGTCGAGCAAGCGGAGAACGAGGACGATTCCGCTCGGAGATGGAGCGGATTGCACCATCTTGTTCTGGAGGAAGTCCCCCTTCTCAATCTTCCAAAATACTTCCTAGTTAATCTTAGATCATTGGTCCTCGTGTTCTGCCCTCGGAAAAACTTACCGATGAGAAGAACAGCATACCTTTTGAAAATGTCGTACATGTGCCAATTCCTCTCTCTTACCCCCCGTTTGGAAGAGCTTACCCTGAACAACACCGTGCCTTTCTTCGATGTCATGCTTTCAAAAGACGCTGGTGATCTCCCTCCTGACGAGGAATCCCATTTGATACCAACGCCTCCTGTCAGGCTCGATCATCTGAAGATTATTGATTGGAGTTATCCGTATGCTGCAGATGTCCACCGATTTATGTCATTTCTTGACGTTCCAAGATTGGAAAAGTTTGACCTCCAAGTGGAGGAGCTTCCTCCCAAGCGAAGCGACATGCTTCTTTGGCGAGGATATCAAAGCACGTCTCCACCGGCGAGTTTAGCCTTACCAAACGTCGTAGATTTCCCATCACTCCGTGACCTCAGTCTCCAATGCGCTGGCGAAGAGCCTGCCGTTGCGGTCGTGCGGAAATTCACCTTCCCAGTTCTGGAAAAAATTGAGTTGGCTAACATCGACACCGCGGCACAGTCGCTACAGGGTGGAGAGATATCTCCACCCATCTTGCCGCGGCTGGAATCCATTCTCCGCGATCCTCGATTACCCCATCTGACCCACCTGACCCTATCCCGCTTCACCATCTCACCGGAGTACGGAAGGGCAGACGCATTGTTGGGTTACATGCCTGTCCTCGTCTCCCTCTCTCTTGACGCATGTGGAAGAGTGGAAAGGCTGATGAAGGGGCTGGAGGAGAAGATCGTCGGAGCCATTAAGGCCCCACCACAGGGGGCAAATCCGACTAAGCCTAGGCGTGGCGTCAAGGTTTGCCCTCGACTTGAGGCCTTGTCATTTTGGGGCTGCCATGATCTGGACTTTGCAAGCGTGCTTGCTGTTGTGCATTCCAGGAATAGGCCCTATGTCCGCGATGCTGAGGACCCCCCCAAAAATCCGGGTGGTCCCCAAGATAAAGCGGCTAACCCTGTCACGGGGGTATCGGGAAGGGGAAAAGGCGCGGAGAAGAAAGAGGAAGTATCTATGGGCAGGCAGATTAGACCTCTTCGTAAGCCTCAGGGACACAGCGCCTCAGCTCAGATAACTGGGGGAACCTTCGCCCCATCAAGCAATATAGTGTCGACACTTATTGCTGCACAGGAGGCCTTTCAGCCAGCGCACATCTTGTATGTCCGTATCAAGGACTGTAAACTCATCACCGAGGCAGACGCGCTTTCGTTAAAAGACCTCGGCGTCGCTGTATGATGTGGACCAGCTCATAAATTAACGATATTAGATGGCTTTGATCGGAATGGGCGTGCTAGTGTGTAAACTCACAATAGTGTGTACGACCGTATTCAATTTTTTTTTCTCTCACTGGCAGTGCATTTCGACAACCAAAAACTGTGGAAAAAAAGTTAGAATTGAAGTTTTGACAATCCCAATTTAGTCTCGAGCTCTTGTTCTCCATTCTAGACAAGAGCACAACACCTGTGAGCTCACAAACAGAACCTTGTGACTCAAAACCAGGGTACCAGCGAGGTGATCGCGATCAAGGGCTGATTCCGAAGACTAACTGGATAGTATTGGTTCTTGCCAAGATTTAGACTCTATGTGATATCGGAACTTGTAGTTACACAAAGAGCTATTTGTTTGGTATCTACACAACTTCCCAGACGCTTCCATGTTCCGAGTGTAGACGCTGGACAGGAGCAACGGGTCAACGAGCATTTATGAGTGGCCGACTAAAAATCTACCCACCTCCGGAGGTATATCCAAATTCGCCAACGCATTTAAAACACCCTGTTATGAAAATTACATCTTGAGTTTCCTGCTAGCCACAAGTATACTTACTTGACCTGTCCAATGTTCCAGCTCGCTAACTTCCTCTGGGGTAATAAAATCCTGAGATGTACGTGAGGCAAAAACCATCTGAGCAGCAGCAGCTCTGATGACGGAGTTCGGTGACGCTAGTAAGACGGGAGGGACTGTGGATATCGGCGTCAAGGGTAAAGACAGAACTGGCCTGACTGGTCCAGTCGTAAGAGGAGTCGATTGCGTTGTCGATGGTGTGGTCCGGCCACCCCAACATCTAGCCAAATGATACAAGTGGAAGGTTTCCATCTTTGTGTCGTGCGAGTGAATGGGTATTTAAAAAAAATTACCACCGGTGAATAAAAGAATGTAGAACGAACCCAAAAGGCTGACCTCTAGTGTTGCCAAATCTTCAATCTCCGTTTGTAATTGTTCGATAAGATCGGAATTATGATCTTGAAATGAAGTTTGCCTCCCTTGAGAGGAATAGAAGCTAGTAAAGAAAATGGCGCTCTTAATACCCGTTTCAGTCCAGGCTTGCAACAAACCTATCAGCGGACGCGTTAACTATTCCCGCAAGAATAACCGCCTTTGACGCGGCGGGTTTCGCAGCAGCGAGAGCTTTATGGACCTTCATAAATCAGAAACAAAAACAATGAGTTTTCTGACACCAAGGGTATCTGGAATCTAGTTACCTCCTGGTGGAGGGTCGGATCAGCAGAGACCTAGAGGCAGTAAACTTCAACCCTAGAGCGTGAACGACATGATCGCTCGACCTACTGGCTTGCTTATTCTGTAGGCAACCTCGTCGCACTTTCCTGGATTTGTAAAATCGAAATCGACGTTGCGATTGATGGAGACACTGGCCCTCGGTATCACCACAGATCCCACAGGTGCGTCAACCAGCGCGCCACAAGATCCAAGCCTTCCGAAAAAAAATATGTCAACCAGGAATATAATGATAGGTAGCTAAACAGGATGAAAAACCTTACGACGGCCATATCCCCGCTCAGACACTCCCTTACTTCTCGTACAAAGAAGTCCATGTTTGGACTTCCCATCCCTATACTTACAATGGATATAGGCACAGATTTATAACGACCAGTTATCGTCAAAAATCCGCGCTCGGAGGAGAGTACAAATGGTTGCGGGGTGTCATCGAGAAAAGCGGCGATCGCTTTCGCTCTGGAAGGCGATCCAACCGTTATCTGTCGGGACGTTTAAAATAAGCTCTATGAGACTTCCAATGGCAGATCCCAAAACTTACGATACGATTGGCAACCTCGCTGGGGCGTAATCCTAGGTGATAAACCCGCAGATCTGCGGTTCGTGGAAAATCTAGAATTTCGTGTGAATCGTACTCTTGTGAGTTGCGGAAACTGGCAGGTTATCGTACTAGCGTCTGTCAGGGTATCCTTCATGGTATTCCACCGTAAGCAGGGTCAACAAGCCTCGATGGTGGTAGTGAGGAAGCGGGAACGGAAGGGAGTTGATTTGGAGACGAGTGAGTGTGACGATGTGACTTCGGCTTTTCTTTTCTTTTCCGAATTCACCGCACCTGTAACCTTACCGCCTTCAAGCCTCAAGGCTCCAAGCTCATGGTTTTCGCTACCCCGTGCAGGACGTACAACACGTCCTCATGAACCTTAACATGACAGCCGTCCTGGAACTGGATTGATAGCGTGGTCATGCTCAGCGTTCGCGTTCATCAAGTAAGTTTGATGAGTCCAAGCACTTACATTACAGAGAAGAAAACTGACAGGAACCCTGCAAGTTCGCTTCTTTCTACCTTACGAGGAAGGTACATTTGTTTGTTTTTGTCAAATCTGCCATGATCGAATTTCTTATTGTCTTCCGCTACTTCCAGTTAGTCGGTACGCTTCGGTACGCCTGGCTTCTCGCCTGCCCCACTGCTTAATTTGGATGATCGTTGAGCATGATTATTCCCAGCCACTCAAAGAGCAGGAAATACTGGTAACATTGGCATATTCCACGAGCGGCTTTGTTTACGCGAACCATGGCCAGACGTCACCTGTCAGTCTAAGGGAGAACCAGTGACTGTCAATTGAACTGGGTAGTCTCTAAGAATCTGACGTATCATCATCTTCTTTACTGAACTCAGAGTATGATAGAAATGGGATGTGCGCCACACGGCAACTTAAGTGACGACGAACTCCCGGTGAACCCAGCCGCCACCTTGACTCGGGACTATCCTGGCTTGTTTGACACTATGCAAAGGTTTTTACCCATTGCTTTTCGCCGTCAGGGGGTTGTGTATCTTACTCTGACTACTTATTCAAGCCGGTAGAATGCCATCCACTTGTGCTTGGACAATTTCTATTTGGGCCGTCGTGACCTGTGCATGGACCATGACCTTTGCTCGTCATTCCCTTCGTCTTGCTTCCACGCGAAGCAGCAGCTGCGTGAGCGCTTGCGCGCGAGGTCCTAACTTGGATGTTTTCTCACGGAATCCCGGCCATAAACGTCGTTCATTTATGATCGGTAGGAACATTTGACAACATACGCCATTGCCACGTCAAGTGAATAAGGGTTGCTTCCAGCTTTCCACCTATCTCGATCATTTGAATGACATAGATGAGATGTACATTCCCGTTCTCCCTCAAACCACTGTGCTCCTTTAACCCACAGTTATTTCAGGCATTTGTTGATCCATGCTGGACTTACAGTGAACAGGCTCAGCGCTCATCCCGCGAGTGTTTTGCTGCTGGGGATGTTCGGCCTACATCTAACACATTTCCGCTGTGTTCGGGGCCGCGATCGCACAGCTTTCTCCTTGATCAAAGACAAGCTTTTTACTCTTCGCGAGTTACACCTGTCATGACTCCTGAGGCGCCCCATAAGCGTTGGTGACCGTTCCACTACGAAATCTTCACGTGTCCTGATTCAGAAGTATTTTTCGGAACATGCACGATGCGAAAATGAGCCCATGTCTTCTCGTGTTGCTTGGGAATTTCTGAGGCGACAGATCCAGATTTAATGATAGATCGGACTGTAAATCGGGAAAATCTCGTGCAGGTGCAGGTGTTCAGGGTTATACAGGTTTTAAAGTCCGACGATATGACTATTTGGAGGTATTTGCTGTATTCCTCAACTCTTGACAAGACGATATGAAAGAAATTCTCCCAATCAAGGTTTTGAAGAAGGTAAGGACTCTACAATTGGCTCCGGTGAAAAAATAGCAGGTGTTGAACATCTCGAGGAATCCTTAGATTCGGGGAATTTGGTCGTGTTCGGCCCAAGCCGAATGTGGGTATCCAGATTCCAAGTTCCGAGGGGGATAGAAGGTCAAAATAGGCAAGGAGCTAGACCTTAGCACCAAATTTCTTTGGAAAAGATTCGACGTTTGACTACCCGCTGACGGTGCCTGTGAGCCAGCGTTGCAAGGGTTCATCAAGCGGTGTCAAGGGTGAACCAGATTTGCTCTTCGATCAAACTGGTTTTGTTCGCCCGATAGTGTGCTGGGACAGTACGTCAACAGACGCTATGGGGTGGAAGAACAGAGGGTGTAGTTGTCCAGGAAATGCAAGGCTTTGCAGCACCTCATAAACTTCAGTGTTACTGTTACCCGCGTCTCGTTCCGCCGTCATCTTGATCTGAGACTCGCGCCCGTGCCGATCAACCCCGCAATAGGATAGCTACTTGTCCTTCGCCCTCCCATCTCGCAAGGTCCATTCTCACAGATTCTTTTCTTTCCTCGTCCAAGTTGCGCAGGCCTCCTTCGAAGTCGTCTATGAGCCAGTTCAACGTCGGTTATGGCCACTCTCTACCCCCGCTATCCGTAGAAGGGGGCCATAGCTTCCGTCCTTCCTTTGACAATGAAAGACACGACGAGCAGGGCTCTCTTTCTGGGTCAGAGGATGGGAATTACGCGCTCTACCCAGACGTTCTCAAAGCTGAAGCAGAAACGGAAGGTTGGTCTCATTTCAATTAGGCGTCTCGGCATTGACCAGCTCTTTTCAGAGGATACCAATGCTGCCTTAACTTCGCAAACCCTCAATGCAGACGGCACTCCAAAACGTCCCATGAACGCCTTTATGATATTTGCTCGGCGCCGGCGGCCCCAAGTTTCCTCCGAGAACCAATCCATGCGAACGGGAGAGATCAGTAAAATATTGAGCAAAGAGTGGACACTATGCCAGGGGTGACTATCTAGAACTATTTCCGACGCCTATCACACTTACCCATTATTAGCATGAAAAACAATTCTACCTCGACCAAGCGAAACATTTAAAAGAGACGTTCAATACGAGATACCCTGATTACGTGTATCGTCGTCGACCCAACAACTCTCGCAAGCGGCGACGCACTGACGGCCACATACGATCTGTCGACAATCCACTCCCCATGGATCATGCAGACGATTATGTTGGTGACCTCGGGGAACCCTCGCCTACTGAAGGCGAAGAATCATCTCATGGCGAACCCGCCAGTCTATCGTCCTTTTCACGCCCCTCGCATGATGTATCCCAGAGTTTTGGGGAGAAATACGGCTCCAGTAGATCTCGTTCATCCGGTCATCCCTACTCTCCCTCTGATTCCTTTCGATCCAACGGTGCCCACGAGCACCGGCTGCCCTATGTCTCACCGCAAAATTCTGAACGCCTTAGTTCCAGTCTAGGATCGACAGCGTCCCTTTCATCCCCCCGCCTTACGCAACCTACGCAACCTACCTTGCAATATCCTTATGGTCCACCCGGTCAAGGTCAATCGCCTCTGTACCACACCGAACATCCGGAACCACGTGAGACATGGACACCTAGAGTCGAGCGAGGGCCGTCGTCTTGGCTCGGTGGTACCCGTGAACGCTCATTAACTTCTATAGGTGGCCAAAAACCCCACTCTTATTCAGCTTCGGCGGGTCCAGGCTCATGGCCACCTTCAGCATCGTCTTCCATGTCTGCATCTAGTTCATCGACACCACAGACAACCCACTACGCATTTCCTACCCTGACATCACCATTTTATCCGAATCAACCTCAGCCTACCTTTCAGCCAGCCAGCGCCACCTCCACATCACACTCGAGCTCTTCAACTCATTACGATACAACTCACATCCCACCAACTTCGATGTCAAGGGATTTTGAGAACCGCGGATACGGGTCGCCTCCCTCGGTCAGCCCTGCAGCTGCATATCCATCTGGGCAAAGTCGCGATTCGCTCCCCTATCCTCAGCGAAGTGGTTCCCGAGGACTTCCGTCTGTTCACGCAATGTCAGGTTACGTACCCACCCCACCATCCTCTTCAGGTTCTGGCCCAGCCAATCCTGGGTCACAGGGCTATTGGACGAGATGAAAAAATAGGCCGCTTCTACAATAGTGTTAGCCTTACGCAGAGCGGTCATGCAGTCCAGGTATGTAGATGGCTGTCTATATTGTCGTTTCTTGCCTCGCTATACTTTTGCATTCGATTTTCTCTAATCTTGTATCTTACAATGTTGTTATTTTACAATTCGTTCTAAATGCTCCATTTTCCGTCTTACAGTTTTGCTCTGCTCTGTAAGCGTTATCAAAGGGTAATTAGTTGTTGTGTACCCACACCCCTCCCACCCTTGGGCCTTTTGAGATCGAATTTAGACGTCGACGTGATCGAATACCGGCGGTAATAAGATACGTAGTATTTGAAATTTCTGATCACTGCGGAGAGACCCCACTTTCGGCCATTGGCATCCGTAACCAATCCGTAACCTTACTAACTCAACTTCAGAGCTAGGGCCATTGATCACGTACTTACATGATTTTGGGGCGACTCTGCAACAATGCGACGAATAAATAGCCTCACAGGTTGCTCACAGGCTGGAGTTAATTATTAAATCAATCGAATCGTTTGTGGATGAGTCGAATATATTTTCAACATGGCGCTCACAAGCAGTTGAGCTGTAGCAACTGTACTAGAAAAAAAACAACTCCTTTTGTGAACTCGAGATGTAAAAGAACGCATCAACGAGCGAGGATGCACGCACAAAGGTCCGGTTAATCGGGTAATGCTTACCGGTCGCGTCGCGAAAAAGATCACAGTTCATCCTTGCTCAACTATACCATGACGCCTTCAGCCTACGTGGCGCCTATCGTGGATTCTACGTCGGTTTTCCGGGCTGACATCTTCAAAGGAAAGGTTCTATTTTGCACTGGTGGAGGATCTGGGATATGTCGCGGCATGACAGAGGCCATGGCGAGTACTACTCAGTGGTAGAGTCTCTCTGCCGTCCTGACAACCCAATTTCGCTACTCAAGATGCGGCATGGTGCCTCTGCCACCATCGTCGGACGCAAGTATGTGGCCGGTCTTCTCGTGGGGCCCAGTGTACTCACCTCATTACTAGACTCGATCGCCTCACGCAAACAGCGGAGGAACTCATGAAAGCTACTGGTCAGACGTGCATCCCTGCTCAAGCCGACGTAAGGGACCCGACCTCCTTAAAGGAGGCTGTTTCGAAAACCATTGAGAAGTTCGGTAAAATCGACTATGTCATCTGTGGTAAGCGGCATGCGTTCGTGTCCGAAATATCCACTGCTAGACACCAATATATTTTTGCTTAGGTGCAGCAGGCAATTTCTTGGCGCCTATTTCCGGAATGTCCGAGAACGCGTTCAAGACCGTGATGGAGATCGACACCGTAAGTGCCCCCTCGGAGCATTCAGTTTCGTACCTCATCTCCTCGAACACCGCAATATGTAGATTGGCACATTCAATACAATTAAAGCCACGATCAACTATGTCCGAGCCGCGAAAGGGGCCTATATCCATGTCAGCGCTACATTACATTACAAAGGTGCGTACTCTTGTTCGTACAATTGGCACGCGGATGTCCTAAATGAATTTCACCGTAGGAACTCCATACCAAGTGCACGTTTCCGCTGCAAAGGCTGGTGTAGACGCCTTGTCAGCCGTCCTAGCGGTAGAAGAAGGTCCACACGGTGTACGATCTAATGTGATTGCGCCTGGCCCCATATTAGGAACTGAAGGCATGGATCGGTTGTCCCCGAAAGGTGCAACTGGATGGAAACCAGCATACCCTGCGGGTCGTCTGGGTGACATCAAAGACATTGCAAACGCCACTGTCTTTTTGTTTAGCAATGCGGCGTCGTACATCACCGGCCAAGTCCTGCCAGTCGACGGTGGTGCGGAACATTTGCGTTCACAATTCGTTCCATACCCACAAGGAGTCCTCGACCCAAGTAGCATTTCACATATGATCAAACCCAAACTGTGAAAATCGAGGAGATTGTGCATGTAGTAATCCTACCATATACCAGTGTCTGAAGTGCACTTAGTACATACTTAAAGAGCCACATGGAGAGAAGCCGAACCTCAACGAGTCCGCTCGCCTTTGATATATCCCAAGGACAAAAGTTGGGAACATACGATGGAAAGGACAACATATCAAACATTCTTCCTGACACCCACCGGAGGTGATCAAACTCTTTGTCGCATCTAAAAATTATCAGAACCAAATCCTGTTCCGTTTGCCAACAAAGCACAACATGCATGGTTCACATCAGCAAATCTACATTTTACTTGTCAACTTGTCGGGACTTTTTGTTACTGACTGCTTGTCGCCAAGTTACAAGTTGAAACAAGCTCACAAGCTGACGAGGTGCCTGACAATGTGAAGACTTAGCGAAAAAAAAGTGGTTCGACTTGCTGAGTTGCTTATGTAACAGTTGGTAACCACGTCCGTTCCCTCAACGTTCCCTCTCATCTTGACCACACCGAGACCACACTATCATTCACAGTGACCACCCACCTCTGATGCGTCACCACCTCCACCAACAACCACCTCCCGGCACCATCATTTGGCCTCCCACAACCAACACAGCGCACACCAACCACACCAGCCCTGACAAAACGACGTTGTGACGCCACGTCACCCGCCACAACCACCAGCCAGTACGTTTTATCCTCCTTCCTCTTACTGTTTATATGAATGTTATGTCAACAGAGATTTTCGCAGCCTTCTCCCTTTTCCTCTCGCATCATCAGCACTCATTCGACATTTCAATTATTTGAGGAAAGCGTGCCTGGCGATGGCCCATGGTGAGTTCTTTTCTCTACCCCCCCACTCAGTTTTCTGAATCAAGCAATATTGTTGTTGATAGGTGCTCTATTATGTTCTTCGCATCTGCATGCTGCTACACAGTTTCTCCGTTGCTGTCAACTTGAGCGCTATCAGCGAAATTCCGTGCCAGCAGGTTGTATGAATCTCGAAGAGTACGTCAACACCACTTGCCGCCTGCCCAATGCCGCCACGCCGCGCACTAGCCACAGCAACCAAGCAAGCACCAGCCACACGTCAACAATACCTTCCAGATGCGCCATGAAGTCCGCAGCAGCAACGACAACGAGAAACATTGATGGAGGAACGAGTGCCGCCAAAGGTCAGCAACCCCCGATATCCCCTTTCGACTGACAAGTCGCCAGCCAATCGCCGTTGCCCACACCAACCATTTCCACGTCACCCCGCCGTGCATGCCGTTTTGACGGCATATGTACTAGTATGCGCTCGCAGGAGTAGGAGGGGGGTTCGAGAAGGGGATATACAGAGTTTGTGGAAGGGACCCAGTGGGGGGAGGGCTGCGTTCCTCCCGGTGTCGCCGGTGTGGATGGCAAAGGATCGTTCAATACAAGTTCAATACTGTACATATTATTGTACTCTCATAATATAATATTGTGCAACCACTTTCCTGCTATCAAATACCAAAAATAAGATTACAACTTTTCTGAACTTGTCAGCTTGTTAGAGCTCGTCGAGCAATCTTGCTACTCAACTTGTCAGATTTTTGGATCTACTTGTCAACTTGTGACTTGTGGCTCGTTTGGACTCGTTTGGGCTCGTACGAGCTGAAAAAAGTCCAAACAAGTCGTGACAAGCAGAGTGTAGAAACACTGATGCAGCCTCAGAGTACACCTTGGATTGATGGACCCTCGTGATTGTTGATATGTTGGATATGTAAACGCACGATTGTGTTGCCGAAATGCTTCCGTTACCTGCACAAAGCTGTGCATATGGATTTGGTGTACCGGGGTGAGCGGCTGTGAGCGGTCACCCTATGGCAAGTCTACGGTCATTACTTGGAGGCCGGCCTCGTTACCTCATGGTATGTAAAAGATCAAGGGATATCTGATGTCGCGGACTGTTGTATCCAAATTCGTGGGTCCTGTAGAGGAGAGAAATTAGTCGAGAAAAGGAAAAGTGAAGGGAATGTCGACGCGCTCTCGCCACAGGGCTTATCTTGTCATCAGAGATAGCTATGAAAAATCCTGCAGAAATTGTTCCCTGCACCCGACGTTATACCGAACCTTCGGAAAAAATAACTTCGTCCGAATAATAATATACATATGATGTCAATTGATGGGGGCCATAGTCGAAAGGTTGGAGGAGTTTCGAGTCATTACTACTGCTTGAAGTAGATCTCCCGTAACATAGGAGACCTGATTGTAGGGTCCAAAGAAGAGGAGAGAAGAGGCATAACCCCGCTTAAACTACGCTTGGTTGGGCATTCTGATAACTAGCGCCGACTCCTGGGTGCACAGGCGCTGACTCGGGTGCAGATCTAAATGATAGTTACCTTATTCAAGTGCTGATTGTCATTGTGACAGACCTTGATGGAAGGAAACAACCTCGTGCGTGCTTCGGTCTAGTTGAGGTCTAACCTGGATTGTACGCATGAAACGTGGTGTGTGAGTGTGGGTCATTGGTGGGTCACGCATTACAACGAGCCAGTTCACGAGGCCGCACGCGCCTAAAGCTTCCCCATCTGGGGGTCGTAACATTGAACGTGATGTCGGGTGGTTGCACTCACGAAAGGAACACTAGAGAGAAAACGCCACACCCATTAGCCCACTGGGACGCCAGGTATTTGAGTATTCTGGGGTGGTCTTGGAAGGGAGCCCCAGAGCAACGAAATAAGTGGGACATTCGCCATGTCCTCCCCGAACGTGGGTGTTGCCCAAGCAACAGCGCAAAAGTGATATGCCATTGAGGCAGCTCCTAGAACTTAGTTCGGGGGAAGCATCGCGCAAGAAATCCGGAAAACAGATGGACAGGATTCCTTACGTGTTACCTCTCAATTGACGCAGCTGCACATCTTCAACATAAACACTTATTCCTCATGCCTAGATGCTGGAATAAACACCCCATCTACGCTTGAAAACGGGATCCTACCTGGAATGGCGCCGTGTAAGAACCACGATAGACCAACCTGAGGGACCTCGAGAAAGAAAAAAGGCAAAAGCAGATATCCAGATCGTGTTCAGGTCACGTTGCAGAATTGAATAAATTAATGTAAGTGCTGTTGGGCAATGGACAGACGTAGGCGATCGCCGTAAGTGTATTTTGAGTGGCGATCGTGGATAGTGTACGTAGTGGGCGTAATGCCATATAAAGAGGTGGCTTGGCGCTGGGATCCAATGAGCGTCATAGCAAAAGAGGAGAGTAGAGAACATACGCCACACCTCTGCCAACGGTGCTGAGAGTTTTCACGCTGGAATCATCATTTCGCCCCATGTCCGCACCGCAACAATACCTCCAATGAACATCCCAATTCCAGTCACCAAACTGATATTTCCGGGCAGCTTTTCGGGTGCCAAAACTTCGGTGCGTATGAATCTGTTGCAATCCATCAGACTTGAAATTTTGACGAGACCAAAGACAAACCTTGAGAATGAAGACTCATTGGGGTCGTTTAACCTTCGCTGTTGAGGATGAGGAATGTACGCTGGTTGAGCTGAGGGTCCTGCACGGCGTGCCATCGTTGTTTGTTGGCAAGCAGCGAGGAGGAAGAATTTCTCGTGGAGAATTCAAACTCAGACTTACGTAAGCATAATGTTTAAAGGAGCTTGTTTGAGTTCCTCCCAAGTTCCTCCGCATCCACTATAAACGATTCCATCGCATCGGAGCATCTACTTTCTAGCCAACATATCTTCACGGAATAGTCAGTATCCAGCTCCGAACCAGCTGCTACCTACCTCTCTGAATATCTAGTATTTCCGAGACCAGATGATCGCCGGCCTTCAGCAAGTTTATTCAAGGCTTTATCAGGACAGAACTTGCCCATTGTTTCCCGAGAAATTCATCGCGCGCGCCGTTGGCTACTGGGTTAGCAACCCCAACTTATGAAGTCGTGAGGTTGCTCGTTTTGGCGTCACATTATTGGCGTAGAACGGCCCCTTTCGACCCACCCAAGAATTCTATCATTTCGTAGTGCTGGCCGACGTCTCACGCATTTTTACATTCCTCTCTACTCCAGGATGTCGAATGATTCGGTTTGAGAATACCTTTGCCGGTAGCAGATCCCGACTGTCCACGTTGAAGTAAGTAGTCCTCTATCTATTTCGCGGCTTGTGTTGCCTTGATCATTAACATTCGAGTTGCGGTTCATTGGGGAAGGTAAAATTACAATCGACAAAGAGCTCTCATACAAGTGAGGCATGTTTCCAACCCGTAGCTTGCCCAGCGTTGTAGCCTTCAGGCCTTCAGGCGTCATCATTCTTGGCAACTTTCTATCAAGAGGGCGTAATTTTTTCTGGTTTAGATTACGATGTTACGCATCGGAGATCTCTGGACAAAATGTTCCAGGGTTTCCACACTACTTTTTCTAGCACGATCGAGGAGCGGCTGACAAACGTGTCAGCCGCTCTCAAGTGCTGAGTGCTGAAGCACTGAAGCTTTCAAACGAATTGCAGAGAAAAATGATGGCTTTTTGTTCTCATATTGCACAAGATTACACATGGCCTCTTTTTTCGATTACAGTCGGACTCGCTTTACATCATGGAGCAGATCAGTTGTTGTGGTCACGTGATTGTGTCAACGACGCGTCGGACGAGACCGCGTGACGTCAACACGTCCATCGAAACCGATGACAAAAGTTCACTGCGCCGAACTCAATTGCCAACCTTTTTATAGCTAACCATTTCGGACCATCGCCGTCACTGGACGGTATCTCAGACTCGCCATGCCCATCTTTGCTCCCATATATCTGAGAAATCACCCCACTTGCCCCACCTCGCTCCCTTACCTACCCTCAGGACTCCGCCAAAAAAAAATTGTCCTTCGCACCCTTGATTATGCGTCTCTCGTTCCTTCCGGTTTCCCTCGTCCTACCGTTAGTATTTCTCCTTCCCCAAGCCATCGCCCAGGAGAGTCAAAATGCGACGTTCATCGAGGCTTTCATCAATGAACTGACCTCATTGGGTTTTAATCAACTCGCCAACGTCACTAAGGTGATAAATCAGACGACTGTTGGCCAGCAACTTCTCTCCCAGCTTTCAAATGGCACGTTTACTATCTTTGCGCCTACCGACGCTGCTTGTAAGTGTTTCGCATGTCTCTGACACCTGTCTCATGTCATTCGGCAGTCGCAAATCTGTCTTCAGACGTGGTCAATAACGTTACCACTCTCGCGGACATCATCTCCTACCACTTCGTAGAAGGACTTTTCCAGAATGTCTCATTCGTCAACACCTCCGCTAGCGCGAGCGGAAGCAGCAGCAGCGCATCGGCTTCTTCTACCTCTTCTTCCTCTGCCACAAGTTCTTCATCTAGCAGCGCTTCCACCGCGACTGCGACCAATTCCAGCATTCCGCAACTCTTTGCTGGGGTGTTTCCCAACGTTACGCTTGGCCGTACGTTGCTAAATGATACAAGCATAGTTCAGTTGGAAGGAAATAAGAGCCAGGTGTTAGCTTGGACGAGGAGCGGTGACAACGGAAACGTTACCATCTTAAATCAGGTGTAAGTCTTTTTCCTTGACTCACCCCCCGATTATTTCTCTCCCTCTTGTCTTCCAACCCCTTTAATCCAAGTATTCATACCGAGACTAACGGGTCCAGGGCTAACGATACCTCCAGCGGAAACGTCACCGTCTCGAACGCTACGGTGTTTGAAAATCTATTTATTAACGCCATAAATGCCGTCCTCACCCCACCAGGGAACCTCACTATTGCAGTCGCCGCCGTCAACGCAACAGCGTTCGGGACGCTCATATCTTCAGTGCAAGTAGCAGAGCCGAATGGCACGAATGTCTCTGCAATCGAATTCTTGCAGGGCGCACAAGGTATTACCATCTTCGCGCCAAACAACGCCGCCTTCAGCCAGGCGATCAACTCCTCGATTGCGTCTATCAACGCGTCTACCTTAGCGGACCTTATTTCAAATCATGTACGCAGTACTTTCCCTCTGCAAAATATTCATCTAATGATTTCGTTAGTACATCAACGGTACCACCCTGTATTCTCCAATTATTCAGGACATTGCCGCCAACTCCTCCGTGTTCAACTCAACCACGTTCAACGCCACTTCCGCAGGCGGGGAGCCCTTCACCTTCGTCACAAACTCCTCTGGTACTTTCGTCAATGGAGGGAACGGAACTTCGGCACAAATCGTGCGGCCAGACGTTCTTCTCGATAATGGGGTTCTGCACATTATTGACCAAGTCCTTTTCAACGATGCAACAAATGCGACAGCCGCTTCTGAGGCGTGAGTTTACTATCGCTTTCTCTTTCATCCCCCGTCTCTAACCCTTCTTGGTGTTTAGATTTAGCGCGGCGTCGTCACTCGCGGCCATTAGTACGACCGAAACCTTACCTATCGGTTTTACCTCCAGCTCTGCGACCTCAACGTCGTCTGCTGTCTCATCGTCCTCCGCGGCGTCCTCAGCCACCTCTTCTTCATCCACCGTTTCAAGTTCGACGACCTCCACGTCTGCCTCCGCCACTGCTTCAGCGTTCGTCCTCGCTTCAGGCTCTGAAAAATTTGGGGCCAGCTTCGGATTAGCCCTCACTTTTGTTCTAATTGTCGGATCGGGAGCTTGGTTGTCGGCGTAACACGTAGGAAATAATATATCGACATCTCACTCTTTTCTCGGCGATAGCCATAGCAGACTCACCGCATCTTCCTTTATTAAAGTGTAGACGAGAACAAAAATACGAGTGAAAATATCGTCTTCAAAATAAATTCTCAAGTTTACGGTCTCCTACTGTCATGTCGGGAAGATAGAAATCAAAATGTCTGCGCATATCAGCAATTACTGAAGCATGTCAGTTGATTATGGAGACATACACGGGATTATATGATTATACATGGTCCTGTAATCATCGAAACTCTTCAGTAATTACAGGTATGCCTTTTTCGATTTTTCCGACAAAATCTGCCCATCGAAGCTTTGATGGTGGTTGACTCGGAAGGCGGTTTTCTCTACCAGCCGCAGGGCTGCTTTATCTACTATTTCTCTGATGGGGCATACTCACTTTTTTGTAACGTTTCTGGTGTCCTAGCCGTCGGTATCTTGACTGTCAAACGCCTGGCCCAAAAATATCAATTTTTGGTGATTTTTAGCCAGACGCTTTGTGGGGATTTTTATCCGGACTTCGACAACCAAAATTATCCGGACGCTGGCTGAGGCATCTGGCCAAAATCTGACCAAAATCTATCCCGACAGTTCCAAAGGCAGACCCGAAAACTTGGCCCAGCTTTTTTTATTTGGACGAAGATCAGGCATCTAAGGGAGCTTCGAGGGTCGTAGAAAATTTAATGTAGATATACTTCTTTTGAAGGGCAGCACAAGCAAATATCTGGCTGGTCTTCAATAAGTAGGTCATATCCATGAATTAGGAAATTCATCCGACATCAAAATGCATATGGGGCTTGGCCAGGTTGCCAAGATTTGCGACTAAAAGCCAGATGCGAAAAAGAGAAGCCCTATCTTCCCGGTGCCACTTCCTGGTTTATTTTGCATAGTAAAGATATTTGAGATTTGAACTCACATAGAAGGAACTTGGACGAGGAGAAGATTATTTCTTTCGGAAAACTCCCGTCATCGATGGTAATTCAAGTCGTCAAGGCATCGATTTTGATATTTCGGTTACTTTGCGAGACACGTGAAGGCTCTACTACGTTCTAGCGTTAGCATTGAGCTGGCACGGACCACTTAGCCATCCGAATCGTAACCGACAAAGGACCGGACGACCATTTGTGATAGTAGTGATCATGTTTTCTGAAAGAGACTCCTTCGAGTTTCCTTTGTCTAATTGAAGTCCTGAGGGGGGGTATTGTAGCGCATTGAGGCCTGGAAATATAATAATTAGCTCCAGTATTCTAGATGTAGATGGATCGAATATATTGTGAATGAGAATAAATGATGGAAACGGCCAATGTGCATAATCAGGAAGACGTTGCACTTCCACGTAAAAATCAGTTGATCACTTTCCGCCGAAAACCTTATTTCTTAAAAAGGAGCGTCATCATGTGATGTCGGCCCAAAGCCCGCACCCAAACGCGTATCGCGCGAACTCATAAGTACCCGAGTACATCTTCTGTGAAATAAGTGGTTGCTTTTGCAGTTTTGGCGCCAATATATTTCTAATATAAAGAATATTTACAAGGGAGTGAGTACAGTAACTACCTACGGCAATCCAAAATAGCAAATCTGAAATACCTATGCTACTAGAGCAACATCTTGTAACGGCGGGGAAGTAGTTGGCCACATACCAGTCGCGACTTGGATCCCCTAGCTTCCCAGCCCCACCATTTCCCACCTGGAGGGGCGCCATCCCACGCCCTGCCATGTGTATCGCGTCGTGGTCGCTTGTGCTGGAATTCACCTGACCCGTCGTTGGTGTCGGACTTGCGTGAATGGATGGGGCAGTGTCCAAGTCCTATCATGCGCGTTGGGCGGTCAATTTCTTGTCTTCACTGCTGGCAGCTTTTGTCGTCGACGGCGTGGTTGGGCACTCGGCGTTGGAGTCATCGTTTTCGCACCCTCGCTGGATGTGGTTGGCGTAGTCGAGGTTTCTGTTTGTGATACCGACGTTGGGCAGATTTTCGGTTGCAGGATTTGTCGCGTTGGACTTGAGACGGGTTGACGGGCGCGAGATTCTGAAAGGGATGGTATAGGTTTGATATAGGTGTGGTTTAGTTGCTGGTTTGTGAGCGTGGGCTTGGGCGTCGTTCCCACAGGTCATGTGAGGTTTGACCATTTCGGGAATTAAGGTTTTCGGCGGAATCTCAAAAGTGGTAAAAATCACGCTGATCGTATTTGGACTCCGCTAAACTCCGCTCGAACTTTGTCCACAAATTATACCACTTTTTCTTTGTTCTTCCTCGCCGTCCACAATGTCGTCCAACCTCAATATTACCGGCTCGAACATCACGGCGCCGACGCCCCAAAATACGCCCTTGAACCAGGCACCTATCGCCCTGGGACTTTCAAGACCAACGGTCCCAGACATCACTGAAGATAACGAGCAAGATGAGGGCGATGGGGCAGACGTTGATCTCGGCGCTGTGCAGACCCAGATGCTCGGCATGGTCCACGGAAGGCTCGCTGAACTTGTTGGCAAGAGCTCCGGGTACATCGAGAGTCTTCCTGTCGAAGTAAAGCTCAACATCGAGGGGCTCAAGGGTATCCAGGTCAAGCAAAACGAGCTGCAGAACCAGTATAAGCGCGAGTGTCTCGAACTCGAGAAGAAGGTAAGCTGCGATTGCCTTTGATCCGTATCTTTTTCCAACCCGCTCTTACAGTACCTTGGCCTCCAAAAACCTTTGTATGAACGCCGACATGCGATCATCTCTGGTACCGCTCAACCCACAAGGGAGGAGCTCGATTCGGGCGAGCAATACTCCATCAAAGAGGATGAAGAGTATACCCCCTTGCCGAAAGACGTCGCCCCCTCCGCTGAGGGCATTCCTCACTTCTGGCTCACCGCACTCCGAAATCATATCGCCCTCTCCGAGCTGATCACAGATCGCGATGTGGAAGCCCTCAAGCACCTTGTCGATGTTCAGCTCGCATATCTCGACGACAAGGCAGGCAAGCCAGGCTTCAAGATCCTCTTTATCTTCAGTGCCAACGACTTCTTCGAGAACGACGTCCTCGAGAAAACTTATCTCTACCAAGAAGAGGTCGGATATTCTGGTGATTTCGTCTACGATCGTGCCATCGGTTCCGAGATCAGGTGGAAAGAGGATAAAGATCTCACAAAAGAGTTTGAGATCAAGAAGCAGCGGAACAAGAGTTGGTCTTTTCTTTTTATGCCATCCCTGCCACTCACCCACTCATTACTGTTAGACACCAACCGCACGCGTCTCGTCCGCAAGGCCAAGCCTACAGAGTCCTTCTTCAACTTCTTCACTCCTCCCATCCCGCCATCCGAAGAGGCTATCGAGAATGGTGACTTTGAGGATGAGGAGCTGGAAGAGATCGAGGAGAAACTCGAGGTAGACTACCAGATCGGCGAGGACATCAAGGAGAAGGTATCTTTCTTTGCCAATCGACTCAGCATCCGATTCTAACTCCCTCTAGATCATTCCCCGAGCAATCGATTTCTTTACCGGCAAAGCGCTAGAATACGAAGGCCTCGACGATGACGATGATGATGCGTTTGAAGATTTGGATGACGATGATGATGAAGGGCAGTTTGATGAAGATGTATGTCCCGTTATCTCGTTTATGCTGCTTAATCTAATTTCCCCCTAGGATTCGGAATCGGACAACGATGTCCCTGTTCGTCGCCGCGGCCCACCAAAAGGCCGCGGAGGCGCCCCTGCAAACGCGTCGAATGTTAACCCGGAAGAGTGCAAGCAGCAGTAAGCTCACTGCTGACGCCGGCCCATTGCTTCCTCCACCGACGCACACATAAGTGCTCAACATTATCCCGCCCATTTGTTCAATCCGTTTTGCCTTGCCCCACTATCACCTGCTTCCCATCTTGTTCAACCATGCTTCTCACCCTGGCAATTCGCTCTCATGGCGACTCTCCAAACTATCATCCATCACCCACCTAATCCCTGAAACCAAACACCGCCTTCCTTCAATTTATGCACGCCCCTCCACCGTCATTCATTGCTTTTCTGTTTCCGTTGCTTTCCACTCGCCTAAATCTCAGTCCTTTCCAAACATTCTTACTTACGCCGCTGCCCCCTCATGTCAGAGTCATATATATACACTACCATACGTATTACCTGAAGCTCCGCCGTCCGAAACTCCCTCTTGTATTTTCTATCTCTTCCTTCAAATCTTTCTTTTGGGAAAGGGCGTGGGTTTGAAATATCTTGTGAATGTCTTCGTCGACCCGCAACGTGTTGTAAATTATATAATAGTAGCGTTATACGATGGGATGCATCCTTCTCAACCAATACTTACGGCCCAGAATGACATGAATTGACGTCTTTCTACTCCTTATAATCTTTGCCTATGGCCGACTGGCAATGTCATATCACAGGTCCTATCATCAGTATGGGGAACTAATTGTTCCTCATTGGAACTGCTATGCACAATATTCGGACGATGTCGATGAAACTACCTGTTGACACAACTCCACCTCCGCTACATGCTGAATGAGTTTGTTGGAACATTCAATTAGTGGGATCACGTACTGACTGGTACGACTGACAAGGTGGTTGTATCAGAACATGTATAGCATAGCGTCATCATGAGCAACCTACAGCCCTTCATCCCAGAGGAGTTTACCGCATCGTATGCATCGTAAACTGGGTAATTTTGATATCAACATTTCATGTGCTTGGTTTGGAGAAACATGTACCTTTGCCCGAAGATTTATTTGGCCTATATGCTCGAGGTGTTATTATGCCATTTGTCGTTAGAACCTCCCCTTTGGCAATAGAGAGCCACGACGGATCAGCGGTCGATCGGTCTAGGAGACTTGGAGGTAAGCACTTTACCAAGGAATTGCGTCACTCACCACATTTGTATTTTGATTTGACCCGATACTCCTGCGGGGCGTCTACTACAAAGGCCATGGGATTGTCACCGGCGCAACCTGGGTAGGGGTGCTTTAGAAACCGTAACCGAGTCTTATCCCTCATCGGAGCTTCACTGTTCAAAACAGCAAAAAGTTGCGACGTTGCAGAAGATAAGGAAGATATGCCCTCCATTTTCAATAAGCAGGCTTTGACCGAAGCGACTGTATGGGGAGGTGCAATAGCAAGTGGATCAAAACGGCCCATGGAGCTGTCACCTTTCTTGAATGCCATCTTGGAAGGAATCTCCTCCTTCGTCGAATAAAGGCGGTAGTAAACTGCCCAAAGAATATATAAGAGTAAATTGTTAGCGGGTACTAGAAGAATGATGAACTTGCCATAATTGGGACTCGATTGAACGTGAGGAACCTTGAGAGGGTTCTTTTGTTTCACAACGACCGACCTGTCCGAGTGAACGACCAACGCCACTGGATCAAGCGCCGATACTCCAGGACCAGAGGAGCCAAGGAGGGATATTTGTGCGGCTTCGTTCATCGCTTTCTTGTCCGAGAGGGACGCAAACAAGCAGGATTCTGCGCTCTCAAGGACACCTTCGATATGACACAAATAATTTTTAAGTGACGTGACGGTATGAGGCGGGACAACAGATTTGGTGAGGATTCGGCTCTCGTTGGGGTTGTTGGTAGCAATCCCGCCGTCGTTTACATAATAGACACGATAGTGCACTTGACAATTTTCAGATGCAATGTGATACGGGGAGGCGGTGAAACTTACAGTAACGATGCCCTTTCGCCTGTATCGTGCCCCGTAGCCTCTGCGCGAATCGCGTGATATTGGTGGTTCCCTGACGTCGCTTGAGTTGATAAGAAATCTGGTATGATGATAATCGTACTACGTACAGTTGCCCTCTGCACCGTGACATTGTCAGCCTCCACGTCTTTATACCCGTCTAGACTGGGATTGGTCACATTGCTACCATCGAGAACGGAGCTAGACATGACGCTGTGAGGGTAAGTAGGACCAGTGTATTTCGGCCTTTGTTTGCCGCGACCTTACATATGCTGTGCTTGCTCCGATCATGGAGGTAGGAGGGAAAGTCCGGAGCTATGATCGAAATCAAGGCTGTTTGTATACAGTGATCCTTCTGCACAAAATTTACCAGGAAGGAGCTGGAGGACGGTCGTTTGACAAAGGAGGTGGTAAGAAAAGGGGGGTATTCAGACTTTGCCTTGAAATTTCACTGACTAAGTATATACACAGACTATCCAGTGTCGTCCGCACTCCCTTGGCCTAAGTCCTCTGCGATTTGATGTTCAAAGAGCCTATCAAAAAATTCCAGCTCCAGCCGCTCCTTCCCCTCGACGCTTCCCCAGATCTCTTGTCTCGACAGATCGAAGCCACCATCACTAAACGCATCCTCGTAGTCCCAGGTTGGCTCTCCCGCACCTTTCACATGTTTCAGAACGCCCTGCAGGAAATGGTCGCGGAAGAGTTCGTCCAGCGGGCGGATTGTCGGGTTCACAATATGATCAAGGCGAAGGGTCAAACCGTGCACATCGTCTAAGCCATTGATGAATCCGGTGATGCGATGATTGTCCTAAAGTTTGGGAATTCACATCGTAGACGAGACATCATAAAATTAGGGCACTCACGTCAGGGTTGACACCAAACTCATAATTATCCCACATATCACGCAGGTCACTTCGTAACATGATCACATTTTGCACAGAGTCAATTTTTGAAGAACCACCAACGTCCGATGCAGGTGCGGTATCGGTGACGAGGTGATGGAACTGTTTGCTTACCCACTGGAGAGCCGAGGAACATTAGTCAGTGACCAAGCGACTAGCTAAACTCACTTCATCAACGTGGGCACGAGGAAATATGTGGGCGGCCCTCAGTGGACTCCATGTAGCGAATCTCTGTCCCGTGACCAAGCATTTCCCATCCCTCTCTCGTGTCCGGTTACAGTAGTGTTCCCGCTGTGCATTACTTTTAGACATCCCGAGCTGGTGTGTCAGAATGGGTGGGTTGGCGAATACGTGCTCTCTCTTCGGTCAGAGTAACTGGTAAGGGGCTGCCGTCTGGAGCGCCGTGAATACGTTGTCATAAACCTGAAACGGAGGTTACGTACCTTCTCGAAGCAGGATATAGTCTCCTGTTATCTCGGAATCAAGCGACCGCTGCCTCCGTGACGGTTTAGACTGGTTTCGTAGAAATCAAAGACCGCCCACTGCTGCCCCGTCTGGATGAAAGATTTCAACCACAACGAAAAAGTGCTCCAAGAGACTGAACCATATTGCCAGAAGCCTGGAATCCGTGAGCAAGGTCTGGCGATGTGGTCGATGTCTCACCCGCAATCACGTTCCCGTCGAAATCGTGCAATATCACGTTACGTCTCGGTAGAAGGGACATCAAAAATGGCTACCTGCGGGCGAGGACGTCTACGACGGAGCTTTGTTGTAGTCTTTAGCTTTCGGTGGAATCATCGGTCGCAATGGGTTGGTGATAACCAAATGTAAACAAAAGTGAAAGCCGCAAGACGCAGCGTTAAAGATGTCACAACACCCGCAATGGAAGCAGGGACGGAGTAACGATGATAATTCGCATCATGAGCAGCTATTTGACGACACTTGCTGCCGTCAAAGGGAAAGATGGTTCGAGGCGGTGGCTTTTTGTCTGTGCCAACTGGGCTGCTGTGGCCGACCCTTGTCTCTGTGAAGAGTCCATCCAGGTAGAGTCCTTAAACCTGTCGTGTTGGGTATCGCGGTACACTGTGAATGGCGATGGGTTAGAGCTTTCCACACTAAAGATCGGTTCTGATCTACCAACCTAAACGCAACTGCGGTTGGCCTTTCGAGGTTGCCTGACGTGAGTGGCTCGTGATGTACCTGCCAAGCTCTCTGATTAACGTCACCAGGACTCTAAAATCTATGTTGCCTACCTTCTGCCTGTCAGGACCAAAGTCCTTGAAGTTCTGGTCCAGATTGGGTCCAGAAAAGAACTGAGACTTTGAGCTTGGTCAGTCCTTGCTTCTCAAACGCCGGGTGCTCTTTGGTTGTTATGAACATTGAAGGATGCCTTGCTGGCCAAGTCTCGTTGTAGATGCAGCGGCAGTCTACCTAAGCGAGGGGCTCGCGGAGTTCAGGCCTCAGGGATCTGCGTTTTTGCAGGTTCGACTTCCGGCAAGCTGCTTACAAGAGCAGGCAGATGCGGAACATGCCCTCCTGGGCCATGAGGTCGAACGCGCCCTTCCGAGCAGACGGAGACGGGAAGACGGTGGTTTGAAGCTTGCCCAGAGTGGACAAGATATACAACATGTGGACGAAGTGGGGTAAATGGGCCGCACCGTTTACGGGCCTGCCAGGGCGCGCATCTTTGAAAGGGGGAGCTGATCATACTACCCATACCATTGAATACCAGAATATTCGCGTTCTGGGTGTTGAAACCGTGTGCTTCGACCTGGGGGGACGATCAAGAATCGTACAGCGAAGCCGGTGTGATAACTCACCATTAATTCGGCCGTAAGTTGAATAAGGTGGACCCATAACCTTCACAATCTTCCGGCGCCTTCACCTCCTCCACCAATTCAACTGTTCCAACATTTTCCGGGTATCGAAGGAGCAAGAACTGCAGATTGAGGTTGCCACCTAGCTTCCTCCGGTTGCGAGGACAGAATTCGGAGTTGACCATCCCTCGTCCATCTCTACATCTGACCACGCGTCAATCCCAGCTTAGCACCTTGAGAAATCTCTGGAGGTTCTAAGAAACAGCGAAAACGCGTCCGTAATCGAGCTGACGCGGTTTCAAGCCTCATTTGAGTTGCGAATCTTGTTCAAGTCGCCAGCCTCGAGTAGCACAAATTAGAGCCTGCATTCGGCATGAACGATCGTGGCGCGTACGCGAGAACGAAGCCTGGTCACCGGCATCAACGATGTCGGGCTAAGGCCTGGAGAATGAATAGGAGGGAGTAGCCTGAGCCGCGAAACGAAGAGAGGGATTGTGAGTCGGAGTCCGCCGAAACTATGGAACTTCCCACCACAGAAGCCTGCTAGGGATTGAATAACAGACGACGGGTTTTCATATATCACCAGTGTAGTTGAGTATGATTTCCTTCAAACGAAAATGTACAATTCAAAACGATTCTCTACAGATTCTCTATCAATGCAATGTTCGTCAACTGATACATAAATCCTCTCAGCGCGAATCATGCAGTGGCTTCCGTAGGAACTTCGGCCTGAGGCGTGAGGCGGACCGCGTGTCTTCGGAAAGTGGGGCTGAAGTCGGGAGTCGCGGAGTGTGCAGTGACGCGGTTGTCCTGGGGAAAGAAGGACATCAGCAATCCGAGAGGCAAATGGAGAGGCAAAGAACGGGTGAAAGCGAAAAAGAGCGTCACCCACCCAAACAACGACGGTACCAGGCTTGTAAGTCGCTCTGATGTGGAAGTCGGCACCTTTAGCAAGGTGGTCAAAGAGGAACTTGAGAAGGTACTCGGACTCTTCCTGCTTGAATCCGACGATGTGTTTAGTGAATCCTTGGTTGACGTATAACGCCTTCTCGCCCGTAACAGGGTGAACTCGAACGAGCGGGTGCTGAGGGTAGTATTAGTACCATAGTACACGTGTAGGTGAGCAAGAAGGGAGGCATACCTCGGTCTCGATGGGCTCTCTGCGGACGGGACCATCACGGCGCCGGGAAAACTCTGCTTGGGGAACGCCGCTATGGACCGCACGCAGGCCCTCAAGGCGTTTCTTGAACTCGAGCGACAGGCGGTTATAAGCTTCGACTTGGGAAAGGAACAACGTGTCGCCACCAGTCTCGGGCTATAAAGCAAAGTTAGCCTTGCAGTAAAATGCCCAGAACGTGGCGGACCTGGTCCAGGATGAAGAAGAACGTAGCGCCAGGCGGCTGCTTCTCATAGGAAACGTCCGAGTGCCAACTGGTCTGGTTGATCTTGTCTCCGCCTAGATACTCCTGAAATTTGTCATGCTGCGCATCACGATACACTGTGAATGACGTGGGTTAGAGTTTTGCTGATAGAAAAATCGATTGTGCACTTACCAACGTGGAATTCTGGATAGCCTTTCACGTTGCCTGACGTGGGGTGCTTCTGAATAGGTCCAAAGTGCCTATTAAGCTCTCTCATTAGCGTCGGTCAGGCATTTATAAGTTTATGGGTCCACCTGGTGATTTCAATCTGCCTGTCGGGAGAAAGGTCCTTGAAGTCCTGGTCACGGAAAAGAAGGACTTTGCGCTCGGCAGCGAACAATGCAAGTTCGTCCAGTCCTTCCTTGGACAGTTCGGAGATCTGGACCCCGGTAACTTCAGTCCCGAGGTATGGGCTTATGTGCTGGACTTTGACGTCGAGATTAAGAAGATTCGGCTTCGCTGGATTGGCGCGTGTGCCAGGGTCAACGTGATCTATTGGAGAGTTTGAAAACATAACAATCGTCTTGGGTATGTGAGGAACTTACCGAACAATTCGGTTGGAGGGAATTTCTCGTCATTGTCGTAGTAGGGGTAGTAAAATGGGTATGAGGGACCCTGCCCGCAAAAAATCAATGACGTCAATGAAGAGAGAGAAAATAAAGCGTACATCAGCTTTCAAATCTAGATTTGCCACTTTTGTGGCGACTTTCTGGACAGTCTGGGCTGTAACAGAGTCGAGTTGAGCAACGGAGGGGGCCATAGCGAGAGTGGAGAGGATTTCCAGAGATGAGAGCGAACTTGTGGTCTTTCAAGACCGTTCTGACGAGCTTTTATAGTCACAGACGATGCGTGCCGGCGAGAATGCCATCCGAAGCAATATTTGCACTTGAGAGCGCAATCAAGAGAAGTGATAAGGGCGGCGCATCAAGCACGCCTTAACAGGGTATCTGAATGTCTTTTTCAGCGTTCGGACGTCAGATGATGTACTCCTGCCTTTGAAATAGGCGATTTCGATTATTAACGCACCAAATGACGCACTCAGAAGTCGTGATTGCGCGAGGCAGGGGCCTCTCCACTTCCAGGTACGAGTCGGCTATACTTCCGTGCTCGTAATTCCATTCTTGTGGACATATCTTGCTCTGATTAGCCACTAGGCGCGATGCCAACACGATACCTTCGAGCGGAGAGGTGGACAAGTTGAAGTATCTTTGTTTGGTTCAAACCGCAATTTCAAATAGGCCTCAAGCTCATCACGTGACTGACCATCTCTTTCGTCCGCACGTCCATGAATGAAAGCGCTGCGCCAGGTCTGTCGCCATTACAGAAATACTTCAATGGGTTACGAATGCGTTTAATTTTTGATAGTCTTAAAAGTCCGCCACCGATCTTCGCCCTGGTCTTCTACCGCTCTAGATCTTCAACAGCTTTTGCTGCCATCGATATCACTGCCAGTTACAAAGAAAGTCACATTGGATGGAATGATTGTCTTGAAGTAACCCTCTTACCCGAACAATAGGTAAATCAATTTTCTCCCCCGTCCGTCGGACATTTGATTAGGTAGGTTTTCTGCAAATGTCGAGTCAGGCCAAACGACTGGTCGCATGGGGAGCCTAGACTTTCAACAAGCCATCTCGGGCCTTCTGAACCATATACCTTGCGAATTGAATGGTATATTCTACAGCGGAGCAGGTTACTGCAGTTTTTGATCCATTCGGCTCCTTACACGGTGCGTACGCGCATTCCTATGAAAGATTACCCCTTCCATATTTTCGACTTCATCTCAACTGAACGTTGGACCCCTATTCATGCATATAAACCACGTTCTGTACTTACCTTCCACACATGTGTGTATACGCGGTGAGCGGTTACGTTCGGGCCAATGTTGTGGTACGGTTTACGCTTCATAAATACAGGCGCAGCGGAAGCTTTTGCTATACTTGTAAAGTGAATTCCAGGAGGTTGTGATCGCCTGTGATCGCTTGCGATCTTTCGATCGAGAAATACCAGGATATATGTCGTCATACGCGGGGTGTAGTTCATGCTAGATAAGAAATATATTGTTGAGATAAGTTGGATAAGACCCGTATATAAATTTTTATTTTGAGCTGCGGCGATATCGCCCCGACAACGCTGCGCAGACCAAAACCAGACGCGTATTTCCAGTAGTATGACTATCTGTTCGATAAGACTTCGGTCCGTAGATGGAGCAAGTTGCACCGAAATGGGACTGACCCGAATTTGGGCAGTTATAATTTTCAAGTAGCGATGTTTAGAATTAACACCGCCCCGAATTCTCAAAGCCTTCAAGTGTGAAAATGATATGAATACTCATTGTCGCCATTTTTTCTCGATCTTGGAATGCGCATGTGTGTCTTTCGTGAGCGCCGAATCTAAAAAAAAAATAAGCTGAGCTAAAAATAGACAATTGCTACATTTTTGTTTCCTTTCTTCCTGTACTCTGGATTGTCGTGCTAACAAGTCAGGTTTGAAAGAGCAGAGACCACACTTGTAATTTTTTTGTCACTGATCAACTCTTGCGGTCAAGAATAAACACAGGCTTCGTTGAAAAAGAGCTGCTACCGTGAGCATCACAGTTCAGCGCTCAAGATATACTCTTGACATTCGTCTGCCAACCAGGACCATCGGACGGTTACGTTATCCCCGTCAATTGCGGCGCGTTGTGAAAGTAATATTCATTATTGTCAGACAATTCTCGAATACTTTTCTGAGGACAGCGGTAGTAACTCTGAAACTCATTATTTCTCTGCAATGCGTTGTTTGACATCCTCAATCGAAATGCCATTCAAAGTTGCCACTAGACCTCAAAAGTATTCATTTATTACCTTCTTTTTCAGCTTATCTCTACAACTCCAGTGTCACGTTGCTTTCGTTTCTTCGCTGCCGTTGTCGCGGTCTTGCGTTAACAAGCACCGCATAGTCGCGTCGATGTTTTTCACTATCATCCCATCCCAACGTCCGTCAAAGCAGTTTTTAAGTATTCCAGTTGGCTCTACCAGAATTGATGCTGGTTAGGTTACGTCACTGTGTCAAACTAAGAATCCAGCATTGATAAAGTTCTAAAGCCACCACGCGTTTAGATTCAAATCGAGACCGTAGCTTTTGGATTTAAGCAAGCCGGCGGCATTTATGGGGTAGATGCACGGCGAGCTCCTCTATAATTTTTGGAAACAACATTGCGATTACCATTCCGCGACGACAGAAGATTTTTCAACGGGGACCTGAGCAAGTATCTCGTGATCTCAGTCCATTCATCGGCTCGCGGGAAGTCGCTTCTCATATAATCTTGTATTTTTTTCCAGCCCTGATATGGCGTTTCTTCAACGTTAAATTAGGAACGGCGCATTTCAAACCGAGAGAGAAATATGCAAAATCAACTTCGTTTTAAAAAAGGCCTTTCGCGACAATCCGCTGTCTTTCTCATATTAAATAAGAATGGGAGATTTATGCGACGCAATCGAACGTCGGTTACCTACCCAGATAGGCGAGATCTCTAGCGTAGAAATCTAACCCACAAAACGCAAAACGCAAGGAAAAAAGATCTTGGATAATGGAAGCGCGATGGAGATCTCGGACCTCGTTCACAAACAGAGATTCTAAATTCGTACGTGATACGAGCCTGTGTAGGTTTGCAAGGAATCGGTGGGTAAAATGTCGAAGTCGCGCCCCAAAACTGAAGAAATTGAGGTTTCTTCTCTCTGGGTAAGCAGCCGAACTAGCCGGTCACGGTCAAACCTTACCAAGAAAGACGCGGTGACTTCCTGGTGAATCAAGACAAATTTTAAATGTCGGCTTGTAAACTTATAAACGAGGCCGACGTTACAACTCAGTAGCCAACGAGTGGCTGGGACCAGTAATATTTTAAACCCTTCCCACTCGAACAAATAAACTATTATGCTCATTTTGCGAAAGTGCGAAATGAAAAGGGGAAAAGCCGAGGTTAAACCTCCCCGCACTGGCAAATACTAGGTGATTTCACAGAGGACCTCCGCCATTGTAGTATCTAGGTCTAGAAATACAAAGTGACGCTGAGTTTGTGTTCACGCGTCGATACGACCTTGGGAGGCGAACCCAGAAGACGGTGGTAAATCAAAGTTAAGATTCAAACTCTATAATTCCATACGCAGTTTCCTTTCCTCTTTGTGCCAATAGATGATATGGTTTGTATTGCCGGAGAGCCGGTGACCACTCGCCAAGTTTTGATCGAAGGGCGTATTCCAAATCTGGATCAAAGGTGAATGGCAAAAATGAGCACCTATGAGCACTCAAGTACTCAACGCCCTACGAGCCGCTACCTTATAAGGAAAATGGAGTTAAACGATAATTCCTGTTGGTATTCAATTTTGAATAAAAGGGACAACTGTCCACAGAAATCAATCCCTGCGGAGTTATGAGATTTTTGAAGAAAATAATTTGGATGAACGCATAGCTAAGTGGTCGCCTTTCAAGATGGAGGGAAGATTTTTGATTCCCATTTTACCCTGGAGAAACGTTGCAGTCGATACATTGCAAGATTGGAAAATTGATTTCAATGTCATCAGTCATTCGTTCATATACCATCAAAGCGAGAGATATGGTTTTGTTTAGAGCCTATAGATGTATTTTTAAAACCAAAACGTCAAGTTTACCGCGGAGGTTGAATTTGTCAGCAAGATCTAATTTAGTTGCCGCGGCTCTGAAAGTGACCAGAAATAGCACTGTGTTTTCTTCCGTTTACTGCTTGGGCATTCAATTCATCCTTGAGCTCGTTCCTCAAACGCAGCAAAATATTTGTTAGATACAATATTACTCGTTGATGCACGCCGTTCCAAAGAGAATGATTGATTGATGGCACTCAAAATTCAGCGCCTGTTGAGGTAAACGAGGGCTCCAGTGGCTTCCGTCCTCCGTAGCTCCTTTTTCTCTCGGACGGACACTCGATCATTATATAGATCGGTGGCCTTCCGGAGGCTCGGCCCCTGCAACCTGAACATACACTTACATCAGGCGCTGTCAAAGCCAAAACCCCACGTTTTAATTCAATGCCCAACTCACCGTTTTCATAAAGTTCTCCTCTCCCCTCTCCCCCTGCACCACAACTCAAAACCCTGGGATGGCTTTTCAGCTCCTCGACGATCTATCCGCGTCGGTGCAGTATGAGAACCTCTACCCACACTCATACTCCCCTTCTGGCCCGCAGGATAATATTACATCCAACGTCGAACTCCCTCCATCTGGGTACACATCTCACAACTCGAATCAGCACTCATCGGCATCACGCCCCGGCACTGAATTTATCAGAGGAGAATGTGGTGAGAATCGCCCCTTTGACCATTACGCAGTCAACTCGCACGGCCATCACGCCTTGTACCCAGTTGGACGGCCCCAAATAGACGATGCACCTCGTTCTGCTCCCCACCACAGCCATTCACCACAGAGCTGGCCGCCGTATGAAGGCACAACCATGGGTATGTCGGTGCTGTATGATTCATTTCCTAGCCCCTCTCCATTTCCGCCACCCCGCCTCTCACCACCCCCACTTCCCATGAACGGTGGACTGCAACACGCGAGGACTTTAGCAGGATCTCTAGATCCCGCAACTGGTATATTCTATCGTACTCCGGAGCATCCACGACTGCGAACAGCGCAGGCATGCGAGAAATGCCGAACGAGGAAGGCCAAAGTAAGGTGGATTCTTATGCAAAGATCTTCGCTTACTGTTCTTCCTATCGACAGTGCAGCGGAGAGCACCCGTCTTGCAAACGTTGCGCCACCAGAGGCCTTATCTGTGAATATGCTAAAGAGGGTCGAGTGCGTGGACCGAATAAACCGAAGTCGAAGTCGAGTATTTCAGCTCAAGCTGAGGAAGCCAGACCCGGTTCTCGGGGCAGGACGTTGAGTACGAACAGCAGCGCAGAGTCAGATCATAGAGATGCCGTCCCAGCCGCCATGAACACCACGCACGAACAACAAGGAGGCCCCCGATACTCCCAACATCGTCACTCGCTCTCATTAGGAGAACATAGGCGCAGTCGACCTCGACCCCCTAACCTGCAACTAGAGACATCTTCGAATCATTTAAGACTTGAGCGACCTCTAACGAGTGATTTCCAAGAAAGGGAGCAGAGATCGCACACGAATTATCAGCAACAGCCTGGCTCTATCAAGAAGCTGCCCCCCAGACTATCAGACTCGGAACGAGATGCATTTCTGTCGTCGCAGGCGCCATTTCGAGGAGTGGTCTCATCCGCTCCTATATCCACGAGATTCCACCCGAGACCAGGAGAACACCCTCCTTTGTTTACGCCATCCCCTTTTCACGAGCGGGGTCAGCATCGAGACGATTGTTTTAGGGTCCAGGATGAATCCGCAATGACGTGAGTTGTTTTCAACCCCCGTTGTGAAATTTTCTCATTGCCTTGACAAGCGACCCGCAGTTTTTCGGAGAAACTTCGCCGCCTGTGAGTGCTAGCAGGAGCACAAGTACCCTTGGCTCTCCTATGGAGTCGTCTTCGTCTATTGCACATTACAACGCTCGCGGTGAGCGCCTCAACTTCAGTCTCGACGCCATGCAGGGTATGGGGCCAGGGCCGGCGGGCGGGCAGCTGCCGTTAGACCCGTTTTGGTTTGAGATGCACGCAAATCCTCGATACGGCAACCAGATCCCCGGGGAGGGAGGAGTGGATAGCCATAGAAGCCCGTATCAAGGATTGCCTGGGGAGGCAACAAGGGATTTGAGGAGCCAAGAAATTTCGTCAGCAGCTCCGCCAGGAGATCCGCATAGCGCCGCAGGATCTACTGCTACTCACCTCGCGGTGCATTACCCTCAAGGAAATCTCCAAATCTGCTGAGGGGAAATAAAATAGCCACCCCATTCTCTTCTTTTCCCCCGTGTTTGATTTTTCCGTTGCCCGACGGGTCGCGCCACAGATGGTCAGCACTGTATTATTATGTATCGGCGGCGCCAACCGACTCTCTTTCCTGTTCTATGTCTTCTCGCAATTTTCGTCGAACCCACCACCTTCATAGGCGATTAGAGTACGGACGATAACTCGGACATGAACTTTAGCTACTTACTTGCCATTAGGCCGAGGCTTCGGCTTTACACTCTCATTAATTTTCGCTTTTTAGAATTGAGGATATATTCGCCCTGGGAGGTTGGCTTGAGTAATCAAATTTCGGCAGGGAAAGGGATTTACTTTATTAAAAAGCGCACTGCTGACGAGATTCTCGCAGCGATGGAGGAGGCAGCGGTTGGTACTATTCTTCGCCACTGAGTCATTGAGGCTCCTCGCTGGGGTAAGACTCTCTTCTCAGCGATGCTTCGACCCAAAACCATCATGATAAGTTCCGCTTCTCGTCGATTTGAGGATTTTGGACCTGATACTGCGAGGAATAATACGTGTGGGGGTAATCTGTGACAGAAGACCGACCCACCTGCGATTTGGCACCTGGCGTGTCTCAATATAAGCCCTTCTTCGCTTTTTCTGGCGAATAGATCGATTTTCTTGGTAATAAAAATCATTAGCACCAGGATTGCCAACTCGGCGTGCAATCCTGACAAAGATTGTGCGATTTGAGTGGCCTAAATGTTACCGATATGGCCGCAAAGGCCGATGAGTCCCGGACTCCGTGTGATTATGCGAGTACACGATTTTGCCGGCGCACTTGAATTAATTTTTACTGTTTGGATTCTTTCCAAGATTAAGTTCGAGGAGGGTGGAAGAGTGGATGTAGGACTCGAGGACTCCTCGTTGGCTGCCTGTAAGCAAGTTCGCCGATCAATATTCTTTCCATTTCGCGACTTCTAGCCTTTGTAGAGACAGCCAATTGAGTGACCGAGCTGATGTCGGTGCCGCAAATTTCGGCGGTTTCGTTAATCAACGTAGCTGTTCAAAGTCAATCCACAGTAAGACAAGATGATCCACCTCAGGAAAAACTGATGAGTCCTTCGTGCCCACTGCCCAAAGGATAATTGTCATGTTAAGGGCCTAAGAAGATGCGAGATGGAGGTTCATCTGCGTAATATGGCTGCTCCTGAGTTTAAACGGGGAACAGGAGTCGCCCCGTTCTTTCACATGAACAGTGCAAGCAGGTAATTCAGCAAGGAACTCCTGAGGACGCGTGGCGAGATGGAAGTTTAACGATTCCATGAGCATGAGTTGGGACAAAAGGATTAAAGCTTACCGAGGTGAGCTGGGGGCTACAGAAGACAATTTATACTTACAGCAATTCGCCTTTGCCAGAGCCCAACTCAGATGATCCAAGACCGACCGAGAGTTGAGAACTAAGAATAGCAAGCCACCGGTCCGGTAGAACAACTTGTTGTCGTAGCTTATGACCTTGACCATTTTGGGCTAACCCCCTCCTGAGCGGGAGTAGCAGTCTCCCACTCTTACCGCCAACGGACTACGCGGCCGGATGAGTAGTGAATGGAATATGATTTGGGGAGGGATTCTGCTGATGGGAGATACCGAAAAATTCGCGAAACCTCCTCGAGGGTGGGCAAGTCTTTGCTACTTTCCGTTTTCAAGACGAGAGGAATTCGACGAAGAGGCCTTTCGTCGTCACTTGTCAGATACTCTGGCTCGCTTCAAAACGCCAAATGTTGAGGCGTTGATTTGGGATGATTGATGTTGATGAGCGCAAAATCACGTGCCTGACTTTCGCGATGTTTGTGCACACCTGATTCGCAAAACAGAAATGGAAATTGTCACTAGTTGCTCGTAGGCAAGATTAAAATCGAAGAGGTCTTGTCCTTGTCTTGTCCCAATTTTTTATTTCTCCTCTTTCATTTCAATGATCTTTCCCTAGACATACGCAAGTAAGTACTTGTGCTTGACGCTAGAAGCGGATGCTTACAAAACGCTGAGAACTTTCTTGAGTCCAGGCAGCTTTTACATAAATTATCGGTGATTCCTTCCAATCATACTAGGCTCAACTGTTTTCGACTGCATGGTATTTCGCAAGTATTTCGGCGGCCTTGTTATCATGCGTCGCGCCCTGGCGGACCCTTTATGTTTGGTTTCAAAGGAATAGCCAATTACAAATCTCATTATGATCCTTCCTGGATCCTTCTTCGAGCCTGCCGTCGTTCAAAAATCAAAGATTCTTGTCATTCTTATCCCATTTTGAGTCAAATTACGCGATCATAGCAGTTCGAAGTAATGCACCGCCGAATCTTCGGAGGACATAGGCCGTTTGCTGTAGTCAACCTCGACTAAACAGCCGTGTATAGCCGCTCGAACGGAACCTTTATTCTCTCCACCATTTTGAAAGTTTTCCTCTGGGTGAGTTATTTCCATGAATTTAAAGCGGTCCCTGGGATCTCAAAAGCTTTGTTAGAGAGTGGTAGAATAAGAAGACCCTATAAATACGTTTCTATCGCGACCGCCGCCGACGACGATTCCTTTCGTTCCCGCCTCCACTATGCTCCGTCTTGGCGCCCTAGCGTCCTCGCTCCTCTTCATCCTCTCTCCTGTTTTAGCTGGGGTCATCACCTCTCCGACTGGCGTCAACGGCCAAACCTACGACTACATCGTCGTCGGCGGTGGTCTGGCTGGCTTAACCGTTGCAGGGCGGCTGGCAGAAAATCCCAAAATCACAGTGTTGGTCATCGAAACGGGCGCGGACAATCGACAAGATCCACGAGTTTATGACCTTTACAACTATGGACAAGCCTTTGGTAGCGAGATTATGACTTCTTGGCCTGCGGATCAAGGAAAACTTATTCTTGGGTGAGCGCTTAACGTCGTTGTTTTGGGCGAGTGGCTGACTGTTTATACTTCTTAGTGGCAAAACATTGGGCGGCGGCTGTGAGTTCAATTCCCGTTCAAGGGCGTTCTCTTTCTTACATGAGCCACAGCATCAATCAATGGAGGGGCTTATACTCGTGGGCTGGCTGCTCAATATGACGCATGGTCGACGTTACTCGAACCATCGGAAGCAAGTGTAGGATGGAATTGGCAAGGAATTTGGAACTATATGAAAAAGGTTGGCTTTCTGACTGACTTCACGACGTATATCTTCTCTAACACTTGCTACCCCAAGTCCGAAACCTTCTCTGCACCCAACAGCCAACAGGCCGCCAAAGGAGCTCAATCCCTCCCAGACTATCACGGGTATACGGGCCCCGTACAAATTACCTACCCCGATGCTATGTACGGCGGCCCACAACAATCCGCGTTTGTGAACACGATCGTCGGTCTGACTGGGATCAATCACTACAAGGATTTGAATGGTGGTACACCCAACTGCGTTTCCATAACTCCTTTTGTACGTTTACTCTCTCGATACTCGCCACAGTGCTAACTCAGTGGAAACAATCGTGTAGATGATGAACTGGCATGATGGCGATCACCGATCCTCTTCGGCGACAGCATATCTTTCTCCAGTCGAAACTCAGCGCACAAACTGGATCACCCTCACAAATCACTTTGTAACTAACTCACCGAACGCCTTCGTTTCCGTTTGCTCATTCCGTTCCCCAGGTAACCAAAATCAACTGGTCCAACTCCGTCCTTCCATTGAGGGCAGTCGGAGTCCAGTTTGCGCCTGCGGCGGGCAGTTCAACGCGCTACACGGCACTCGCGAGAAAAGAAGTTATTTTGGCAGCGGGTGCCATTCAAGTACGGACCCCTCATCGGCTTTGTTGCTCTCTTTGCTAACTGAGACGCCAGACGCCTGCCTTGCTTCAGCTTTCTGGTATTGGTGACTCTGCCGTCCTAGCGCCTCTGGGCATCACCACTCTAATCGACTTGAAGACCGTCGGCAAGAACCTCCAGGAACAGGTACGCATTTTGCACTTTCTACTCAAACCAAGTACGAGGCTTCTCTTAGGCAATGACTACCCATGGAGCTCGTAGCAATGGCTTTGACGTTGGCGGAAGAGGGCCCTCAGATGCGATCGCGTACCCTAATCTGTATCAAGTCATGGGCTCGCAGGCTAGCGCAACTGTTACGCACATCCAACAGTCTATCCCATCGTGGGCAGCTTCTCAGGCCGGCTCGGGTTTGTCGGCAGCGGCTCTCCAGCAGATCTTTCAGGTTCAAGCTAACTTGATCATCAACAACAATGGTCTGTCTCTCACCGTTTACTAGTTGTTTCATTCTACTTATCTCCCTCTTAGCTCCCGTCATGGAACTCTTTTACGATACAGGATACCCTGAGTGAGCGATTCACCTGCTTTACTTCAACCACACAATTCCTGACCTGTAACTCACAGCACATTGGGCATCCTTGCGTGGAACTTGCTCCCTTTCAGTAGGGGCACCGTCCAAATCACTGTCAGCATGCTTTCCCTCCTCCTTTATCCCCTCGCTCACTCATTCCCACATTAGAGCACAAATCCTTTCACCAAGCCCCAGGTCAAAGTCAACTACTACTCCGTCGACGTTGACCTCAACATCCAAGTCGCTGGTGCTCGCCTGGCACGCAAGATACTCACCACACCTCCTCTAAGGTCAGATTTCTCATCACTGCACACGATCGGATTGAACTTGATATTCTCTTCTCCCTAGTTCCCTCTCCACTGGGGAGAGCAGACCTGCAGGAGCCGTTCCCGACGGTCCTGACCGCGGCTCTGACCAAGCATGGAAATCCTGGATCCAGCAAGGAAACTTTGACTCTGTAGCTCATCCCGTCGGTACCGCCGCTATGATGAGGCGTAGTCTTGGAGGTAACACTTTCCCTCCTCTTTCTTTCCCCTTCTGTGCACCAGAGCTAACGGGTCTTATTTCTGATAGGTGTGGTCGATGCACAGCTGAGAGTGTATGATACTGCCAACGTCCGCGTTGTGGATGCCTCGGTTCTTCCTATGCAAGTCAGCGCACATTTATCAGCTACGCTGTATGGTGTTGCAGAGAAAGCAGCTGATCTTATCAAAGCGGCGAACCCTTGATTTTGGACGATCTTGTTACGAATTAATGCTTTTACTGACATACCTACTCACCTTCACATCCTTTCTTACTGTGCGTATCTAAATAATGGTTTGTTTTTGGACTTTCTATGGACTTCTCTACCTTGCACCTCTACTTACATACTCGCTCTGGTAAAAGACAGAACTTGCGATGTGGAAAAACTCATTCTGGCCAAGTTGCGTTGAGTTCACTCAGGGCAGCCATGGCGTACAAATCCGCTTTCAAGCTTTCGTCAGCTTGAGCTCAGGAATATTACTTAGAAGGCATTGGGGCTTTACAGAAGTTGTAAGGTCTCGCATGGGCTCGCCCCAACAGACTCAAATCGGACACAATAGTAATCATCTACAACTTGAAGTGGTTGATCGTGTCAGTAAGTTTGCACCCCTTCCTGGCATCTCGTATGTGAACTCGCATACAAAATCGTTCTAAGTAAGCGCCCGTACCTCATTGTGTTCCACCCACATTCGTTGAGATCCATACTGATGGCCCTATTCAGATCTGGACCGCAAAGCCCTTCCAGTGCGCATGCTTCTACAATTGCTCTAGAAAATTCCGTGGATGGTCGTGGAGGACACACCGACGGGGTGAGCATATGATCTTACTCTGTAATACCGTCTTTGATAGATTGAACTTTGGTCCAACGAAGCAGACAGGCGACTCGGAAGCAACGGCCCCTCGTTACTGTGCGTCCAGCCTACGTTCTTCTCGGTGTTGGACCGATCCCACTGAATTTCGTCAAATAGTATATTATCGTCTTTACACAAAAGACGGCGCAATCGAGTCCCTCAATCCCATCTACTCCAACGATCCCTTCATTAGCCGCGTTCTGCCAAAGTCCATCACGCCCCCTCATACCGCCCTATCACTGAAGAAACATCTGTGCAAGATCGAAGGCGAGGCAGGATCAAACGCCGTTTTATTCGAAGCGCTGTCGAATTATGCTGCAATTCCAGATTCCACACGTCTCAAGCTTCGTGATCACCTTGGCTTAGGCGTGTCATCTCTCGAGCCCATGGCTTTGGTAGTCGGGGCTGCTGAAGTTGAGAAACGATCAAGCGGCCCTGATCCACAGGCCAGCGAAAACCTTGACCCACACGAGACGCACTACAGTACGCCTGACATTCTGATCGTCATTCTCGGGCCTCGGCTCTTATCGTTTTTAGTATATTACCGTGTATACGATGAAGACGGCGAAGTGAACTCGAAAACAACCTTCGACAGAAATGATACCTCCTTGGGTCGCGTAGACACCTTATCCGTGGCGCCACCTTACACTGTGGCCTCCTTAAAATCCCGCATCGCGAAAGCCGAAGACATCGTAGACCGGGCGATTCAATTGTTCGAGGACACCGATGGTGAAACCCTCATGAAGGAAGCTGACCAGGCATCCTTTCTCGCAGAGACCTTTCCGGGTTGCCTTGAAGATGGCCCGTTAGCCTTCATCTACGAGCCAAAAACGCTGGGTCAAGGATCAACGATGACAAGGCCGATTCGAGGAAAATACGAATCCAGTGAGTAAAATCATCAAAGACTCGCCCGCTGTAATCTTACGCTTGTATTCAAGGTCCTAATTCATATAACATTTCCACGTGGCATGCCTTCAAAAAAGGAGAGATTCTCCACACTAACGGGGTCAAGGTAACAAAACCATACATTTTAGATGCTGGCAGAGCCCGTTCAGACTCAGGTATTTTATCTTTACGTTCTCTCTTCTTTCGAAACATGACATTCCTCAAAAGGCAGCTATACTGGTTACATGGCAATCAACTCGGCTGGAAAACTGGCATGTGAGCAATCAATATTTCTGTACTCAATTTACGGGTTGACGTGACTCTTACGGGTAGTCGTGCAGAGGGGTAAGCGGGATTTTCTTTGATATACGTCTACCCGCCCGTCAGCTAATGAGGCTGCGCATCTGTTTGAAAGCTATGGTCACTTTCTGCTGATATCCGATTATTCTCGCACAGTAGTTATGTTCTTCAGCTAGTTGGCCGAATGTACTTTTGTGTATATTCTCAAAACTGAATAATAAAAGTTTTGCCCTCCAGACTAGCAAACCCGAAGTTCGAGAAAGGATGTGCCTATCCATCCCATCTATAAATGTCTTTCAACAAGCTTGCAGCCCAGCACAACTGTACAGCCAAAATGTTCGTCAATTCGCAGAGACGGCAGAGCTTGTCCCTCCATTTCACAAAAATTATAACCCTTGAACCACGTCTGATGAACCATCCAGATTTCACAAGGAGGAAAAAACACAAGGTATGGGTTTGTAGTAGAAACTACATGACATATGCACATGGGCCGAAGGACCGTATACTACTTGCATGACGAAAAAATGTGCAAACTTCATACATTGAGTCTATGTAAAAACTCGTAAAAAGTTCGAAGGAGCAATCCCAGTCCTCCCATCAGCCTTCCTCACGGTCCACCAGTCTCCCGAACTATCCAGAACATTGAAAATATCAAGCTTGGAGAAAGATACTTCCTCAGGATCATCAAAAGCCGCTCGATAGTCATACAGCGCCTCCGCCCTAATCAAACCCGGCGTGACCAATTTTTGCAGATAATTAGAAGGCGCTTGCCCCTCCGAACCGCACGCCTTCCGTACTTCCCACCAGTCTTCAGAATCGTCAAGAACGTCGACTATCTCCCCCTTGGTAAATGAGACGTCTTCGGGCTGACCATGATAATCATATAGTGCCTGGGCTTGAAATCGGGAGTCGCGTTTTCGGTCATGGCATCGTCGCACGAAATTGGACGGCACGAAGCCTGTAGACCCATCCGCTTTCTTCACCCTCCACCATTCGGCTGAGCTGTCTAGAACGTCAAAGATCTCCCCTTGTTTGAAGGATAGTTCGGTGGAGTCATCGGGGGATGCTACGTAGTCGAATAATGCGCGCGCCTGGGGTACTGCCGGTTTGCGCTGCAAAGTGAAGATGTTTCGTTTGAAAAACTTTTTATTGGACACGCTGGAGCCACATACCTCTTCTAAGTCTGGGGCTGGTTTCCCGGAGCTATTCGGCTCAGGCGCTATTGGCGTCTCCTCTCCTCTCCCGCATCGGGTGTGTTGATCTGCTCCGTCGGTCGCGATGCCGGAGCTGCTGTCACGCAATTGCATCGAGGTCTCGCTGCACCGATGGATGGGACGAGATGGTTATGAGATCCGAGGGTGGAAATGAAGTAGAGGGGGAACTGGATGTACTAGTCAATGCTCTGTACTGCGGCAGGTCAAGTGGATGAAGGCTGTGCGGATTTCCCATCAGTTAGGCTATGTTTCCGGTGGTTGTTATACGTCAGAAGAGATTCCTCACCACCCCCAATTACCTGTTTGAAAGGGGCGGACGAGACACGCAGTTAGCTTGTGGCCCTGAGCATCCAAGGTTTGAATCTTGAGCCTACATGCAGTGCGCGATCTGGGGATGTTCGCCCTGTACACGCGTTACCCGGGTTGCTGAGTCGTATATCTGTCTTCTCCTCTACGTCGATTCCGAGATTGTACGAAAAGCTTCTCCCAATCAATCGACATCTGTATAGCCCGCTTCAGCGCCCAACGCTAACGGTCACATTCGGAGCAGGTATGATGATGATGATATCCATCAGAGAAAGCGAGGAGCGGTAGTGTGGGAGATGTCATGAATAAGCCTATCCGAAGATGGCATTGCATGTGAGGTGAAGATAAGCCTAAACTTCATGCACAGCGCGAAGGGGTGCATGTATAATTCTTGTTGATTTCGGGCAGATGAGGCACAAAGTGGCTAAGGTATGTTATTAATAAAATGTTTCTGTGCATATGCTTTGCAGAGGAATCTGAAATCGCTTACTACGAGTCACGACTCCAGCATCTGATCATCAATCCGAGTCCTCCCCAAATCCTCCCTCAACTCCAGCGATTATCGATCATCGCCATGACTTCCTTGCTCATATTGCAAAAAAAGGACACGTAGAAGCGTGTCGCCGTCATGAAACTTATAGCCTTCAACGTCCTCGTCCGATGTTGTGGCTCCAGAGTCCAGAGGCGAGAAGCAGGCTCGGCCTACGCCGAATGAGCTGAGTTTAAAATAGAATTCTGACAGACCACAACTTTTCTTCTAAAACAAAATCAACACAGGAACCCTGCCCGAGTCTGGCTTGTGCGCTGTTCTAGAACTGTAACTGGTTTCAAATTCTTTCTCTTTCCGCCCACGCACAGCCCACGGCTGGCAACAGAGTCCCAGGCCCTGTATGGAGGAGAACGATGTGCATATATTTCCCAACAAAACCCTTTGACGTCAATCATGCAGCTACTCATCTCTTTGAGTTCGTGTCTTATCCTGCTCTTTATGTAACTGATTCTGGATGAAAGTTCAAGTATTCCGGGCGCATATATATGCACGGAAGAGTCGCCGTTGTACACGCATACGTATATTCCGACTCAATCCTCACGAAGTTCTACAATGATCGTCCGTCTTCCCACACCTCCCTCTGTTTTGAGACTCGGGGTGGCTAGGGACACCTTTGGCGAGAATGGAAAGCATGGTTGCTAGCCCATTTTGTGATTTTCAATGAGAAGACGGCTCGGAAGGCATAGCGTATTTATCTCTGTCCTCTTTCTAAATTTGACTTGCTTATTCTACTAGCTTCTGCGCCCTAGCCCGTTGGGTATGAGGTCTCCCAAGCCTTGCACAGAAAGAAAAATACAAGGTATGTAGAAACGACAATGCATATGCATATGAATTTACCAAGACTGAAAAGAGCTCTGCAGATTTGCATGTCCAACAAACGCGCAACAAGTCTCCCGTAAAAAAAATTTAAGGAGCAATCCTAGTCTTCCCATTACTTTCCAGAATTATCCAGAACGTCGAGAGTATCGAACTTTGAGAAAGATACTTCCGCGGGATCATCAAAAGCCGCTCGATAGTCCTACAGCGCCTCCGCCAGAACACCCGGCGTAACCAATCTTCGCAGATAATTGGAAGGCGCTAGCCCCTCCCAACCGCACGCCTTCCGCACTTCCCACCACTTTCCAGAATCGTCGAGAACGTCGAGTATCTCCCCCTTAGTTAACGATACCTCTTCGGGCTGACCAGGCGCCGCCTGATAATTATATAGTGCCTTGGCTTGACATCGGGAATCGAGTTTTCGGTCGCATGATCGCACAAAGTTGGACGGTACGATGCCGGTAGACGCATCCGCTTTCTTCACTATCCACCATTTGGCTGAGCTGTCTAGAACGTCAAAGATCTCCCCTCGTTTGAAGGATAGCTCGGAAGGGTCATCAGGCGACGCTACGTAGTCGAACCGTGCGCGTGCCCGGGATACTACCGGTTTGCGCTGCAAAGCGAGGATGTTTTTGAAAAAAAACTTTTTATTGGACACGCTAAAGCCACACACCTCTTCTAGGTCTGGGGCTGGTTGCCCGGAGCTATTCGTCTCAGGCGCTATTGTCTTCTTCTCTCCTTTCCCGCATCGGGTGTGTTGATCCGCACCGTCGGTCGCACTCCTGGAGCTGCTGTCACGCAGTTGCATAAAGGTCTCGCTGCAGCGATGAGATTGATAATGAAGAAGTGGAGACACTGGATGTGAAAGTCAATGCTCCGCTCGCAGGTATGTCAAGTGGATAAAGGCTGTGCGGATTTGCTATTGGCAGTGAGGCTATAGCCTCACTATGCTTTTCCAGAGGCAAGCGCATTGCAAACATGCACCAACGAATAAATTAAACGCCACAACAGAGGCGCCCACTTCATGATTGCCACGCTCAACACCATCAACCAGTGCCACGCATAATGCACACGACTAGCAGTGTTGCGCAAGAACCACCAACATTTCTGCACGTAGCTTCGTTGGATGGTAGGGGGTCAGGAGATATAAGTTGTTCACAGAGAAAAGGTCCAGTGAAAGGGATCCGCCATCGTGCGCTACTAAGTGTTAACTTTGCAATTCATTCATTCAAAGACAGGCGGCTAGTATACTACCGTCTTTACACGAAGGATGGAGCTATCGAAGCGTACAACCGCATTTACTCAAACGACCCATCCATAGGACGAATCCTTACCAAGGCTGTCACACCGCCTCATACTGTCTCGTCCCTCAAGAGGTATCTCTGCAAGATCGAGGGTTTCCCTGGGGCCGAAAACTCGAATCTATACGAAACACTCCCGAGCCAGTCTGCTATAATGCCGGATTCCACCCGGATTTCGCTCTTTGGACAATCGGGAATAGGCTCATCTGTGGACGACCCAGCAGCTTTGGTCATTGGAAATGCAGACATTGAAAAGCGAGCGCGAAACACAGATGTATCGAAAGACCTACCTGAAACACCTGATACAACGGATACACGCCATGGTACGCGCGATAACATTATACGTTGTTGAATGTCCTCATGTTCATCTAGTCTATTACTGCGTCTACGATGATGTGGGTGAAATACCATCAAAAACGCATTTTGATCAAGACGACACATCGCTAGGACGAGTCGACGTGCTCTCTATCGCGCCGCCGCGCACCATTTCATCCTTGAAGTCTCGCCTCTCGAAAGCAGAGGACTGTCTTGGTGATGACGTTCAGCTATTCAAGGACATGGGGAGTGATTCTTGCATGGACGACACCGACGTCTTGACCCTTCTTGGTGACGATTATTTAGGAAGCACCGAAGACCAACCTATGGCCATTGTGTGCAAGACAAGAGCAGCTATAGTGTCACCTCCCGAGCCTCCAGCACTTTCTAGGAAAATCAAGGCAACGAGTCAGTGCATTGCGCTTATCGCGCTACCTTCAAGTTGACGATGAAATTATTTGCAGCTTCCGGACATTTCCCAAACTGGCTTCCCATCTCGACTGGCGAAGTACTTCTCACAGATGGGATCTTAATTCCAGAGCCTGGATATCCAGGTGCGGCTCGATTGTGAACTTATTTAGGCCGAATTTCTGAGTGACTGACTTGTTGGCACCCAGATAACCCGAAATGCTACTATGGATACATGGCCACCAACTCGGCGGGTAGGAAAGGCTGTGAGTATTTGTCAAGGTTTCTCCCTGGTATAATCTCTTACCATACATTTCGCCAGTCGTCTGGCACCTTGAGTCATTCATCTGTTCTAAAATGATTTTCAATAGCATTGTAACTAATGCTTCACCTGTTAGGTTTTTCAGAATTTTGTGAATAGGTGCATCCATCGCCATTTAAGGATATTGGTGTTGGTTTTCATGAAGGCTCATATATGGACAAGTTCGATATTTATTAGGAACATTTCACTGTAAATCTTAGGTTCACAAACTTATACTACATCAGCGGAAGTGAAAAGATCACAAGGGCTCTACCAATATATATCCGTCATGACTTGTAGAACCAGAGCCCACATCTGAATAAGCCCAGGTTCAATGTCAAGAAAGAATTTGTGAACAGTTCGCCAGCGCAGTCCCTGTCAGACTAGACTTCCTCTAGTGTTTGGAAGTCCGGTCTCGTGACTGGAAAAAGACCGTAACCAGACCGGACCAAGACCGCAAAAGACCGGACCTGCGGTTACAGTCTTTTATTTTTGAAATGTAAAGACCGCAAAAAAACTGGTTAACGTGAACCGGTCTTTTGTAGCCCCTTAAATACCCTTTAAAACGCACCCAAGAACGTACGATTTGGTAAAAAAACGAGAGAGATATGAATTAAAATGTAAATTACTTTTGGGAATAATAGATGTACCAGACTTATTTTATAGAAGCACCAATTCCTAACGGAATTTAACGTTCTTGGGCTCGTTTTGAAGCTATTAGAGATGTTAATAAATTTACCGATTCATAATTTTAAAATATTGGCCTAAAGACCGGTCATAAACCGGTTAAAACCGATGCAGACCGAAACCAGTCTATAGACCGCAAAAAACCGCGGTCTGTGGTCTTTTTGTGGTCCGGTCTGGTCTTTTGACTTCTGGGAAAAAGGCAGACCGGTTACGGTTATGGTTAACGCCCCTGGGCATCAAAAAACCGGACTGAACCGGACTTTCAAACACTAACTTCCTCACCTCCCAGCAACTCCTCGAATTGAAAGAACACCACACGACTAGTGTTTAAAGGTTCAGTCCATAGGACCACAAAAAACCGGTGGACCGAACTGAACCGGACCATGGTCCGGTCTTTTTTTCGGTTGCAGTTGCCCCAATTTGGGGTTGGTCCGGTTGCCGGTTGCCTCATTTCGAAAATCTTTTAAAACCGTTCAAAGACCGGTTTTAATCGGTTGCAACCGGTTAAACGGTCACGTGCGTTACATAGCCTTGTAACCACGTTTATTGCCTTTTATGGGGTTTTTGTTTCATCAAAAACGGTTAAGAATTGAGAAAGATATAACCAAATCCATATTTTACCCGAGTCTCTAGGAGATGTAATTCAGTTTCAGTCATAGCTATGTCAAATCTTCATTAAATCTCTTGAAAATTGGTAGAATGACAGGTATTTATAATGCTTTACTATTTTATATAATCCATTTATTTTTCAGAGTAATAATGGTTGAGATACAAATGGTTTATATTGATATAATAAATTATACGCAAAAAAACCGGTCTGGATCAGTCTGAACCGGTATCATGGACCGCAAAAGACCGGTCCTAGGTGGTTCGGTTCGGTTCCCTCAATATCTGGGTTGGTCCTGGACTGGTTGCGGTCCACGGTTGCGCATTTTTGGGGCAAAAAACCGGACTGAACTGAACCTTTAAACACTACACACGACTATGTATGACAAGGGACATGCTAAATATTCAAATTGGAATGAACTTTCCGGTTACTCAAATCCGTGTTGACCAGCAGAGTTTGTCGCAGTGTTGGTTTCTGAGTAACAGTTGGTTTCTGAGTAAAATTAGGAAAGTGTTCTATGCTATTTGACGGTTAGCTGTGGACAAAAATAACTTTTTTTATCCATAGACCCAATTTTCTCAATAAATCTTCAACTATTGTCAAAGATCTTGCAAGATCTTTGAAGAAATTAGCCATATGAAAATATGAGGAAAAGATCTTCAAAGATCTTTGAAGATCATCAAAGATTTTCAATTTTTTCCCCTTTCATCTGTTTGTTGTCAGTTGTTTGCTTTGATTCAATCTTCAAGATTCTTCCTTCCCTTGGTATAATTTGAATGGAAGATCTTCAACAATCTTTGCTCTTTGCCATTTAATGTCCTCTATAATCCTCTATAATCTTTGAGAATATTGCAGAAATTAGGACAACAAATTATCTACATTTGTAAAGATCTTGAAGAATCTCGACATCTTGTTTTCAATGGTGAGTTGCCGAATTTATTACCAGGCCAAGGCATTGATGTACAGGCACTTCTCTCAGGGGCATCCTATGCTTGGCAATGTTATTGTTCTCTTTCTGGCTTGGTATTCAAGTGACCACTGCTCTTCAACATCCTGCAAACTTGAATTTCTAAAAACATCACTCTACTTCATGTCTGAGATTGAGTCTGAGCAGCTGAAAAACATTAGAGCTGCTTATCTTGTCCTGAGTGACCAGATGAGAACTGCTCTAAGAACCCAACTTGGAGATGCTGCCAGGAAGTTTCCAAGCAGCAGAGTCCAGACAGATGCCCTTTGTCTGCTTCAGGCAGCTGAGGCAGTGAGCTTGCAAATGCTTTGACCATTTTAAAGTTTCTAAGTACATTAATAGCACCAGCACCACTTTCCAAGTGCAGAGTATGCAACTCTACAACAGAGCATCAATGCGATGGCTGCAGCACTCAATCAAGCATGCCATCAATCTTCTGATCCACAGGAGGGAGCTTCTCTTGTTGTTTCTACTTGCTCGAGCAATGGCAAGTGAGGACAACCTCATGTTGAGATCGACTCTATCTTTCTTCAGGAGGCCCTGAATCTTTGTGGACCATCAGGCCTTCAGCCAGTTCTTGGATGCAATGCACATACAGTCTGTCAGAGGGCACTTGAACAGGGCCTTGTTTCACCTGGAGAGCCAGTTTCCATATCTCATACCCTTCCAGATGGACAAATAACTTCTGTCTGTACACAATCCAACTGCAAATCATCCAGTGACATCACAGATGCTCAGCTTGATGCATTGATCACAAATATTCTGGAAATATTTCCTGCCTTTGGCTGACATATGATTGCTGGGTGGCTAGCTGCTAGTGGGCATTGCATAACACATGTGTATAATTGCTTCTTATTTGTGTGTCCACGGTTCCCCTGGAAGCTTTGGTGATCGCAGCATCCATTGTAAAGTATACAAAGTCACTGGTGCCAATTCACTCTGGCATCATGATGGTCAACATGGTGTGTTTCATGAATGTCTTAGCTCATGCTACTTCTAATACCTATTGTTGAAAAACAGGCCTCATTCAGTTTGGTATAGTCAACCACACTTTTATTGATGGAAAAGGGCGGTTCATCACTGGGAATGGCATCAGCAACAACAATTGAGCAGAGACTGTCCTCCAAATCTTTCTCAAGGCAGTAGAAAAACATGGATGTTCAAGTCACATAAATCCATAAGATATGACATTTCTCATATGCTTCCTGTACAGATTCCCAAGCTATCATGGAAGATGTTGGAAGTTTTGGAGTGGCTCATATGGATTTCCAAGTCAGGATTCATATGCTATATTCCCTTCACAACATGTTGTAGTTTGGAGATTTTTTGGTTGCAAATAGCACTCTGTATGTTGGGTAAATTTGTTACTCAAGGATGAAGTCTTGGATTGATAGGAGTAATTACTCTAGATAACGTCATACCTGGCGACTTGCTGTAAATGCCCAGTTGTTATGATGTCATTGCCCTCAAGCTTGAGGGTTGTTGGCACAGCCTCTGGCTATCTTGTTCATCAACACAAACACAAAACACTCTCCTCAAGCATAGTTGGTGAGTTTGTCCTTTAATTATGTGTTATTGGCCTCTCATTGAAGCATAGACTGCCCTGCTCAACATCTGTTGCACTATGAAAGGGGCTGTATGCTGTTGTTCCAGCCGTAGGTGGATATGGGGGGGAATTCTACCCAGTGGTGAGTTTCTTTCTGATTTCTATGTTCTTGGATTCAAATGAAAGGTTTTACTAGTAGAAGCTACCACCTGTGTTTTCAAATGGTTGTGTTCCGTCATTCAAGCTCTAGGTCATGATATAGGGTATGTGGGGAGGATTTGTGCCCACAGGTGGGTTTCTCTCCATTTTCTATGTTCTTGGATCCAAATGAAAGGTAATGCTAGTAGAAGTTACCACCTGTGTTTGTGAAAGGCAGTGTTTCTTCTTTCAAGCTGTAGGTTGTGATTTAGGGTATATGGGGAGGAGAGGTGAGTTTCTCCCTGATTTCTGTGTTCTTGGATTCAAATGAAACATTTTACCAGTCAAAGTTACCAAGTGCATTTGTGAGAGGTGGTGTTTCTTTGTTCAAGCTCTAGGTCGTGATATAGGGTAAGTGGGGAGGATTTGTGCCCACAGGTGAGTTTCTCTCCATTTTCTATGTTCTTGGATCCAAATGAAAGGTATTAGGGTGTTTCACAGTAGCCCAACTTGCAGTCCAACTTTGATCCCAACTTTGCAAAGTTGGAAGTCTGAAGTTGGGCTGTTTTTTCTCAAGTTGGGACCCAAATCGATGTCAGAACCATGATTTGGACCCCAACTTTGCATCCCAACTTTGCTCTCCAACTCACCTCTCAACTTTGCATTGTAGAGCTAAACATGACAAAGCCCAAACTGACCAACTTTGTCCCCAACTTCCATGCAAGTTGGGGACAAAGTGGTGATCAAAGTTGGGCCCAAGGTGGCCTACTGTGAAACACCCTATTGCTAGTAGAAGTTACCACCTGTGTTTGAGAAAGGCAGTGTTTCTTTGTTCAAGCTCTAGGTTGGGAAGTTCTGTGAGATAGACCATAAGAATCAAGATCATTTGAGGAACTCACCACAAGGGCATAAGGTGCAAGATAAACATGGTTGGAGTGGGCTCATGGGATTGCAAGATAGAAAGGTAGGGCATGGAGATGGAAAGATATGGAGTGTGCATTCAATGTTACCAACCACTGATATTTCTGGGGAGAAAACATGTATAGTCTGCTGACATTTTTCAGAGGCTGTCCTTCAAACATACCTGGTATGATTTATGCAGGGTTTGATTTTAAAAGGGCAATACTGAGTTTGGGAATTTGAGGATGGGATGTATATGCTGCTCTATACTCCACTGGTTTAGCTAAGCATTACAAGATCTCTCTGCCATACTGACTATGAATAAAAGCTTCAAGACTCCTAAGATTGGGGAAGATAGCCAGCTATGACATCATACCATCCAACCATACCTGATATGTTAGTAGAGGGTTCTTACACCCTCAGGTTCACTCAAAGAAAATATTTCCAAAGTTGTACTTGTTGTTGTTCTTGTGACCCATCTTGGCCCTTCCTGTCGTCATTTGCTTATTTTTAGCACTTTTGAGGATCTTTTGCAGTTGTTTGTCCATTGGCTCTGCCCACCTCTCCTCTTTCCATCTTCTCATGTTTATTTTTGGCAGCTTTTGAGGATGTTTTGTATCTGTTTGTTCCAGTGACTGCTTGTTCAGAGGCTTAAGTATGACTGGGGGATTCTCTTGGTTTAAATACAGTTGTTTTTGTAACCACAAGTTGACCTGCAAGGAGCGGACCGCAAAGTGGTTCGGCAATGAGCAGGGAGGATAACTTAGTACAAGAACTGCATCCAAGACTTGGGGCCCAGTGACTAGCGACAAACAACAAAAAATGTTGTACCACCCAAATATGTAGCTTTACAAATGATGTTTGGATGGTTAAGAAAATTGGGTATCAGGTTTTGCACCTGAAGGCGCGCTATGTGGTTATTTGCAGCAAGTTACTGATTCATTTGAATCACCAGACTTCCAAATGCAGACATAAAGCTTGCCATGTTCCTGTGACTGGATCATATGATCATTACATAATGCCCTTCATGGCCAGCCAAAAATTAAGAGAGACAAAGAAAGCCGAAGATCTTTGAAATGAATTCCATTCTTTGCTGGAGAATATGGAAGATCTTTGAATATATACAAGATCTTTAACAATCTAGTATATCTTTGACAATTGTTAGAGAAGTATAGATTCTTCAAGATTCTTGACTATTTGTCTCCCTAGAAAATCAACAATCTTCAAAGATCTTCAGAGATCCTCAACAATCTTCAAAGATCTTCTGAGATCTTCAAATGAAAAATTCATGGGTTTCAAGAAAATTTTATTTTTGTCCACAGCTAACCTTCATAATGCTACGTTAGTTGTTGCAAGGCAACATACCAGTATAATTTTCTATGATCTTGATTCTGTAGATCTGAGAATAAAATTTCACCCTCAACTATTGGAGGCCATGTCACATGTGATTGACCCTTTTCAGGCTCAACGTTGTTCAGCTTTTGCAGTTTGGGGAGTGCTAGTCTGGCCAACGTCCCCCTTATCGCACCTTGTAATGATCTTACAATTAGTACTTAGCTAGTGAGGTCACTATTTTGGTAGTTACCTGAGTTGCTTATGCAGCATAGTTAGCTAATAAATAATTCTCATTCTCATGTTCAAGCTCCTAACCATGGCCACACCACTGGCCTAAATTACTCTCAATCTCCCACCTGGACTCGTTGCTGGTGTACAGCCTCCCACTCAACCTGCAAACCCCCCTACCGCTGCCAACGACACGGCAGCAGTTAAGCTCATGGCCAACGTGTCACATGAGCTTTGTCAGTTTTTCTTTTCTTTTCTTCTTTTTAAATGGTTAAGAACCAAATCACTAACCTTTCTTTCAGGTATTAATACGGCCATCCCCGCCAACATCGTTAAAGCGGTCACCTTTTACAGCACAGATGCATCACCTCAAAGCAACTCTCCCAAATGGGCCAAATCGCTCCAGCGCCTGCTCCTGCTGCCGCCACGCCCCCTGCAGGACCCGCAGGTTTGCCCTTTTTGCATTTTCTCTGTCCTTACTCATCCCCTTCCAGCCCCATTGGCAGGTGCAGCCGTAGTCCTCAATGCGATTGCAGCTCTTGATCGTAGGCTGGATCACTGTACTAATACAACCAAGTCTTCATGTCATGCATCACATCGGAGAAAAAAGTTTTTTTTTTATTCACCTTAAATCAAAAGAAATTTTTTCAGCCATCTCAGTGAGAAAAAAAATCCAAATCAATGAAGAGTTGGTTGTATTTGTACAGCATATTCAACATCAGATCACCATTGCAAGTCTCCATATACCTGGTATCAAGGATAACTAACCAGCACACACATAGAACAGCAACATGGGAAAGGGTATGGGACACCAAATTCCCTATGAGGAGGTGCTGTTTCTGGATGGATCACTACCCTTGGTAGCCGTCATGAGTACTATCTTACATGTCACTACTTCACTCATTTGTTTCCAACCTGCTCACCCCGCCCTGCCTGCGCTGGGTGCTATCTAACTGGTCATGGCATGCTGCCCCTCCCCGAAGGAGCCCCCACCCGGAGGAGGTGCATTGCACAGTGTTTTGGGTGTATCATTGTTATCTGGTGTGTTCCTACCATACTTGCCATATAGAATTTTCAGCTGATGGCCTCCTTTTTCTATGGAGTGCTACTTTATAACCAGTGCACCATTGAAAGTTGTATCACTAATATTTGCTTCGTGACATTATCTCCCTCCCCTGTGCTGTTTATTTAGGTTTTGGATTCTGCTTGTACCACAATTTATTGATATTCCACAATCAGAGCATGTTGTGAATCCTTGTGAATCTATTTCAATCATCTGTAAATATACTTAGTGTTATATAGGTGTATACTGGCAGGCTTTTGTTACCTCACCATCCTAAGCCATTTTTGATTGATTTTTTGGTTATCACACAGCCACCTCAATCATCAACTGTCATCTTGGTTTTGGTAGAATAATGAATAACCAGTCGTTTTGAGTGCTTTACTTGATCTACAGTTGAGTGCAAAAAGAATGAAGGTTGGTTCATTTTTCTGGTTCTTTCTAAGAATCTATTGTACCTCAAATGAATTTGTGTTACACTTCCCTTGGTATGGACTAATTTCAGTGAAAGCTGGAGTCTTGAGAAGGTTTTTATTCTGGAGGCCATTTTTGGCATCTGAAAAAAAAAAAAAAATTGCGCTAACTGGGGAGGTAGCCAGAACATACCTCTGGTC